CTTCACAGTTCAAAAACGTTGTCGTTAAAAATATCGGGGTAAAAAAAAAAGTACCTACAAATCATCGCATGACGATAACATCGCACATATGCATTTTTCAGGTTTTAAAAATTGTAAATGCATTTTCATATAATGATTTTAGAACATGAGAGGGAAAGAAGGTGAAAATGTTAATAACACTTTAAACGGAAAGAAAATATTTTGTAATTTTCACTTAAACAACAATAGATTAACAAATGTGAAAGAAAATAATTCGATAATTAACTAAGCAATTTTTATAGAAGTAACATCCTGCAAATATTTGTCTTCCTTTTTCTAAACATTTTTAGACTGTATTTTTCATGAAAAATTATCAGTAAAACTTTATAAAAAAAAGATTAATCCATTAATAACCCTTGTCAAATAACTATGTAAATTTAAAATTTAATATGTTATAATTTAAAGCGTTATAGAGTTACATTTATTTTCTACTCATTTTCAATTTTTATATGCTTAAGTTTCCTTCTTTGTTTTTCAGCAAAAATTTATCAGCTCATTCAAAAGTATGAAATACAGAAGTAAAAATTCCTTCCTTCTTGCACTCCTAGATTATTATTTGAAAATGCACTTACAACTTTTAAAACCTGTAAAATGCATATGTGTGATGTTATCATCATGCGATAATTTGTAGGTATTTTATTTTTCACCACGATATTTTCGACGATGTTTTTAAACTGCGAAGTTTTTTAACTCCTTTATTTTTAACTGTAATAATTTTGGAAATGGGATGTTTCCTCTTTGCTTTCTATTCTCTCATGATGTTTTGTACTACGACATTTTCGTCCGCAATGTTTTTGGCAGACACCATGACATATATGTCATCAACAACTCTGTAGAACATCTAGGCATTTTAGGGAATGCTGATAACTGGCAGATAATGTATGAAACCATTAACATTTCCTACATATTCTATAGAATGTCAAATGACAAACCGGTAAAGCAGGAAACGCATCTCATTCATTTCAAGTATCAATACATTTAATACATTCATACATACTCCATACATTTTCTTTAATATGAAAGGCATGAATTTTGCTTTGTACAATTTTCACTTTTCTTAACATATTTTGAATAAAAGTTTTTTTTTAAAGCACTCCTCCATTATTTTTTCAAAATAAAATCTCTGTTTTTAAGGAAAGCACACTCTCTTAAATAATAATCTTGTCATGACATTTATTATTTTATGGAATGCCTAGGTATTATATACCATGCCTCGGGAATTTATATAATAATTCTCACATTTCAGACATTGGTCAGAAACATCAGGCTTTCTATAAAATGGCAAGGTATTCTATAGAATGCTGACATCTCAAATATATATGTGAGTGCATGTAATAATATAGAAAAAACTAATTGCATAGATTTTGATCCATAACGAAGATCAAACTTGGCAGCCAAGGCAGATGTAATATATGGTAGTCATGATAGAATATGATAATCCACGATGTTTTTGCTGTGATGTTTTAGTTAAGTACTTGCAGCCACAAATAACATAGCACACTAAACGTGCCTGATACAAAACATTTAATTTTTTATATCGTTGTGATAAAGAGACAGCAGCACAGCAGCAATTTAGTTAGGTTGTAAAGACCTTATTTTGTTCTAACCAATTACGTTTAGATTAAGAAACTTTCCTTTCTCTTCCGATTTCATTATCTTGCCAGAATGTAAATTTGTATGTAAATATAAGTGAGTCGGAAACAGTATTTAAACAGTAATTCTAAGAGTTCATAGAAGAAGAGTTAGTTCCGAATTTATGCCACACAGTTGATTTAGCAACTTTGTAGTTGAATAGTTGATGCTAGACACTTTCAGATTATATTGATATTCTAGGCTCAGTTTTGCTGTGTGCAGCCAATTTACAGTTTAGATAAAGTAGGAGCCTGTTAGGTAGCTAATCTTGACTTCACTGTGCTTATACATTCTATTTTCTGTTCAAGTTACTTAGCCACGAGTGGTGGTTAGTTGTGAGCACCAAGTGAGTGTGTTTTTGTTCAGTTTAGTTAAAATAAAAAGGTTATTAACACATTGACTGCCAATCACGTGCCAGTGCATGACATTGTGTTATCAGCAAGGAGACAAACACGCGCCAGCTCATGATGTGAGGTGTTGTCTCGGTAGCCAGTCACGTGCTAGCGCGGGAAAATTCTATACTTGTTATTCATTCTCCAGTTCATTTGGCACTGCATGCAGGGCATTTCTTCCGGTATTGGCATGGAGTGATAATTAGAAACTATGTATAAATAAATAATCGTGGTTTCAAAATTATTGTTTTATTTTTTATTGAAAAAAAAATCTTTTTTGTACGAGTTATAGACATGATACTGCAGGGCCTTCGCGCCCGTAAAAAAGAAAGGTTCAAAATAAAAAGGCTCTTACGGATGATGAAAGAGAAAATTTGTTAGCTGAGCTATTGAATGAGTAACCGAGCGATTTTAGTTATGATAGTGACAAAGAATTCGTCCCTCCGACTGGTACCCATGATATTTCGGATTCTGATCATGATGAAGAGCGAATCATGCAAGAGGCTGCATGTCAGCAGGATGACTCAACTATGGTGAAAAATTTTATTTGGAAAAACGATTTAACATCAATGAAAAAATTTCCTTTCATAAAACCCGAGTGTTTACTCCAACCTGTTTCAGGTAACAATCCTATAGATTTCTTTCGTCATTTTTTCACCGATAGTATGTTGGAAAAATAGTTGCTGAAACTAATGATTATACTCATAAAGTACTTTTTCGCAATGAAAAAAAGAAACATTCTCGCATCAATGCCTGGAAGGTCATCACAATAGAGGAACTCTTGGTATTTGTGGGATTGATCATACATATGAGAACTATACGAATCAACTGTATACAAGATTACTGGAAAACAGAGTTACTGCTTGGCTTCAGAAAATATGAGTAGGAATCGGTTTTTGTTGTTACTGAGGGCATTGCACTTTGCAAAAATACTAGATCATAACACAGAGCTTCCAAAGGATCGACTGTATAAAGTAAGAGATATGGTGAATTTGTTCAACGTGCTAGTATCTGAAATATATTACTCACGGCGTGAGATTAGTTTAGATGAATTGATGGTATTGTGGCATGGACGGCTTATATTCAGACAGTATATATCAAATAAACATCACAAATATGATATCAAGTTCTACATGACCACAAGCCCTGATGGTATGGTTCTGAAATTTATGGTATATACAAGCATGTTGGATGATTCTGGTGGAAAAGAACATGCGAAAAAGTCGTTATGAATTTACTCAAGGGAATGCTGGATTTAGGACACAGCATATTTATTGATAATTATTATAACAGCTATGAACTAGCAAAATGTCTTGCTGATAGGAAAACTCATTGCACTGGGACAATCAGAAAGAACAGAAAGACATTTCCAAAAGAGGTAAACAAAAAAAAAAAAAAAAAAAAAAACTGAAGAAACGACAAACTGTAGCAAAGTATGCTAATGGTGTGATGACTGCAAAGTGGCAAGATAAGAGAGACATCACTTACATTTCCAATAAATATAAAAATGATATGGTGGAAATAACAAACAAAAGAGGTGTAATTAAATCGAAATCTCTACCTGTAACTTAATATAATAAATTTATGGCCAATATTGATAAGCAAGATCGGATGATTGCTTATTATCCTTGTGAGAGAAAAACAATTAGGTGGCACACGAAAATATTTGTGCATATTTTATTTTGCAAATAATGATGAACAATTTCCACTTTATCTATAATAAGTATTCCAATGAAAATACATCACTCTAGAACTACCGTTCATCCATGATAAGAAAGTTTACTGAAACAGCCATTGGTTCTTCATGCTCCTGTGTGTGATCAGTTTGAATCTGAACATGTGCTAAGTACACGGAAAGGGAAAAATGACGGAAAAGTTCCAAGAAAGCAATGCAAAAGCTGCTATTCCCAATGAAAATGTAAAGATACAATATATGCTTGCAAATTTTGTGAAGGATCTCCCATGTACTGCTTAGATTGTTCAAAGATAATACACAAATAACATTCTAGAGGTATCTTTTTAAATAATGCCTTTGTAATTTTCTTGTTATAAATTCCTTTGTAATATGTACAATTGTCTGTAATACATATTAATATAAAAATAATGCGTACTATCACTTATTTTTCTTATTTTAACTTATTTTTTACATTCCACGTGCCAGCGCGTAATGTGGCATTTGGGGAAAATTTTGACATGTAGTGCCAATCACACGCTGGCGTGTAATAAAAAAAATTCTTTAATAAAAGTCTTAAATAATACTTAAGTATCATACAATTATCTTTTATTAATATTTTTAAATCATATTTCTTATAATAAGTATGTTGGCATCTGGATACAATTTACTTCCTATCTAACTCTAGTAACTATCAATCTAACTCTAGTGACTGGCAGTAAATGTGTTAAAACCTTCTTCTGCAGTCATGTGTTCTTTCAAGACCTAATGAGAATTTGCTTAATTAAATCATCTTTCAGTACGGTCTACCAGTTTATGATCCCAAAATACACTAGAGGACACTATAAGGTCTAGAAGCAGAAGTGAAGTATGTTGTGTTCAAGACAAAATCTTAATTCAGAGTAGATTAGTTTTGATTTTGAAATCATTTTGATCGGATAATTAATAAAGCTCTAAAATCATTATTGACTGAAGGCTTATGTAACTTATTTTCATCAAAGAGTTATGTAAAAGTGATATGATATGGATTAATGTGAAGATGGTAGTCCAGAGAAATTAGCTAAGCAATTACTGTTTTTAGAATGGAATGGGAGAAATACCAAATTAAAATGAAGAGTTAAAGGGCTACTGCAAATTTAAGTTTGATTTGCATTTTTTATCTTACACACATACACACATTTATTTTTCATATAACAAAATACAAATCAGATTTACTTGACAGAATTAAATCACACAAATCAATAGAGAAACAAAAGGCACATTACCTTAAACAAATTACGAAGTGGCATGGTAGAATGCGAGAAACGGTGAACAAAGAGTGTTTCCAGCAATCTCTTTGAATAATGGACAGTCCAGCAGGCCAAAGCTAAACTGTAGAAAAAGTACTGACACTAAACATTTGTAACTAAATTACAAATTACTGGTAGCTTGCATTATATTATAAGGTCACATACTAATATCACTTAACCTAAATATTGCATAACTTGACAAATTCTCATGTAATCTTTAACTCAATCCTGTAACTTCAAAGTAATTAAAAATATTTTATTACATTTCAGTTTTAATATACAAGAGTCTAAGGTTAACAGTATTTAAAGTATGCCTCCTGATAATGCCAACTACAACAGTAATTTAATTATTCAAAAAGCAAATATTACATTGAAGACTAAACACCAATTCTTTGCCTGTGGGTCAGTTGAGGTAACTATAAATGAAAGTTAAACTCAGCACAATCAATGCAACATTCTGGCCAGTAGAATCAGAGATGAACTTTCCCAGTATGGACCTCCAAACATGTTAGTGGGATTACAGTTGGAGCCTCAAACGTGAAACCGTTCCCGGCGAATACAAGCACAAAAAGACAACAAAATAATTTTTTAAATTGCATTATATCTTTATAAATACAAAATGAAGTATATTTTGTAAAAAAAAGCAATTCTTTTTAACCTTTGAAAATTCACTAGATTGCTTAGGGTTTTGGAGTTTTTCCTTCTCTGAAAACTTATGGGTGATAGGTAAAAACCAAGCTCGTATTTGAATTTTGCACATTACAGTAGACACAATATCAGGGAGCTGGAGCTACACAAAATTTCAAAATGTAGAAGTGTAATTTAATTGGAAATCTGAGCAATTTAAAAGAAATGGATCGCCACTATCCAAAAAAATATTTTTATCTTGCACTCGCCATTCTACAGTGTGTAAGATATTTAAATCTTCTCTCATATTTAATCTGTCTTTTGCTGATTAAGAAGCTAAACTATTTAAAAGCAATAAATGCAGTTCTTCACCTCTATTATTATTAATCAATAGTTCCCACAAAGGCATCCTTTCCCTTAGACAGCTAGCTCTTGTATAGCTAGCAAGTAGCTTGTACTTCAGAAAGGAAAGTCCTCCCTTTTATCTTTCATTTAATAAAGAAAAATTCAAGCATTAACACAAAAATGTGTGGAGAGTAGGAGCTTTAATTTGAAATTTAGTGAAATTTTTTTCCAAGTTTCCAAAATACTCACTGAACAACAGGATGTATTTTCGTGGTAGCAGCAGTTCCATATAAAATTGCTGGGCGCAAATAAGCTACAATATACAATGCGAGAGGGCCTGCATACTCCAGTAAAAACACCTGTATAAGAGAAATTTGAAATTATTACAATAATGTGCAAATTTTATGAGATAATATTTGTTGGTTTTCTTCTCTAGCTCACATGAGATATTATAATGCTTCTAGAGGTGTTCTTAATACCAGTTTAGTGACTGCAATATCAGTATTTACGGAAAGCAGTATTTGCTATAAATAATATTTTTTTTATTAAAGGGTATAATTTATTAAACATCTGTTATTTGAAATACATATTTTACTTCATCAATCTGGCAGTACCAATTATCCTATGCTTATGGAATTCAACTTAGAGTAATTACTGCACTATATCAATAAAATCAAGAGCAGAAATAAAATACCTTGAATTTAAAAACTTCTGATTCTAACTTCAAAGAGAGTGACAATAAACAAAATACAGTTGTTGAAAGTGCCTTATTTGGATATGAAGAAGATAACAGTAACAAGAATAAAATATTAACTAAACTCCTTCGTGAAGGCATGTTGCTGAACTTGTTATTATATGTGCATCAGTTCCAAATGTCACTAGCAGCCAGGTGATGCACTGATGCATCGTCCCTTGCATTCACCTTCCAGATGGGTATGGCATATATGCACTTTCAAATATAATGTTCTTTTAAAATTTTTTTTTTAAATCACTAGATGGCATTCGGTGTCCACTACAGTAAGCTTATTTGAACATATACCTCATTGACCTTGTGTCCGTGAAGTACTTCTGATTCTGGTGATTTGTTTAGAAGTACCATGATATAAAGTAAACAAAACCCAGCTGATTGCAGTTGTCTTCACATGATACAAACATTGAACAGTTTTCGATGCTTCATCCCCCCCCCCCGTCCTGGAGCTGTGGTTTTAGGAACTCGGGTTTGTATTCAGTTTGCATCTTCTTTAGATAGCAGACGTTAAGTTTTTTGCACCTGGTAAGAGAGTTAAACTAATAATGTATATGTCTAAGAGAAAAACTTTTAAACAAAAGAAGTGCATATTTGAATTATGAAGCCATGAGTAACTAACTATTCTGACACTGAAAACTATAGATTTAAGTGATAATAGCGATTTTGACACAGAAATTTTCCAAGAGACTGAACTGGAAGTTTGTTTTGCTTTCACCTCACAATTAAGCAAAACAGTGGCTCTTCCATCATGAACTCATTTTTTTTACGTAATTATAGCCTTATGAATTTATGGATATTTTTATGAATATTTTTTCGATAATCTAATGAACATAATAGCTGAAGAAGCTAATAATTATGAACAAAAAATGAGTGAAAACCCATCTTCATCCAAAATTAACAAAACTCCTCTAGATGTGGCTAAAATGAGGGGATTTGTAGAATTAATTATTCTGCTGATGTATAGTTAAAAAGTTCAACCTGAAAATGTGTTTCTTAATTAATGAAATGACAGCGACTAGATTTTCACATATTGTCTCCTTTCTGAATCATTTATTTTGATCATATATTTTATTATATTTTAAATGTGTTTAAATACAGATTTTTACAACATTTCATCAAGATGAGTCAAATATTTTATTTTGCATTTAGATTTTAATTAAAAAAATTTCAGAATCTCTTGATATTCTGTATTTATGATTCTGTTATCTTTAGATACCATTACAGGAAAAAAAAATGAAAACAGTTGATTAAAAAAAAGTTTAAACGTTTTTTTTTTCTTTTCTTTTCTTTTTTAAGTTAGGCTTAGCGATGTGAAACATCCCATCTTGCGAGATCGTACAACTGCATCAACACACCGTCTCCAAGGTGAGTTGTGCTAAGCGGCATGCAGTCGCATAAGAGATTAACTGCTGATTCATATACAATATGCCTGTTGTGAAGAGGGTTAACAAGCATTGCTTCCTATAATTGAAATAATTCAAAAAAGTGTTAAGATGTTTAAATGTTCTGACAAAACTGCTGTTTTTCAAAAATATATACTTACTGAAGTGAAAAAAAAAGAACTTATTGCTAAATTATAAAACACACTGGAACAGTTTACTTTTAATGATAAAATAACTTTTTAATTAAAAAATTACAATTCAGCGAACATTAATCAACTTAAATTTACAATTTAATTTTTCTGACAGTGAATTTGATTTAATGCCTAAAACCGTATCAACTCTTCCAATAAAGCTGGCAGTATAGGCACTATTAATTAAGTTGGAAGGATTCTAACTTAATAGCAAATGTAACAATAAATTTTATGTTGCAATCACTTAAAGTTCAGGACATCACTATCTGAAGAATTATGAAGTGCACAGAGGAAAATTTTCACAGAGGAAATACTACATAACGAATAAGAAAATATTTTAAGATATTTGCATAATGACTTTATAAATGTAAATGAAAAATAATGAAATATCTCAAATGACAAGCTCAAATTCAATTAAATTTGTTATGAATTTCAACAACAACATTTATGAAAAGCATACACACATATTCAGGGAAATTCATTGAAGATGATGTTGGTATCGGAAAAGAATTGCTTCTCCAGAAAAAATTATAATTAGCTATAAATAAGAAAACTGCCATGAAGAATAATACAAAAAATAAATTTATCCAAAACCATCGGATGAAAGACCGAGTTGTCAGAAGATGAAGGACTTCGAGGCAAATATTTAGAGGATGTATATTGTTCATTATTAACAGTACCATCGAGCAGCATTGATGCAAAAAGAACATATTCAACTGCAGCTAATTTGAGCACAAAAATAAATTACCAACTTAATGATTTGCAATTCAATATATGCATTATGCTTTCAATTATACAGATATTATGTAACAGATTCACAATAAGATTTTTTATGTGATATTTACTCTTCTTAATAATACAGCTATATGCTTCATTCATTTACTGTATCATAATGCTGTAATGATTTATTTTTTACATTACATTTGTTTCTAATGTTATAAATTATCATTTTAATGCTCTTATTAATATTTGAATAATACATTTTCCCCTTTATTTTGTATCTGTACCTAATATTATTGCTCATATTTTTATAATTAGGCAGTCTGTATAAAACCTAATAAATATGGAAAAGAAACAACTGCTTTTGTATCTTTTGTGAAAAATTCCTAATATTGGTATTCCAATACTGAATAACCTGTAATGTATTTTTGGTCCTGAATTGTAATCACTAATAGCAACAAACAAAAACTCTATCATAACTTACTGTTTTCCATCCCACTTGTGGTCCCAGATCTTTCAAGTACAGCTGCTTTTGGCCTCGGAAATCTATGGACTCCAAGCCTAAGCTGTCGCTTAGAAACTTACCACCTGTAATTATAATCATCTCAACAAGTTTAAAATAAAATTTATGTTTACTTAATGAATTTTAAACTAAAAAAAAACTTCATATTTGCATGTATTAAATTAATTACAAGTAACCTGCATAATTTTCTGTCAACATACTTACATAAGTAACGTAAATAGTTAATTATAATTAACTAAGTACTTATGTATTTTCCCACAATCATATTTACATATAGTTATATTAATTACAAGTAACATGGGTATTTACATATTCTCTCATCAGCATGCTGACTTATAATTATATAAATTACATGTAATTTTAGGTATTTATATTTACATATTTCGCCCTTTTTAACTAAATTTATCTTCTGAAAATTGAAAGGGGAACATTTTGCAAATAATTTAATTTCCGAAGAATGTGGTTCAGTAAGAACATAGCAAATGAAAAGCTGCTATGAGAACTCGAACAAAGAAGGGTGTTTCTGATAGTTCTTGTGTGGATTTGCAGTTAAATGCTTGCTGGTAAAATATGTGGCTGCCAGTGAAGTTTAAGATTTGGATTGTGGTTTTCGGTTCCTCCAAAGTTAACTTTGGAGGAAGTTTTTATCGTTACTTTCGAAATTTTGAATCGCAGAAAGACATGTGATATAGCAAAATTGTGGGACTTTTGTTCACAGACGTTGTGTGACTAGCGAAATTTTATTAATGAATGCATTATGGTAAGTGCATTTTATTTTACTGTTTTTATTTTGTAGAATGTTATGTTCATTTTTTTTATCATGAATTTCTGTTGTTATTTTTGTTTTTGGAATTATTTGATATTTTAGTTTATTTTGTTGATTTGTGCTCAATGCCTAGATTGTGCAATACATAGATATTTTTTTTAAGTTTAAACAGGATGTTGTCTACATGGTATTCTTTGAAATTTATTGTTGTTATGTTAATTTATTAAAGCAAAGTGTGCGTATTTCATAGATTCTTTCGTTTCCTAGATTGCACAATTCGTAGATTTTTTTTCAAGTTAAAACATATCGCTGTGTACATGGGTTCTTGTCAAATATTTTTGGTTAGAAACTTTATGTTTTTGCTATCTAATTTTTTTTCTTTGGATTTTTAGCTTAAATTGTATGTTCAAAACGTGGTTTTTGCATGGGCGAAAACCGCGTTTTTGGAGACATTTTAGGCTTAAAGTTCGAAATGTGGACAAAAAATTTAGAAAGTAATATGGCACCGTAAAGTTTCTCACCAAAAATGTTTGGCGAGAAATTTGGCAACCTGAGGGTGCATATAAAAGAAGTTCCCAATTATTAAATTGTTAGTAATATTAACATTAAAATACTTGATGTATATTAGCTAATATCTGATGGTAACTGAGGCAGACATGTGCAATGTCCGGCTCAATAAACTTGTAAAGACTTAAGGGCACCCCACATGAATGATAATTTATAGCAGTTCTCATGAGAGACATCGGAACACTGAAGAAAAAGGATGATGAACAAAAAAAAAAAAAAAAAAAGCGAATTTCGAAAGATTGAACACAAGTAAGGCTATAATGAGCTGGAACATAAGGAAGAGGAGGTTACACGTTCAGAAAGTTTTTTACGTGCGAGAACACCTGCCACATTTGGATAACTTAACAAAGAATCTGCACAAAATGTGTTTCAAATAATAAATACAATGGAAAATAAAATGGGTGAAATGCTAATACAAATTGAATCCACTGAATAAAAATATCAAAGGGAATACAATTTACCAATAAACTAGTTCACAGAGGGAAAAATCATGTACAATAGAAAAAGGGAAAAAATGTACAAATATTTTTAAAATTTTCAGAACCTAGTAGCAAAACAGAAAAAGGTCCTGTCAAACTTATGCTGCCAATCATTCCAAGAAACGTTTGAAAAAATTTTTCTTTCAAAAAAACTTCAAAATTAAATTCATCCCAAATCACTCTTAAATTAGATAATCAACAGATTCAAATTATGGACAGAGCATACAAAAAATCTTTAAGAAGATGAATGCTCACGCTTCTGAATTGTCTGGGGGGGATGTGTTAAGATTATATCAATCATTTCAGTGCCGAAGGTCTCTAATGGCCTTCAAAGTAGTCACAAATGTGTTATCTTTGTGAAATAGGTGTACCAAATTCCATTAAATACAAATATGAGGGATATCATGTAGATGTGTGTCGCTTTTCGCTACATTGCTTTTGTCGAACCACCTAGAGTTTCTCAATGTTCGAAAACATGCATCAGTACAATCAGTTTCAAAATTCTGAAAATACTCCATTGCTGTTTTATAGATAGCAGGCCCAGAATTTTAATTCCCTCTTTCCAAAAATGCAGGAGTGAAACAGAGAACTAGCTGTTAACTTTTGTTGAATACTGGTAAAATTTGCATATTCAGCTCAAGTAATGACAACCACCATGAAAATAAAAGTCCGAGATTCCAGTTGTAGCACTGCATTTCATATATGAGGCAGAACTGAGTCAAGCAAAGTAGGTAGGCTGCTGGTAGCACCACAGAGTCTGAGTCTTTCCTAGGTAATGAATATCATGGAACTTTAAAGTTAATTGAGGATCAAAAAGCTTTACCATAAGCACAGTTCGAGAAATCTGTTCAATCAGTGAATAATTAAGATACAGTCAAAAGTCGTTAATTCGGACACCCATAATCCGGAATGATCTATAATCCGGACCACAAAGCTACAAACTTTCTGCGCATGCGTCTCGTTCACGCATGCGCACAGGCGTTTTCGAGAGCGCATAAGACCCTTACAGCTGCGAATATGTTTGTGCGCATGCACGTTTAATGTGTAACGGAGTTATACGCTAAGCTAAAGTTATCTAATTCAGTTAATGTTGCAGATTGTGTTGTTCCTTAATCTTCGAATTGGATCCGGCTTATTATTTTTGCAGACTGTCAGAGCAATTTTATAAAACTAAGCTTGAACTTTCGATTATGTCAAATAGAATTTCCGATATATATTTACTACAAAGCGAAAGTATGTTTTGAAATCCGAAATCTGTTTATCAATTTCACGCTGCTCTGCGGCAGAGGGGGGGCAGAAACGTCATTATTAGATTATGATAGATTAGAAAGATTATGTCAAATAGAATTTCGGATATATATTTACTAATATGTAATTTCTATCTACAAAGCGAAAGTATGTTTTGAAATCCGAAATCTGTTTATCAATTTCACGCTGCGGATTGGAAGTTGATCTGTCGGCACTATCCTTATCTTCAGAGCAGATGTTTTTATTTTATTTATAATTCCGTACTAAGTGTAGTATTTCATCTTGATATACTCCGTCTTTGATATGATTTAAATCAAGTTCCTCGTCATTATAATTTTCCGATAGTGAAGAAAGTGACCCAGAGGTTATTGAAAACGAAAACATTTCGATTGACAAATTAGTCGGTATTCTCAACACAGCAATTATAGGACTTGAACAGTGGAACTTTGTAAACTAAACAAGAAATTATGTCTGTTAAATAGAATTAAAGAGAAAGTATTATCACATGAAACGAAGCAACTTACATTGAAGGAAATGTTTAATAAAGTAAACAAATAAATATTAAGCTTTTTCTTTTTGTAAATTTTGATACCCTTTAGATCATAATTGTTCTTTATTTCATAAATTACGGTTTTATATTTTTAATTTTATAATTTCTGCATGCCATCTTACCAGATTTAAACTGATGATCTATAATCCGGAAAAATCGATAATCCGGAATCGCCGAAGTCCCGACGAGTCCGGATTAACGACTTTTGACTGTACTACATAACTACTTACAAAATTAACATATTAGCTATTTTAAATTACTCTCAAAACATTCATAACTGACCAAGTCTGTTTCACAAGAATTCTATAAACAAATGCAACAGAGTTACCATGAAAGTATGTGGAGTATCAAGCATGCAACACACTTATTTTTTGTTGCTGAGTTTTCTGACTTAATTTGAAACAACTTTATGCTTTGCAGAATGGCAACACAAAGCTTTTAAACTGCTGAATTTTTAATCAAAAGTCATTAAATTTACAAAAAATAAACAAACAAATTCAAAATTCCAGCTTTAAGGTGCACATATTCAAGTGGAGGATTATAAGTATTGAAAATTTCGAGGCTCTACATGCCGCTGTTTTTTCAACAATTTTCCAAGGATCATCCATATAGATGAAATTTTCAGTGGCTTTCATTTCAAGCTAATAATGTTTGAAGGGCTCTTGAAGTTAATAATAAGTGGGTTAATATTCTCAACTCTGTTTATTACTTGAAGTTCATTTTTCTAACAAGAATTTGTAATGTGTCAAAAATTTTTCAAACTGCTTTTTTTTTTTTTTTTTTTTTTCAGTTAACTATTCTTAAAAATCTAGCTTGTTGGGCACAGAACTGGTTTTGTTAAATGCTTGGCAATAACTGTCAATACATTGTGAGATTGGCAACTGAAGACACGTTGTTCTACTAAATTCTGTTTTGCTTCTATAACATGCTGATAAAGTTAAACCTCAATTATATTAGTTTAGTTATTTACGATACTTACGTCTATTTCCCACACATGCTTAAGGCTTATCTGAGTCCCAAATAAATAAATTGCCATGTATACTTAAAGCTTATCCAGGGCTAGTGCTAGACATTTTGCGGCTAATTTTGTAACATCCCGTTTCTGATTTTAATATTTAGAAGAATTTATAGCATATCATGTCTATGTAGTTTGATATAATATGAACCAAACTAGAAGTGTGTCAAAATCTTGCTTCAAAAAACACAAATTCTGTGTTCAAAATAAATAAATTTGGCACAGTTAATCATGGTTGGGCACTTAACCACAATTCTGGCTTTGGTTTTGCATAAGATTTTCTGCTAAGCTTTTTCAGTTGGTGAATTTCATTTCCTTAGAGCCTCTCACATTTACAATTTTTCTTTCTTTTTTTCCCGATTCTTAATTCCAGTTCACTCCTTCTGACATTTTCAGAATTTTAATAGCCTTTTCATATTTAATTATCATCTTCCTCAACAGATCGTGCAAAATTCATTTTCACTTTGCTCTGCCAGTGATTCCATATAAAATGATTTGTCTCACCTTTGAAAAATTTTTTGCTTCTAAAAAAAGAGGTATCTGTCCATTTCCTCTTGAAATCAGCAAGTTTTAATTGTAATGTATACACACCAATCTAGGCTAGCTTTTATTTGTCCTGATTTTAAATTTGCATGTTTTTCTCCTTATCAGATAACATACTAAATTTTGTGAAAAAAAAATCAAAGAAAACTAAAAATTTCCAACTTACGGGATTCCAACCTAAGGGCCTGTCGACTCGGGTGTAGTTTCTTTTCTGTAAAAAGAAAGTAAAATTATGAAGCAGCACTATAATGATACACATACACTGTACATGAATCATACAGATCGACTTAAGACAAACTATACAGATTTTCAATAAAAGCAAGAATATATAATAAAGCAGAACTTCTAAAAAATTCCTATACAAAAAACATTATTGTTTTGAAATGCGGCCTCCCTTTCAATGTTACAAAAGGAGATTCATTGGTTTACTCGACGATCATTTACTAGCAAATTTCCACTTCTCATCTCCAGTAATGCGTCATTTCAAAAAAGTAGCTTCGTTATTATTATTTTTCTTTTCAGAACAGAACCACAAGCAAAAACTAGAGTAAACATTCACCTTTGTTGAAGTATGGGCTATCCATACACTGTAGCAGCTTACAAACCCAGCCTTCTTTATATAATCATGTATTGTAATTTTTGGAATACAGTGGGTGATCGGTTAACGAACATAATCCGTTCCAAGATTATATTCGCTATCCGAACTGTTCGTTAACCGATCACCGATTTACCATATATGTTAATGGGAATTCGAATTCGTTCTGGAGATCCTAAAAATTAAATTTAAAAAAAATGTCATGTACAAGTATAATTTATTAGTTTCTCATCAGATCCCATAATATTGTCAGATTTTCAGGTATTTTTTATACGACATTTAGAGAAGCACATACAAAAATCACAAGGACAGAAACCAACTATGGCACACAATTGACAAAGTGTCGTCGCACACTACCGTACATGTCATGCGTGCTGCCTCACTGCTACCTAGTATGAATGATGATGTGTCAGCGCATGCACACATTCATTTTCAGGACGAATTGAGGACTGGTGTCAGGTGTTCCGAGAGCCAAGAGATTTTCGTTAGAATTAGTTTTTGTTCGTTATCCGAACACAAAAATCTTTCCTGAAAGTGTTTGTTGTCCGATTTGTTCGCTAACCGATCACCTGTCCGAACTGTTCGAAACCGATGTTCAATAATTCCTGAAGTATATAATGTGGATTTTCAGAGGAAGCTTCCTTCAACAAGTTCATGTTTCCAAAGGACGGTCATCCAAAATGGTCATAATCTTCATGGCTGAAATTTCCACACTTCAACTTCTCAAACTACCTTCCAACTCTGTCATCAGAAACAGCACTTTGACCTACAAATTTTATGAATAGTCTGACTAGTACTTTTTTCCTTTTTCAAAATAAAAGAGCATAACATGGGTTCTCCATTCTTAGCACAGTAAAAAAATGTGCCACAACATATACCAGGATTATGCAATGTGAGCAGATGATATTTACATTTCTGCTTCAATCAAACCACTCCTCATCAGTAGAAATAAAATAGCAAATTAGGCCAAATGTAATGCCACACCAAAATACCTCATACAGACATTTAAGGGAGGGGGAAATCCAAATTAATGCCTTTAACTGAATAATAACAACACAGGTTTCATTCATGACAATAAAACTAAGTAACATAAAATAAAATAAGGTAATATTAAGGAAGTAACAAGAAGCAGTTACAACCCATTCTCCTAAAATTGAGATGTGAAGTTCCCCCCCAGAAGATGTTAATGGGTGATTGCCTGCTAATAGCCAATTGCTGTATTCTTTTTATAATGCATATTTAAATATTTTATTAACAACCACATCCAAGACATTGCATCTGGGATATCATACCACCAATATTAAGATCGAAATTAAGTGTTTCAATTTTTTCCTTAACAACTGATGTGAGGTGGCCTTGAAATCCATGAAAGATTAGCTCATCAAGAATTTACAGCAGAGAATGAGTGTTTCTTGGAGAACCTGGCTGTTTCTTCAATACCACAATCAAACAGTCTAATACCAATTCCTCTGTCATCTAACTTTTTTCTTGGACCCGAAAAATGATTACAAGATGAAGCTTTTCTTGAAGCATTATTTTACGTTTCAATATAATGCAAGATAGAAGTTTTCGTTCATCAGCAGTAAGAGTAAGCACAGCAGTAATTCTGGACTTGACGTGACTAGTTGACTTCAATAGGACCGTTATTCAAATTGCAAAACACATATAATTGTAATACATGTTAATATACTGCCTAAATTACTAAATATTTAAAATAACAAATTTTGTAATTTAAATATAAGGATAGTAAAAAAGGGATAAAGGATTTTGTTTGAAAAGGATTATCTTTAAAACAAAATGCAGAAAACTATAGAAAAGATACTTAACAGTGATATTAACTAAAACAACGTGCCATAGAACAAATGCTAAAAATACTATAGCAACAAGAATAGGTCTAAGTTACGTAAATTTGCAGGACTAGTTGTGAGAGTTAAACTTCTTCAGCTGAAGGAGTGAACATCAAAGGGGAATCCTTTATTGATGAAGAAGGTTCTATTTAACCTTCAAAATTAGTCATGCAAAATTACATAACTTAATGATTCTTGTTAATATAAATTCTTAATATTTATTACTGTAATATTAGTTTTTAACTGCAATATTTCTTACAAAATACTTTAGCTATCACACAGCAAATATTTCCTTCTTACACGATTCACTTAAACACTTAAGTTAATGTTACTTTTAGGACATTCAATGTAATTAAAATAAATAATAAAAATAAATTTTATAATTCTAATATTTTTAGAAAAATGAAAAAAGGAAAAAAAGTAGAAACACGTCCGTTTTGGTAATAAATGACAAATATTAGGAATTAATATATTAAAATAACAACTTACTAATTTTATGAATTTCTTTCTTCACATCATAGATTGTGCTTGTAGGTGGCAACTAAAATAAAATAAAGACACAATAAATGATTACAGAGGAATAAATAAAAGAATTTAAATTTCAAAATTCCCCAAAATAAAGCTCCAAGCATAAAAAAATGCCTTGCTGGGACCAGTGACTAGTACTCAGCTGTGGATCATTCAATTCAGCTTACGTGACCTGAATTATTTTACGCTTCTGCAGCTGAAGAAGGTTCTTCATTTAAACTTCCAAAATTAGTCATGCAAATTTATGAAATTATGCTGATTCTTGTTCCCTAAGCATCTCCAATATCAGCTCATCTGATTAGCCTAGTTTAATGTTAAAGGCTAAGCACCTACTTTTGAAGAAATATGATGACATAAACAAAAAATACTGAATAAATTTATTCTTCTTCCATTAAATCCATTCTTCTTCCATTGCATGCTCATTAAAGTAATAATGTGCAAATATTCAAAATTGGCATTTTTAAATTTAAAGAAATTTTGTAAAAATAACAAAACCTAACTTCCTTTCTTTAGTTTTTATATATTCCATACATTCCTTTTATACATGTTACACCTATATTAAAAAAAAAAAAAAGTACTGGGGACTTTTCCATTATGTGCTCGAAAACTACACAAATTTCCTAAAGAAATAGTCAACACAATGAGGAGAAGGGGGGAAAAATTGTAAGCAACCTATAAACATCTTAATTTACTATTCTGGGCCCCCATTTTTCTTTTTTTAAACTATTATTTTTTATTTTGCTCTGGCTTTCAAAATTTCTCTTGTTATAACTATGCTTTTTTTTGGGGGCCCCCCCCCAAAAAAAAAGCAAGGGGAATCTTTCAAACAACAAGGCAGATCCAATAGATTTTCAATGATGTGGTATTAACCCTTTAGAATTAAAATGCTCCAATCTCCATAACATGATTTTATTTATGAAAAAAGATGGTACTTACATGTTATTGCAACCATCTTAGTAGAAGTTGCCAAATTTTCAGAATGTGCCAAACTCTGGCAACCATGCACATAATCACTCTTCAGGTAACCATTCTTATAACTATCCTTCAGTCAAGCAATGTCGCCATTTTCGTTTGCATTCTTATTGTTGTATTCAAGTTATAATGATTTTTATAATTAAACCAAGATATATTTTTGCTTTAAACTTAGTTTTAAAGTATGCACTTGCATAATTTGACAGAAATGGATGAAACTTGAGTAAAATTTCTGCAAGAATACATAATTTTGCCACAAAATCTCTACAGGGAACAATGAAGAGATGCCTTTGGTAGATAGAGATCTGCATGATGAGTCTGCAATTCTCTGTTCTTTTTGAGAAAATAGATTGTTGTGTACTTGGAGGAAAGAATATTGGGGAAAAAAAAAATTACAGAAAGATTTGGAAACGAATGTGTTTCTTTTTTTAACATATCATGAAATCCTTATTTAACAACTAAAAATTGTATTTAAAATCGCCAAAATATGTTGATTTTTCATATGTTGATAATATTTATCCACTTAGATATATATTGCTAGTTTGGGAACCTTTTTAAAAAATGTCATGAAAACCACTAACTCATACACAATAACTTTTAATCCAAGCAACTTTTACCTTTTCATCTGTAAAAAATCACTAAATTATACAAAGTTGGCTGCATTAATATGTAAGTACCAAAAAGATAGGGTTAAATGGAGATGCTGCTCTTGTAAGAATCAAATCAGCATCAGGAATTCTCATCTCCCATTCACAACTGTCATAAGATTCATTTATTTATGGTCAATGGAATTGACATTCATCAAAATTTGTGAGAAACTTCCCATGTCACACACTACTGTCGTACTGGATTAATTATTTATGGGAAATTTGCACGGACGACCTTTTGGACAATGAAAAGAAAAAGATGCGAGGACCAGGCAAATTGCTGAAATAGACGAAAGCCTTTTTACCAAGAGGAAGAATAATGTCAGGTATATTTTCTGACCACAATGGGTTTTGAGAGGAATTTGCTATGATACAAAAGTTACATTCCTTGTTGCTGATCCAAATAGAGGAGTAAACCATCTGCTAAAAAATATTCAAGAAAATGTAAACGAAAGGTTAATTATCTACTCCAACTTGTTGGAAGGTGTATAAGATGGACAACACTTTAAAGTAAATCACAACTTCAACTTTGTAGACCAAGAAACCTACTAAAAAATATGAAGACAGCAGATCGCCTATGAAAGTCAGCCAAAAAAAGAAAAAAAAAAAAATAATAATAATGCAGGATTGCCCAACATTAACCATCATATTTAGCAAATTTGTATGGTGAAAAAATTTAAAAGTGAATAAAAAAGTTTTATTGGATTTTATCATGGCAGTGGCTGTTAAAAAGTTTCCACTGGAAATCAACACCAAGATCTGAGAAACCCCATGCAGTTTATGCCAATAAATAATTATTTAATATCTTAATATTTTATATTTTTTTAATATTTATTTTGTGCATTTGATAAAAATGTAGGCCATCTAGTCAACAATAAGAAAATTTGTTTTGATTGTGAGCACATAGTAGAAAAGACAGATTGAGGGTACATAATGGAAAAGTACCAAATTCTGTATTCATGATAAAAATAAGACAAAAAAAGTCTGACTCCTGTACAATAAAAACTGACCGAGATATTTAATTATAAAATTTGCATTTTTGACTTCAACGTACTATTAGGGCTTGGTTAATAAATAAGAATAATTTCAGAATAAACCCTCCCTTAAAATGCCATTCAATGATATTGTTTAGTCATTTATCAGTTTCTTTAATTTATACTATTGTTATATTTGGTATACTGAAAAAAAAATTTCACACAAATAATTTATAATAGTCTAAAAAGACATTATTAAAATTCTCATAAAGTTTTATCACTTTAAACCTGTAATGTTGTAACAATAAAAAATTCACTAAACTACAATTATTTTTTATTTATAATTAATACAAATAATATCACAAATTAGTTGCAAGCTGGTATTTTCTAGAATACAAATTCTATGAGATTCTGTGAATAAGATTTACATTTTGAAATCTGATATGTCATAAATTCATGCAAATTTTAAAATAAAAGGAATGTACAATGAAACAGATCAGAATAACATGACACTATGCATTTATTTTAAAGATGTTTAACATGACCACCGACACAAGGTATTAGGCAAGCAAGGTGCAATCACTATGCCTATTACAGCTGAGTATAAAAATGTTGGCATTAATGAAACAAACTGGCATCTTTCAATTCCATCAAAGTGGCTGGGGAACTCCGGTACACGACAGACTTTAAACAAAAATAACCATAGTCTGTCAGGATAAAGTCTGGTAACCATGACTCAGCTTATAACTCAGTCTTCAGAAAAATCTTGACTTCAACTGCAACACTGGGTAGGGCACCAATCTGCATGAAAGTGATTACAGGAAACGCATGTCTTTCTTGCAATGCAGGCAGAACTTCATGCAAAAGCATAACATACCATTCTGCAGTGAGTCTACAGGTGTTCCAACACAATACAGGACAATTCAAAAAAAAAAAAAAAAAAAAAGGCCCAGAATGAAAGACATAGTGAAACCACAACAAACAATCACATGAGGAGAATGCAGCCTTGATTAAGTAGTCATGAGGGCTTGATGTCATCCAATTGCAACTGCTTTGTGTATTGACATCACAGTGTAATGAAAAGTTGGCTTCATTCATCCAGATGATGTTCAGTAACCATTGTGGATCGTGTTCCATTTGTGCCAATGCCCATGTAGTAAAGTTTTATCTTTCATCTATATCTGCTGGTAATAACTGGTGAAGCGCCTGTATTTTTTATGCATTCAGATTGAAGATTCAGTGTGAAATAATATGTTGAATCGATAATTCCAGAGTCCCCATTATTCTTACAACTTCAGGAGCACTACCACTCCTTGTTGATGTCTTAGCTGCCAATTCTTTCATGATACTTTGTACAACATGGACGCACTCCATGTTCAAGGATGGTCTGCCGTTTCATGGATTATTTTCCAAATGCTCCATTTCCTCAAAATTTTGTACTACATTCAGTATCCCATTCATTCAAATAGAGCTTTTTTTGCACCTTCAGTCCTTTTACTATGCAAAACTTGCACAATGCAATACTTGTGGATTTACCATTTTTTGTAGAAAAGTTAAACCACCAACATTTGATTTGCTAATGACAGCATGTTGCTAGCAATGAATGACAAATCCACTTCCAGCCAATTGCTTCACTGCTAGCTCGATTTGCATAAAACATCTCAGTATAACGTGTAAGCACCCTCTTTTGGTTACTTTAGAAATAATTTTTTTCCTTTTATACATGGAAAAAAATCCAATAAGCAGGACAATTCTTTCTGATTGTTGTGCTGAAATCTATATGTATTATTATTCATATTAGCCGGAAAAAAAATCTTGTAATACTTTTAAGTGTCACATTAGAAGATCTGTAAATGTTACAATTATAAAAAGTGGCAAATGTTGTGTTAAATCAACTATGATCTGGAGATATCCCACTCAAATAATGTGTAAACATATTAACCATTTTTCTCCATACTACAAAAGATATAATTCCACTAAAAACTATAGTTCCATGATTTTTAGTGATCTGACTTTTTTTAAATAAGTGACGGAACATGCATTGTTCATATAAAATTCATAAATTATGAAAAAAATCAATATGCTTAGTTTCTAGATTTCAAATCAATATCAATCTTAATTTCTGCTCATTTGAACCAGGGGTGCAAAAAGCATGCAGTGGCAGAATCCCCCAATGAGATACAGACTTTCCCTCCTTTAACAGTAAATTCCCTCATCGACCCCTCACCCCGCAGCACATAATTAACACCCCTTCTGGCAGAATGCCAGAGGTTACATTTAGGATGACTGAATTATAGGCATAATGTGAAAAGTTACAAAGGAGAAGGATATTGTATATTGAGCAATTCCAGAATAATGTCTGTAATAATATGCTGCAAATTACTGTTGTAGGGAGAAGCTAATGTCGATTAAATGGTGTAAGTGCAACTACTAAAGTTCTGAATATACAATTACCAACTGGAATAGTTTTATGAGAATATGCTCTCTACATCTAATTTGACAACTATAGGACATTAGGTGGACATGAAAAATTGTTGAAGTAGATAAAAGCCTATTCATTTGGAAGGGGGAGGGAATGTTGACAAGGTTCTTATGCATCAGTTGATATCTGGCCAGTTATACCTAGAAACAGGCGAATATTCTCTCAGTTTTTCGAATTCCAAATAAAGAAGCAATAAATCAATAATTGCTATGCATACACAAAATGTTTAAAGACATGCGTACATAAAATATTGGGATTTTGCTAAGTGGCAGAACAAAGAATAGCACTATTTTATTTTCACAGCCCACGTGATAAAGAACAGTACTTTATGTAAAAGAACTGTACTTTAACGGATTTGATAAAGAGTAATATCATAAGTTTTTTTTTTTTTTTTTTCTCAATTTAAATATTGTAAAAAAAAGTTGCCAAACTATGCAAAATATGGTAATTTCATGAATTTGATGAACCACATAATATCATAAGCCTTTTTTCAATTTTAGCATTGTAAAAAAAAATTTCATAATTTTTAATTTACTGAGGACTGAGGAAGATGCATATTATTTTTCCAGGAAAAGATATATTACCTTGAAAAGGAATATGTATAAATGGATATGAAATGAAACTATATGTAAACAAAAGTACCTGAAGCTGTAATGTGAAAAGTTTAAAAAAAAAAAAAAAAAAAAACTGACTCCTGGTTTAGTAGTTCCAGAATATCATTTCTAACAATTATTGACAGTTTTCCCAAGCCACGAAAAAACGATGCTGGAAGGATACTTTCACAACAGCAGATATTTTGCCGGCTATGCCGTGAAAGTGGCAAGTGTTTTCTTGTTCAGGTTCCAAATCAGAAAGCAGGCACAGTGATATCAACAACTGCAGACCATCTAGTAGAAGCATCAATGCATTCAGATTGTTGGAGAGCCTATAGAGTGGGTTATATACTGCCACTTAACTGTGAATCACACATTTAATTTTGTTAATCCAACAATGGGTGCTCACATCCAAAATGTGGAAAGACTGTGAGGCTCTGTTAAATGGTGAAACAAAAAGCAAAGTTGTACGGCTCGACATCATCTGGAGTCGTATCTTTCCCAATTCATGCATCAGAAATATTTTGGGAAAGATAAGCCTTTCGATGCCATAGTAAAAGCATTCATGGAGATATGGCTGCAAAAAACTGTACGTGAGTAGTTTAAATTTGGCGGTAATCTTTGGCACCCGTTTGATAATAGAGGCCATGAAAATCAAGTAATACTTAAAAATCAACAAAGCTTGGTTCCTCAACATCACAAAACCTATCTATCTAAACTTACTTCAGGAAAAGAAAATGTTTTTGATGCTACATTAAAAGCAATCATCATGAAAATGCAACAGTCACAAATAGGACGTGAGAAGTCAATGAGAACATGCCTATAATTATAATACCATGTAAATGAAGAAGGCCATAATAATAAATATTTATTTAAAATATACCAATTTTTTATTTATTACAAGTAATAATCCAATAAAATAGCACACGATTTAAAAGAAAGCATTTAAAACATTAGCATTAACTGATAATACTAATTAATACAATATAACCTAAAACACTGTATCAATTAGCATTACCAATTAACACAATATTTCAGGCTAGGTTATTTGATTATGGCAAAGCATACAGGGACTTTCTAAGGGAAACTGGCTAATATTCACATTATGCATGGTGAAAAACCATAAAAAGGAACCAATTAGCCAGCCCATTTGCTTTGGTTTGAACACAGGCCAAACTACCAGTATTCATGGTTTTTAACCTTTCGGCCGCTGGTGGGACTAATACATAGTTTAAACGCTTTTATAAGTTTCTGCCATTCACACAGCATTATGGTGTGTGTGTATGCGTGTATCAGTAAAAAGCCAGTTTTAATCCTTGGTAAAGAACACAGTAATTGTTTGAACAGCATAAATTCTCAAGCACTCTTGAAATACAAATGTGATAACACAATACAAAGAGCAGATAATAATAAATAAAACTGTTAATAAATGATAAGACAACAAAAGAAAGAATATGTATAATATAATACTCACGTCTGTTAAATGAGCTATTAACTTCCCACTGGTACAATGGAGTACTTCTACCTATAAAAACAAATTTGAAAATTTAGGCAGTTTTTTAGAAAACATACTGCAGTATTTCACTGTTAAAGTATCAGCCATGTAAATCTGTGGTGACATTTGAAATTTTCACATTAAAACTAACATTAAACTGAATTAAGACCGACAATTAAGCTCAACATCCACTTTAAGCCAAAAAACATTGAAATGTAATTGAAAGAGAAACTTGCTTAATGTAAAATTTTAAATTCAGTGAAATGGCAAGCTTACCTAGTTGTAAATTTGCATAAAATTATCAATTTTGAAAGTGATCAGATCCAAGTCTGTCTTTTTCAAGAGAAAAATCCGTTGATACTTATGTGTTATCGCAACCACCTCAGAAGTCGCTGCCAAATTTTCAGAATGTGCCAAACTCCAGCAACCATGCACATAAGTGGTAAAAATATATTTCAAGGTAGCCCCTGGTGAAAATTGGCGATTTTTTGGCACCATTCCTGTTTACGTCCAATGCCCTCCCCAGTAAAATGGCATCCAAAACATAATTAAAACAAATACATACAATCTCAATAAACTGCATTTTTAATTAAAAAATGGAAATACATGTTATCTAATTTATGCAGTATAAAAAGGAAATATCGACTTACCTTATTTAAAAATTTCTGTTCCTTTGATATGTGTTACACAAAGAATTCCTTAACAGCATCCCAAAACTGTCTAAAATTACCTGAACTAAAATCTGTATACTGCAATCGCCACATAAATTCACGAAAATAAGAATCAAATTTAATTCAGTCTTAATCATTTTACTATTAGCTTAATACACCTATATCCACATAAAATTCAAAATCTTGTGACGTTCAGACATATGCACCCCTCGGACTTCCAGGTGCTTAATGAAACTATTTTTTTCTCAGCGACAGAATGGACAGCAGACTTTTGGAAGAAAGGTGCAGCGGAAACCTCCCTCCTAGTATGGTTTCCGGTCATAAGGGACTAATAATTCTCTTTCCAGGTTTTTAACAAAACGAGGAGAGAGTTTTGTTTAAAAAGCTTTTGATGCTGTAAACGAAAGAAAGCAGATGCATTTTAGAGTCGTAGCCACGTTAGCGGCCTTTGTATGAATTATGGTTAAAATGATTCAATTATTTTAATATTTATTCAAGGATTTCTTATAAGTTTTTCAAAATAATATTTAAAAGACAACCTGTTTTCTAGCACCCAACACGGTGTTCTGACATATAGCTTTATTAAAAAGGGGCGTGTTCGATGAGAAAATCCATGCAGAAATTACAGACCATCAGACTCTGGAATTCATCTTAAGTTTGTAGGACAGCCATTGTCCAAACATCATCAGTGTTTTGCAGATATTACAGATCGTCAGGTTCTGAAGAGCAGCTCGAAAAGTTATGAACATCAGTTCGAAAAAGTGATTACAGCTCTCTGAAGCGGTGAAATAAGAAATCTATGCAGAGATTGCAGACTGCCAGGCTCTGAAATTCATCTCAAGTTTGTAGGACAGCCATTGTCCGAACATCATCAGTGTTTTGCAGATTTTACAGACCGTCAGGTTCTAAAGTGCAGCACGAAAAGTTATGAACATCAGTTCAGAAAAGTGATTTACAGCTCTTCAAAGCAGTGAGATAGAATCCACGAAGAAGTTTACGGACAACAGTCCAGATAAAAAGCAACGTCAGTCTCCTGAATACAACTCATCTTCAGCAACATAAATTGTGCGATTATCTTGTGTTCGAGAAAAATTAGTACAGAAGTGTGCGGACAAGCCTTGTCCAAAGATCATCAGATAATTGTGAATGTGTAGTGTAGTGTAGTGTAGTGAAAAAGTGATACATGTGTGATCATCGTTGTGCCTGACAAAATTAGCGCAGTGCAGTGTATGGTGTTCAGTGCAGTGTATTCTTGCCGAAGATCATCAGATTATTGTGAATGTGTAGTGTAGTGTAGTGATAAGATGTCTACAATATGATATAAGTTTCTACAAATATGATATAAGTTTCTACAAATATGATATGTCTACAATTCAGGTCCCTGATATAAGTGCCTACAATTCAGATGGGTAAGTACCTTGGATTTTTATATTGAGGCAGTAAAGTTTAATTGGTTTCGATTAGTAATAAGTTACATAATGTTTTAGTCACTTTGTTTCGTAAAGCTTAAAGAAATGTGCTGTTTGGGTTTATTTACAATAAGAAAGTATAATTTAATTTAAACTATGTAATAGTTTTTTTATATATCTGAAAGTAAGTGTTGTGCTCAATTAAGCTTATATAATGAATGGTAAGGAGAGTTACGTAATTTGAAGTCTAAGTATAGGGCATTTGACATTCATTCTAAGATGTTTTGAATATATAATATTAAATTTCAGTTAAGGTGTGTCAACATGATTTGGTAAGAAAAGAGAATTTTTTTTCTATGAATGAGGAAAGGGGTCTAGATCCCCAGTATTTTTTTATTTTAAGGTTGTTTTAATGTTTAGTTATGAGTATGTAGATACTATATGATTTTATAATTAACCTTTGAACAGCATATTTTAATATACCTCAAATTTGATGAAAATAGATTGTATTTATCTAACAATTTCGTTTAATGCAATGAATTTAAAGTTTTAAGAGGAAATTATCGTAGTATTATAGTCCTCAATTAGACAAATTTATTTGAACGCATAATGGATATTATAGTGTTAAACTGTCTTGTTTTGTTTAAGATCGTAAAATATGCTGTGAAAAAATGCGGTTCAATTTTACTCCTTGAAAATGATAATTGTTTAAATCAATTATTATATGTAGAGTGAGGGAGAAAACTGTTGGATTTTAGCCTAAATTTGGTTCATATCCGGCATTCTTAGCAAAAGTTTAGGAAAAGGATCTTAAATCCTTGGCTGAAGAGTTAGGGGAAAAAGTTAGCCCTGAACTTAGGATATTGGATTTAAGACTATTGATTATGGGAAATGAATCCTATGAGGAAAACTAGTGAAAGGCTTTAAAAATTCCACTTCAACGAGGTGAGAAGGGAAAAAAGGAGCAGGAAAGAATAGGAGAGAAGAAGAAGAGGCAAGATAGAATTAGGAGAGAAAATGGAATTTCAATTATCGAAGTTTAAAATTACTGCCGCTAATGGAATGACTCTGTAAATGCAGGATGAAGAAATGAATTAAGAAAAAGCCATTACAATCTAAAAAAATGATTCCAAAATTTGGTCCTGAAGAGAACGACATTAGTTTGTATCTAGTCATGTTTGAGCGCCAAGCAAAGCGTGCGAATCTTCACCAATCAGAATGGGTTTGGGTTTTATTGACAATTTTGCCAACTGACATAGTTTAGCTGATTATGCGAGAGCCAGAGCAGCAGACTTATGACTATGATTATGTAAAGAGGATATTGCTTAAAAGGTTTAAGCTTAGTCCAGAAAAATTTCATATCAAATCTACAGAATCCCAGAAAAACACTCGAACCACTTGGAGAGATTTTGCTTTTGAATTAAGGAATTATTTCGAAAAATAGATCACAGATTTGGAAGTTACTGATTTTGAACTTTTGAAGGATCTCATGATAACAGACTAAATGAAGTGCCATGTAAATGTCGAAGTGCGGCAGCATTTTATTGACGAATGGTCGAAGATAACGACTCCAGATAAATTATCAGAAATGCTAGAAGAGTATGAAAACGTGTGAAACAGAAGAAGATTCTCATGTTCATAGTTCTAGTCACATGGAAAATAAAAATCATTTAAATTCAAGAGATCCGCAAAAGTATCACCAGTCTGGCGGGGAAGACAGAATGCCTATGACAAAGGAACATCCAGAATCAGAATGAGCACACTTTATATGAGAAACCACTTAAGTGTTTCTTGTGATTCAACCAAACAATTAAGGCCTCAATGTCCGGAATTAAAAGGATCTCAAAACCATTTATTGTAATAGAGTCCAGATAATTGAAGAAGATTGGTAGCCCCGTGTCTAACATGGCTAAAGTGAACGGTTTTTGAATTCCGTTTTGAGAATACCGGTCATGCATTGACGTAATAGCAAGACTATCTCACTCCTTCGATGCCGATGGGGAGAAGTTTGTAAACTCCATTTGATGAGACCCCATGGTTTACCATTAGCACTTACAATAGAAGAACATTGGGAGTACAACAAAGCAGTGGTCATTCGAAATGATGGAACATTCTGTTAGGAAACGAACGCGAAAAATTATCAGTAGATCAATACATAAGTTTTCCTTAGGTGAAACGGTACTCGAGATTCGAGTCAATAAAGAATGAAATCGGCGAGTATTGGCGGAGACGAACTCGAACCCTCAAGGAATTTCTCCTTCATATAGAGGGGTAAAGTCTTGTCTCAATCAAAAAGGATGGAGAAAACCAATTTCTCTCTGTCTGAAACGAAGGTGAATGAACTGTCACCGCCTACAATAAAATCTTCTTTTGTAACAGACCTACAAAAGAAAAGTGACGTAAAACAATCTTGTGACTTAGTCGCATTAGACGATCACAGTAACTCTTTGGGAAATGTGTACAAGTTAAGAATTTCCTTTTTGGTTCGGCATGAACAAGAAACTGTAGATATGACAAATGATTTTTCATACCAACTAGACTCAGAAGGTTTGCAAATGCCTAAAAATTCCGTAGAATTGCCCAAGACACTGAATAGTGTAAATTTACCACGGAAAGTAGAAGAATCCCCAATTCATCATTTATATATACTAGTTCCAGATACTGAAGGGTCAAAGGGGATTAAATATAGCTACTTCATGAATGCTGTAAATCCAACTTGTAATGAAGTAGTTTTTTCTGATGTTAAAGCCAAATTAAATGTACATGTTTATTTGAGGTCAAATGTGCCGTTCTATCCAGGGTTGGTTATAGAAAGATTATCAGAAACGGAAAATAAAATATGCAAGTTTCCCTTTTCAGCCTGGCTAAATATCTAATTAATATTAAACTTTAGGAATGTATATTGTATATTACATTTTTCAGAAAATTATACATTCTTTATTAGGATGTGTATAATTTAATATTATTCTTTATTAGGATGTGTATATTTAGTCTCAGTATCATGTTGATTATATGTTTTTTAATGGCCTCAATATAGTTCTTGTTATGTTTATCCTTGGTACTTAGCCCAGTGTTGTAGGAAAAAAAAAAGTATTAGTGCTAATTATTAGTTAATTTTATTATTAATAATTATTAGTTAGTTTTATTATTAAGACTTGCTGTGGTAAGGTACGAGGAATTGGAGTTCTGAAACGAGGGGAGGAGATGTGACGTTCAGACATGTGCATCCCTCGGACTTCTAGGTGGTTAATGAGACTATTTTTTTCTCAGCGACAAAATGGACAGCAGACCTTTGGAAGAAAGGTGCAGCAGAAACCCCCCTCCTAGTGTGGTTTCCAGTCATAAGGGACTAATTATTCTCTTTTCTGGTTTTTAACAAAACGAGGAGAGAGCTTTGTTTAAAAAGCTTTTGATGCTGTAAACGAGTGAAAGCAGACACATTTTAGCGTTGTTGCCGCGTCAGCGGCCTTTGCATAAATTATGGTTAAAATTATTCAATTATTTTAATATTTATTCAAGAATTTCTTATTGAGTTTTTCAAAATAAATATTTTAAAAGACAACTTGTCTTTTCTTGCACCCAACACGGGTTTTCTGACTTATCTCAGTAATACTCAAATGACTCTAATCAAACCATGATCCCTTTCTAATGAAACACTTTATATAGTGAGCATTTGAACCTTTCTTGCGAAAAACCCATTTAAAGACATCTGAACGATCTTCACGTTTGACCATACTTATTTCCTTTGCACAAGCAGAACACTTATAATGATTACCGAGTAAACCTTCATTTAAACACCATTAATGCTTCTTTTCCCATTCATTCCAAATCATACAGAAACTTCGGATTAAACTTATCACAGGCAGCCAATTTACGGTGTACAGCACAAAATAAGAAACGTACTTCCTACATGATATCCAACTCAGAAATAAGCTCTGAGAAATTAAAATCACTGCGATGACTCGTTACAACCAATCACATCATAATAGGACATAATATCACATCATAACTTTCATCATAACTCGGTTACTATACATGAAACAACAACTTCGCGATAATCCAAGGGATAACCCTAAAATTAGGTCCAAAATTAAAATCCAAGGGATAAACAAATTAGTAAATGAGAGACTTTAATGCCATTATAAAGCTAATAATATTATTAACATAAATACATTATCACCAAATAATGTGATTTGTTACCAATATTGGGTAAGCAAGATATTACAGTAAAATCAATCACAAAATCATCAAAAAGTTTTCCTTGATTTAATGTGTATCTAAATTAATTCTCAATAAGCCAGTTTAATTTTTTTTTTTAAATGAAAATAGATTGATGTTTACATGGACAAAGTTCATGGACTTTGTCCATGTATACATCAATCTATTTCAAATCCATTACAATTCACTATAATCAAAGTTCGATGTGCGCATGAACACAGACTTTGTGTAAATCTTCGACTTCTTATTTTGGTTTTGTGCAGTGGCCATCTTGAAATCATGCATTCCTGGAGCAGATCTAGGAATAAAAAAAAAGAATCGCCAAAAAACAAAGGGCACCCAATTGTAAACTTTTACCAAATTGCAAAGTTTGAGAGAAATATCATCAAGTAAGGCATTGATTTGCTAGAAAGCTTCTTTTCTGTTTTAGTCAATGTTTGAAAATTAAGCTAAAAAGTAGCCTTAATTTGATGAAAATTCTGAATAACTGTATCGATTTTGAAGAAGATCAGATACAAGTCCTTACCTTTACTTAAGCAAAACTTGAACATGATTTACTTTTACAGATAAAGCAAAACTGTAAAGGTAAATAAGGCGACTTGCACAAAATACTTTTGAGGATAAATGCACAGTTAATGTAAATGATAACAGATGCTTATTAACGCATAGTTAATAGAAATAATGGTTGAAATTTACTGTACAGTTCCGCTTGGTTTCTGTCTGAAAAAATCACCAAGTGGTATTGATTCTTCATGAAATCTGGAAGCCCACTATGTGAAGTAGGTTTTTTGGTAACCTTAATGTTGATAATGTTAGTGAAACTAGTCTTCGGGAAAATTGCGAATATTGCCAAATGTGTTGTGATAAGTTGAGATTTTGGCTATTTTTTGTAATAGTAACCCTTTCGAATAGACCAGAGATTTTGACTTGCAGTGTTTGGTTGTACGTGCATAATGTTTTATAAAAGTGGTACCTGTAAGTTTGCTTAGTGTTATAAATGAGCATATTATTCCAGATACGACTATAATTTCTGAGTTCTGGAAGAAGAAATAGAAGGAAAGAATTTATGGCTTTCTTGGACGCTATTATACATATTTATCTGCTATTAACAGCGGAAGAGCCGAAACGACCAGTTATTTAATTTAATTGCTTACGTGGACGAGATGCTAGAGGGAGGCATTAATGTATGCACATGAAGCAAAGATATGTTAAAGAGTTGGCATTTTATTCATTTATCAGTGTCTGTGTGTTAATTTTTGTTGAAAGATTTGTTGTTTAAAGTTTTTATGTTAGGAAATATGTATTTTTGGTTATTTATTCGTGTTTGTGTGTTAAGACAGCGGTGAATTTTTTCTGGTTAACACAATAGTTTAAACTTGTTTTAGCTTTCTCATTTTGTTTAAGTGAAAATAGATCGATGTGTACATGGATAAAGTTAAATTAGTGAGCAATGCTTAGTTTCTGCAATTCTCTAATGTTTTTTTAAGTTAAAATAGGCCGATGTGTACATAGACGCCGAGCTTGTGTAAATGTTCGATTTTCTGTAGGGGTGGTACTGATGTTGGCATAAAAAAATCAATGATTCGCCTAGTGGAACTGCAAAGATTAACTGAAATAATTACAGAGGCAAATGCTGAATAAGTTAAATAGTGGAAAAATATATTGGCTAAATATTCATGCAGTTCACTGAAATTTGTGCATATTATTTAGTCAAACTTATTTTAATTACCAATAATATAAAGCTGCCAATGTTGGCAAGTTACCACTATAGAAATCAAAGCTAATGCTTAATTTGGCAAATAATGTCAAAACGCAAATAACAAATCCTTTGTTTTTAGAGATGATTATCAGAAATTCATACTGGAAGTCAAATAGACAACAATATTGCACATTTTTTTCCCATTTAAATAAATATTCATTCAATCAACTTTATGAATATTATTTAGCAAAGATTTTTTTTCTTTTTCATGTGTAAACTATGGTAATTAAAGTTTAAATTAGTAAACCTTTAAAATATCAAAGACCATACTTAATAAATCTTGCTAATAACTTTGCTTTCCTAAAATAAATGAAAATTTTGGCAAGAAGATATTAACTTCGAATTACGTAATAATTTTTCCGCAATTAGCAATAGCTGGACTAATGAGCAGGAAAGTTTCCTGGTTACAAGGAAAACAGAATTTCCCAGTGTTCGAAACAAAAACAAAATCATCAAGGCCATTTGCGATAATTAAAATTGGATTTTCTTACAATAGTAACAATTTCAAATATTTTAAACTGGAATGCAGTTGATTTTGAAAGTAAACTTCGGTAAACTGAAGCATTTATGCAACTTCAATTATACTATTAATAAATAAATAATTAAATTTATAACTTTCAATAATATAATCTTACCTCCATGATGTTTTCGGAAGCTAACCTTTGCAAGTTACGATGACTTCCCTTCGAAATTAAATATCGTATGATATGCACGCACGGGCGAAAACCGGAATACAGTATTGGCAATCCTCACGTATTTCTGCCCTGTGCTTGAGTGAACTCTTTACAGAAAAGTAGAGCCGACGAAGCAGACGAAAAGTTGTGCGGTGTGCATCCGCGAAACGGTAGTTACTAAACATTTCTTTCAATAAAAGTTAATGCATGAGAGAAGGAATAAAACTGAGAAAAAAAAGACCGTTTAATTTTATATAACAAGCTTTTTGCTCAAATTGCGATATAAGGTTGATTTCTTTATTATCAATTGTCAATTATTAGCTTTTGAATAATTTAAAAAAGAAAGAAAAGAGAAAAGTACCCAACACTTAAAATTATTGAAAGTATTGAGCGAACAATACGTTTCAGCATTATTACGTGAAATTGACGCTAATTTTCCCACAAAGTGATTTACAAGCACTTACTGTCATGATTTGAGGCTTTTATACCAAGGTTGTAGTGTCATTAATACTTAATACGGAAAGACTTTCTGTGAATAGATATCGCAAACGGAAAAAATAATCTTTTCAAAGACGTTTATTCCAAAGCTGATACTTAAATACTTACTTTTCCAAAATTAATCTACCCTTCTGAATTACTGCAATAGCTTTTCTAACTTGACGTAACATAATTTCTTCTGGAAATCATCCGGTTAGCGATTTTCGCAATTAGGTTTGATTGGAATGGCAACAGTTCATTTGTTTATAGAATTCGTTCGATCGTCCTTTTATTGTATGTTCGCTGAATTTCTTATAATACTTGTTATTATTATTTTTTCCTCTTCCCCGCTCACGTACAAAAAAAGGTAGAGAGGGAAAAAGAACATAATTTTTGTAAGTTAGAAAATATAAGAGAGAAAGAGACAGTTCATAAAATGACCGAAATTACAGCATGTCAAACATACCCAGTATTCTTACGCATCTGAACGAGTGTTTCAGGTCAAAGTAACTAAATAGAGGCGTGAGAATGTTCTGTTCATTGCAGAGCCATATTTTTATTTTCAGGTTGCAAGAAATTCCTCAAACATTGAGCTTATATTCCAACTCAGCGATCATAAACATAGAGAGTCTGAGATACAGTAATTAGGATATCTGCCTTACATAATTTTGTTTTCGTTTCCACGATTCTAGCATTCATCCTATTTTTTTCATACTTCACATAGTTGTAACATCTTATCATAGTTCTTACATATTAGAATAAGGGATCCATATGTAAGAGTAGTGGTGGTGCAAGTGCTTGGAAGTTATTAGTGTACTTTAAACACTAGAAAAATGAGTGATTGTTGTTACTATCATACTTTGAATACGTTATGCTGTACAGTGCAAAAACATTTCTTCCCCTCCCACGCACTTTCCTCCTGCCAACCTATTTTGATAATGTTTTTGGTTCAAAAATTTGATATTGAGTTTTCAGTGAATAAGCATGAATTAGGGTCTAAAGAACAGGTTTTTATTACTGTTAACTATTATGCGTTTTTTCATCATCAATAACTCTTACCACAGACTTCCAAAAACTTTTATTTTCATATTTATGCCTTCTGCATTCATATAATTCATATCTGGCTGTAATGAAAGATTTCCACCAACGAACATTCTTACTTAAGTTAGGGGGGAAAAGTATGAAAGAACCTTTAGTGCAGGTAGAAATAACTACTCAAATTTATGATTTTTCACCAAAGTTTTGATAGTTTTTCAAAGCCTTTGGCCCAGAAACTTGGTGGCTGAGAGTCCGGAAACAAATCAACCTCATTTCAGACATTCTGTGCAGAATGAAAGACAGCACTAGCAAGATGTACCTGCAGGTATGAAAAAAAGGTAGAAGTCCGAAGGTGCGATGTTAGGGCTATACAGTGGGCGTGGAGAAAGATCAGAGTCCTGCTGCACACACATGTGGTCTTGCATTATCTTTGTGTGCCAGAACTCAGATCGATGTTTTTCGTGGTAGCAGCGTCAGTACGGACTAGCATGATCTTTTTGTTAGTCAAATTGTGCTTTGCAATGCTGCCGACAGGCTCACCAAGCGGAGACGAACACCCTTTTCAGCCTGTCCTGTTGAAGTTAACCGCTTCCCTGATTATCCAGAGTTATCTCGGGTTCGTATATATTGCAGTTAATTATTATCCCGAGAAAACTCGGGCGAAGCATAATTTGTTAGTACGATTTCTTTTATCACGGTTTTACTCGGTCTGGAGGAAATACTCAGCTTTGATCGGCAGTTTGCCAAATTTTGTTGGTTGCGCGGTTCTTTTGGAGGGACTGGTCGCGTGTTTCCCTATTGTATAGTATACGTTGGCTTGTGGACTAATAATGTTTAAAGGATGCATGCGTTGGATAAAAATAAAATAATGGTGATGATGGAAGATAGCGAAAGCGATGATTTTTCAGATAGTGATTATGAAAAGGTTTGGGGGGGGGGAAATCGAATCCAATGAGACAGTGTACTCTGTGCTCCCGTGAAAGAGATTCCAGCGGTAAGCCAGTAAAAGAGACCAGATACCAGTGTAGAACATCAGGTATCACTCTGTGTTGTCCCTTGTTTCAAAAACTATCATACAAAGATTAATATTTAACTTTTTTTCGTTTGCCCGAGATAACTCAGAATAGTAAACTAATATTAAAATAAATGCTTTTACACCTTCAAAAAATTAAAAATTCAACCTACATATTTTGATTTGTTTCGTTTTGTTGTATTTAATAATAAAATAAAAAAATGTGATGATTTTTTACAATTTTTTTCAAAAAAATTTGTAAGGGAAGCGGTTAATCCACTTTTCATCACAAGTGACAATCTGGTCCAAAATTTTGTTCTTTCATTGATATTTGAGCAGGCCCGAACACATCTATCCTTATCTGCTTAAATCTACTCATGAGGCATAACCTAGTGACTGAAATTATACCTCAAGTTTATGCAATACATAGCATGACTACAGAACATGGCACTAACACCTACTAACCCCTTGGCAAGCTCTTAAGTGGTTGCATACTGATCTTCTTCCACAAGGTCTCACAGGTAATCAGAGTGCTCTGCTTCTTGAATGCCATAGTCCTTGTTTTTTGACTTTCGGTACTAAGCCTTCCCAGTGTCATATGATACAACATTAGTACCTAAAGCTAAACACATGATTTGGTGACATTCTGTAGTTGACTTTACAAGAGCTTTTTAAATGATGGTTCTAATCTGGTAACGTGATAGTTCTATTTCAGACACCTTGTACTTAATGATAATGATCTTTTTTTACAAATTTCACAACACAGTGTTCTAAAGCAAGGAGTTAACAACAAAAATGTGTTACTAAGAAAACTGAGCAAAGACTGGAAAAAAAAACAATGGCAACACTTAACACTGTATTGGGAATTCTAAATATAGGTTGCTTTTAAAGTTTTGCAATTTTACTGTTGAATTTTGTGTCATAAGTATGAAGGAAATGTTTAATAATAAAGTTAAATGGAAAAAAAAAATGTTGTGTAGGTCATTTTGTTAAGAAAATTGAACACAATTAGTAAACTGATAAAAGAATAGGGAGTCGGGAAAAAGAGGAGAAAAATCATGTCAACTCTATAAAAAACTTAATGCTTTTAAAATTTTAGTGATTTTACTGTTTAATTTTACACAGCGTTAAATACAATGATAGTGATGTTCTTTTGTAAAAAATAATTCTAGTTAGAATGAAAAATGGCTCATCCTGGTTTAAGATACCCAAAACCAAACTATCCCACATACATTAATTGATAACACGTAATTGTAATTTAGACTTAAAAAAAAGAAAGAAAAAATTATAGCCCTTTATAAACTAAGCTTTTATTTAAAATTCACAAAATATTTAATGAACTAAAAAGAGAAAATTTATCATTAGTTTAATATTTTAAATATAAAAATAAACATTTACAAAAAATAAAAAGACATCTCTATTATTAAATAATGAAAATTCTGAATATATATGTTACTTCCATTGTAGGAAAATGGCAACACTTAGAGAATTTCTTTAACACACATAATCCTCCATCTGAATATGTGCACATCACAGCTTTAATTTTTAGTTTGTTTTTGATTTATTTAATGTTTTGTGAAAATTCAACTATTTTCTGATTAACGAATTTGGCAATCTGAGCAGTTGAAACACTCATCAAAATAAAACATTATGTCTGGTGCATCAAGACTATTGCTATTTGGCAAAATTTAAGTCATTCATTTTTCAGTTTTTATCAACAAACTCAGTTATTTAAAAGCAATGTGTTGCCACTGCTGGAAATAAAATACTTTTACCTTCTATGCATCAGTATGTTCCTATTCAGTAAAGTGTAAGACATTTAACTTTCAAATTTGTCTGTTTCTGATTATAAGCTAAGTCATTTAAAAGTAATAAATGCAGCAGTTCTTAAGAATATGTTTTTGACTTTTTAATCCAATTAATTTAAACAAAAATGCACAAGATGTCTAATTACAAATATTAAATATTTTTATGAAATGACACTGGCTGACTCATTAAAATTGTAATACATATTTTTTATAATTGCTTAATATATTTCATCTTATTAAGCAAAATTTAAATATTTGTTGATACTATGTAGTAGCAACCTGCATTATAATTTTTAAAGTACCACTGGATGAGGTCCAGAAATGAACCAAATCTGCTTGGAATTTCATCTGAAGTCCACTGTCATTAGAGAATTCAATGAACTGTTCTTTTTCATTTAATGGTTATTTGCTATTTTCAGTATCACAATGGAAAAGATGAAAATTCATCTCATTCACCATTCGGAAAGTAAGTTTCAAAAATAGTGACTTCAGAGTTTCGAGATGTGAACATATGTCTACTGCATAATTCTTTCCCAGTAACAACATCATTTTCTATTCATAAAAAAAATTCTAAGGCTGGAAATAGTGAAAATCTTTCCTGTTTTATACAACTAATCCCAAAGCAAGTTTCCTCCCCAAATCCTTTGTTTTTTAAGAGCAGTCGAAGAATTATTTTTTAGACAGAGATTTGAGATAAAAATTAATAGATGATTGCTATGTGCAATTTCTAAACTTTTGAGATTTTTATCTATAGAGGGGTACATGCAGTTAATCTGAATTTTATTTACTTTATTTTTGAAAATCTAGAACTATAGGGGTAGACTTTGAGGTTTAAAGACTGAGAAACGGTGCATTAAACTATATGACAAAAACTATTTCCTCCTTTTAGTTCATTATATATTTTTTGAATTTTAAATAAATGCATATTTTGTGATTTTTTTAAAATTTAAACTTCACAGCATTTAAAATTTCATTTTTTACTTATCAAAAATTTTCAAAGAACTAAACAGCTGCCATTTAAAAAATATTACTTTAATGTTTTAGTTAAATTTCACAGTAAAAAAATCCCACAAATTTATATTAATGTTAACAATTAACTCTGCAACTTGTATAATTGTAAAAATTCGACTTTGTGTCTTTGTAACCAAACAGGATAATTTCAATGTCTCATTCTGATGGATAGCAAGAATAAATTGCGTACTTTAAAAATAAATTTAAATAAAATTCTTGAAAACTGATCAGAATTACTTTAAAAATTTATTACGATATGATTAATAATTTACCTATTATTCCATTTATAATAATCATCATTCAAGTCATGGAACAAGAGAAAAACATTTCTAAAGATTGCACTTGAAACTACTTCACTGAATATTATGCGAACAAATTTTTTTAAAAAAAGTTTATTTAAAGACATACCATGCATCAACACTTCCCCAGGCATTTTCTCAAAAAAAAAAAAAGAAAAAGAAAAAGAAAAAAAAAATCTCAACAGATTTACATACTGGCATGAACAAAATGCTCATGGACAAAAATTACATAAACAGTAAATCTGTATCATTTAAAATATGACAGCACCCAGAAAGACATGATGTAACCTGCCAAAACGTCTCTCATAAATAGCTCATGCCATCAAACAAAACTCAAAATATATTTTTCCTCAGATGATCTTTACATGGATCCAGTGCTAACATAACATGATTGTCTTTCATCCTTGGCTGTGCTCGTCAAAAATGATTCTTTTTTACAATCCAGTTTAAATTAAATTACTTGGGTGCGACAAAGTTCAAACTCCCACTCTTTCGTAGCTCACCGGAACACTACCAGTAGTGAAAGACAAAGTGATATTTTTATGCTACGTAGCTGTACTCATCCGTCGAGTTTGGAGTCCGTTCAATGTACTGCTTGTCTATTAGAGCTTCAATACACTTCTTTATCATAGAAACGTTCGGGTTGAAGCGATTCTTTGCTTGATTTATAACCTATTGCAAAAGAGGAAAACAAATGAATTTCATTGAAAACAATTATTTACACTCAGTAAGCAAATTAATTTTAGCATTTTGTAATTTTAAAAAAGCATATATTTTCTATTTAAAAAAAAAAATATTCATACTTAAAAAGCAATCACTTAAGGAAACAAATTACCATATGTTCCTTATTCTAAAACTGCTATCCTATTACGTTTCCTATTCCAAAACAAATATTCCTTTATGTTTTCTATTCTAAGATCAACTTTTCTATTATGTTTTCAACTGTAAAACAATTGTTCTATTAAGTTTTCTTTTCTAATATATTTCTATTTCAAACACGCCGCATTTCTGTTCTAAAATAATTCTATTCTAAAGTAATTATTTTATAGTTCCCATTCTAAACAATTCTGCAGAATGTTTTTTCTATTCTAAAACAATTATTTATAGTTAACCCTCTTGCTGCGCATCCCATGATTTCCGAGGGCAACGTAGAAGTAGCAAAATTTGCGCAACCCACGATTTCCGTGGGGATGAATTTTTACCGTCTATTTAATTGTGCAACCTGCTCTTTCCCCGTTCAAGGTTTCCTTTCAGCTTTTCTGTGATGTTTAATTGTTTATTTAGATGTGGGCTAATAGATGGCGTTAAATGTCCACATTTCTACCAAATATACAAGAATACGTAATGAAGCATTTTGTGTGCGCTTTTCAGAGCGATAGGAGCTTTCATGTGAGGAATGTCTGGCAGGAAGCGTTTCGCGATTGATATAACCTATATGCCTTACGATATTTCTGACACTGATAGTAGTTCTGACTCTGATTTCAAGTATATTGAAGATAGTTATAGCGAAGCTGATGAGAATTTCTCGGATTCCTCTATGCAAAATATTACATTATGCAAATATTTTCATTAGTATATATGTTTTACCTTTGTATTTTATAAAATAACTCATAGTTTAACCAATATTAATTTTCAAAATTTTCCTTTTATATCATTATTCTTCAATTTCAGTATTCTGACAACCTTTTTCTATGATCTAATTCTATATTGAAAAAAAAAAAAAAAAAAAAAAAAAAAAAAAAAAACTCTTTTACAAAAATTTTTTGTATATTTTAACTCTAAAATACATGTAGATTTGAAATATGCAATAAAAAAATAATGCAATTTTTAAACCTATTTTGATTAAAAAAAAAAAAAGTACACAGTGAGAGAGAGTTAATAAACAAATAATTTTGAAATTTTTCATTTTAGCTTACAAAGCTGTTTTAGAGTATAGAAAGTTTTAGAGCTTCTGCTTCATCAATTAGTTTTTTTGTGAGTTGATCCCATTTTTCTTTCATCAAATCGGATATAGTGAACAACATTTTTAGTTCCTTGAATTTCACTACAGCAGGGTTCGAATGTAGTGATAAGTCAAACAAACCTTTCGGTATGGCAGTCGGTGTCACTAACCCCATATGAGGAAATAGGGGGGGGGGAATCCTATTACAAAAGCAGAAGAATTTTAATTTAATTAAGAGGGCAAACTCAAATGATTCCTAAAATAAAGGCTTAAACGACCAATATGATGGCACTCATTTTTTAAGTGGCACAAATTTTTATGCCTTCAAAAAAAGCATCTATCACCATGGGCAATCACCTATCACCTTCCCCCCCCCCCAAGATTGATGCTGTTGAAATTCATTACCGGTTACTCTACCTGCTGACTTCTCACTCTGATTTAAAAGTACTATGACAGTGATGCTTCATATCAGTATACCAGGTTGTTCAATAAGTTCGCGGAACGGAAATGAAGAAACCAATTTTTATTTGTAAAAATGACTATTTTTCAACATAGTTTCCCCTCAACTTCAATACACTTATTCCAACGGTCTTCTAATTTCTGGATCCCTTGATTGTAGTGGTTTTTCGGCAGCTCTGCAAAATATCCCTCCATGGCAGCTATTACCTCTTCGTTTGAAGAAAATCGTTTTCCACGGAGACTGTTTGAGGTGTGGGAAGAGCCAGAAGTTGGAGGGAGCTAAATCTGGCAAATAGGCTGGATGTTGCAACAATTCGTACTTCAATTCAGTTATTTTAGGAATGGTTTTTTGAGCTGTGTGCGCAGGTGCATTATCTTGGTAGAAAATGATTTTTTTCTTCTGTAATCCGGGTCTTCTTTCACGAATTTTTTCGTCTAATTGATTCAAAAGGTTACAATAATAATCTGAATTAATTGTTTTGCCAGTTTGGAAAGTAATCTATAAACAAAATTCCTTTCGCATCCTCCCAAAAAACTGATGCTAACATCCTTCTTGGCTGATTTTTGCACACATGAGCTCGCTTCGGCGCCAAAGAGCCGGGTTCACACACCACTCCTTAGCCTCCTGGCTAAGCAGTGGTGTGATTCCCGGCTCATGATTGGTAGACCCAAGTCTCATCCACTTGTGATAAATCAGACGGATAAAGTCGCTTTTATTTATTCTTAAAACGCTCCAAAATGTTGCTGGCAAAGTCGCATCCGAATGTGTTTTTGCTCTACATCGTTAGAGAATGTGGCACACCATTTTGCATAGTTTTTGAAACCCAAATTAACACTCAAAATATTGCTCACTGTGCCCAATGAAATGCCTAAAGCCTCTGTAAAATCTCTTTCAGTCAATCGACAGTCTTCCAATACCATATCTTGTATTTTTCCGATAATTTCTGGTGTTGATGCAGTTTTTGGACGTCCCTCTCGCGGATCGTCTTCAAGGCTGGTACGGTTACTTTTGAATAAACTAGCCCACTTGCAAACCATTGTTTTTGAAGGAGCAGATTCACCCAACACATTCACCATTTCGGTATGAATTTCCATTGCCTTTAAACCTTTCTTTACAAAGAATTTGATAACTGCACGTTGCTCAATTTATCCATACCTGAAAAAAGGCACAACACCTTAAGATATAAAGAGCGTAAACAATGAATAAATTAACAGATCGAAATGAAACTTTTGACGTGTTCCTCAGAAAGAACAAATATGAAAATGGCGTCGAAGTTTTAGGTCTAATATTGACGAATAGATGGTGCTCCGTGAACTTATTGAACAACCTTGTACATCCAAACATAGAACAACCATGCAAGAATCGGCAGACTCGTCATCTCATTGATCAAGCATTGGGCATTCAAATACCCAGAATATTTTATAAATTCCCCCCCCCAAAATTTAGTAAATGAGAGATTTGTAATGCCATTATAGAGCACATATATTTGTAATGCCATTATAGAGCTCGGAATACAATTAATGCACATATATTGTTGCCAAATAGTGTGATTTAGTGCCAATAATTGATACATATGCGTGATATCACAACATAATTATAATAAGTTCGTTTGGATCTAATGTAAATTTAATTAATTCTTGGTAAGTCTGTTTTTGTAAAGAAGGGATCTAAGTTTTACTTTTCCCTCCCATTTTGAAAAAATGATTAATATTCTGGACTGCGAAGTTACAGGATCTAGTCATCAACAGAACCCATGATACGCAACTTTCAAAATGGATAAACAATGGCAATGGAATGTGAAAAATTATATCTGACTTTAGCTTTTTATATGATATATCGATAATTTGTATCTTTTGATTACCTAACTAAAGAATGTTCTGCCTCTTCCGGAATAATTGGCCAGCTTTTATATTCAGGGATCTCTGCCAACTTTATGTTCGAGGTGGATTTCATAATCGGATCAGATGTTTTACTTTCACACTAAAGGCCTACAAAATTCGTCAGCTTTTATGTCTGAAATGCATTTTCCTCCCCAAAATCTTATGTAATTTTAAATGTAGGATTTTTATATTCATGTTGGTAACAAATAAGATGATTTTATTTTATAATTTTAGAGTGAAACTTTCACCATTGATTTGGCTTTTCTAATGTGAATTCTGTTTTTATATACTCAAATATTCGGAACTCGATATTTCCCGAGATTTTGCTGTACCAACATTTATTCTATTTTAGTTAAAAACAAAGATTATTTAAACTCTAATAACATCTTCTTGGCTGATTAATGAAATTATTAAAAATGAATGTATATTTTTTTTTCAGTAGGCCACCAGAGGTGATCATGTTTGTCCATGGCTGTTTTGATAATATTAATTAAATGCTAACATTAAACGATGAAAATTTTTTTCTTTAAAATAGCAATGGAATTAAATAATTTACTATAACTAGAAACATATAAATAGATATTTTCACAGCATTTTAATTCGGAAAAGTTTAAGAACTCTTAATGCAAAAGTTCATTTACGTGCTGTTCATAACATTTCCGGAAATTATTTGACCAATGCCATACCTCTAATCTTAAGACTCAGAGAGAATAATTCATTGAAAGATAATTTGCTAATGTAAAATTTAAAATTACACAAAACAGAAGCCTTTAGGCATAATTGTTTTTAGACCTTTTTTGAATTCAATTTTAATTAAATGTATTTTAAAAACATAAATATACTGTTAGTAACACATGTTAAAAAATTTCTTTTGAAAGGAATAAGTATAACATGGAACGTTCTAATTTATAAAAGTGGCTCCCATTTGAAAAATGCTGATCTAGCAAACAAAGTTGGATTGTGTAAAACAAAACTCCACTTTTTTCCCCATATGATCTTTCTACAATACAAAGCAGCATCTTAGCTCCCTTATATATATATATATATATAAACCTGTAATCTGCAGTATTGCAAGTTCTTTGCTGATTTAACTGTTGTACATTTATATATATTTTTTGGTCACATAAAGAAAGTTATGCTCTTTTTTATTCTACTTAGCTGTAAATATAATATTTGAAATCAACAAAATATATATAGCACATATATAAGTATGCATACTACCTCTTGTATCAAAGCATTGTGTCGAAGAACTTTTCGTGCTTTCATAATACGGACTATCGCAGCCTGCAGATACAGCTTACGGTCTTCATCGACTGAAACGTGGGTTTGCTCTACCTCTTGCTGAAAATATTACCACATGTAATTTTTAAATTTTACAGATAAATAAAAACATGAATACAGCACTGAGAATTCAAAATCCTCTCTCCCTTTTTAGTAAAGCAAGTGATGCACTAAAAATCACGGTACTTCCATGTTATCACAACCACCTTAGAAGGAACCACCAAATTTTCAGAATTTGCAAAACTATGGCAACCATTCTTTAAACAAGTATGCTTGTGACAATCCTTCAGTCAAGAAATGTTGCCATTTTTGTATACATTCTTTTTGTTATATTCCAAGTTCCAATGGATTTTATTAATACATAATACTTTTTGCATTAATTTTAAAATATGTACTGTGGAATTTGTCAGCAAAGAAGCTCAGGTAAAATTTCTGCAAGAATACAGAATTAAAAAAAAAAAAAAAAAAAAATCTCTCAAAGGAACAACAAGGATATGCATTTGGTACATAGCTGGTGAGTTTCTGCAATTCTCAGATATTATTTAAAGCAAAAATAGATCACTGTGTATTTAGGATGAATAGTGCCCTTCACTCCCCAAAAAAGTATGGACAGATGTGGAGAAGAATGTGATTTATTACTCTTTAATTTAAGCAATGCGTTATCTTTATTTATGCCAAAGTACATTTTCTTTTCATATGCTGATAATTTTTGCCTACTTATGATAAATAGGGACAGTTTGAGAATTATTCTACAAAATGTGCAGAAAACCACCAACTTGCACCAAGATGATTGTATTAATATGCAAGTACCAAAATCACTAAATATGTCATAGCTGCCAACCTTGAATTCTTAAAAACAACAAGAAACTGAGGTTTTTTAAGCTGCATGGCAACACCCTTTCAAAGGAACACAAATGATCTTAATTTGCTTTATAATGTATAGTTCAACCTATTGACTTATCTGTAATTAAATTTTGATGTAAAGCATATTAGCATGCAATTAGATATTCTAAATTTTATATTCAATGGTGAATTTCACTTTTATACAGAGAAAATCCAAAAGAAAAGAGATTCTTTTGTTTATATAAGTACTTTTAAATATGATGAAAATAAAATTAGTAATTAATGTACATAATACCTGCATAGATAAACTTGGTAATGTACCATATCTAAAGTAAACAAAATTAAATAGAAATATTAACTGATTAAACAGGGATTGAATTTCCATATAAAAACCTATGAATGTCTACAGTAAATTAAAACAGCTCATATCAAATGAAATTTAATAATATGAAGCTCAATAAAATGGGGGAAAAATATTCTGAAAATCAACAAAATTGGAGGAATGGAATTAGCCTTATTTAAATTTCATTACTTTAATAAAATGTATGCAAATCAGAAAAACTATAAATGGAATCAACACTGTATATGAAAAGGGAGAATTAAATCAGTAATTTTTAGAGTACAAAAATAATAACCTGAGTTGTTTCCTTCTGAAGAACAGCAGTCAATTTAAATTTAGTTCTTTTATTAGAATAATCTTTATTTAGAGAATATGTGCTTTCAGGATCAACAGTCTTCTCCTGTGAGGAAAAAGAAAAACTGGATAAAACAAAACTGTGTTTGCAAAAAATATGCATATAAATAACTGTATATATGATTTTTGATCAGAATGTGCCAGTTCATCATCTGATTAAGGTGTCAGGTACTTTAAAAAATGTGGAAATATGCCAAAAATATAACAATTTATAATTCAGTAGCTTCATAACTGGTTTACAGTCATGAAATTCTGTGCACTGATTTATCTTTGATACCATGTTTGCTACATTTTACTTTATATTCCAGATATTAAAACATTTTAAATAAAATACAAATACCTTAAACATGGAACAGCATTATAGATTAACAAATCACCATTTTTAGCCGTTCCTGCCACCAAAATAAAAAACAAATAACATATAATTAAAATGACCCTTTTTTAAAATTGTAGAATGGAGTCAGAAATCTGGATGACTAATATCCATAATGAGCTAATGTCTGGATCAACAGCCCCCCCCCCCGAAAAAAAATTTCTCCCTCCTCTTGTGAAGTAAGAATGAGAATATATTACCGAACAAAAGGAGCAGTGTGCTGTAAATATGATTTTTTTCCTGACTACCTGGCATTTTTGCATATCACATTCATACGCTAATGTGGGTTAGGATAATAGGTTTGAATAGCATGGTTGTAGGAGCATGGTTGTAGTAGGTTTTTCTACCTAACCTAAACAATAAGCAAAGCCCTAATGCTGCCATGACAACATGTCAGATTAACTAGATCTTAAATTGATGATCTAGAATTGCCTATGAATGTGGATCTTGGACTTTACATTGTATTAACTTGACATTTTTTAAAAATTATTAATTTTTTAAATCCCAAAATCATTTTAACATGAAATTCATCATAATCTTAAAATTTTTTTTATGAAAGAAGCATGAAAATTTTATAGGAGAATGTTAAATTGACTATATATATATGTGTGTGTGTGTGTTTGTGTATATGTTTTATACTCATATAAAGTTATATAGCTGGTCAAAATTTTCTGAAATTCTGATCAATGGTAACACAATAATCATACAGACAACCAGGAAAATTACAATTCTGAGGAATGTTAACTTAGACATAAAAATCTTCAAGTCTTAATAAAGGAATAAAAATATATTCATAAACATCTACAATGCACAATTATATATAAAAATAATGAATTATTACAATGACCTAATTTAAAAATAGCTAATTACATTTTCTTAAAAAATATACTAAATTTACTCATTCCCCCCCCCCCCCCCCCCCCCCCCCCCCCCCCCCCCCCCCCCCCCCCCCCCCACCCCCCCCCCCCCCCCCCCCCCCCCCCCCCCCCCCCCCCCCCACCCCCCCCCCCCCCCCCCCTCCCCCCCCCCCCCCCCCCCCCCTCCCCCCCCCCCCCCCCTCCCCCCCCCCCCCCCCCCCCCCCCCCCCACCCCCCCCAACCCCCCCCCACCCCCCACCCCCCCCACCCCCCCCCCCACCCCCCCCCCCACCCCCCCCCCCCCCCCCCACCCCCCACCCCCCCCCCCCCCCCCCACACCCCCCCCACCCCCCCCCCACCCCACCCCACCCCCCCCCCCCCCCCCCCCCCCCCCCCACCCCCCCCCCCCCCCCCACCCCCCCCCACCCCCCCCCCCCCCCCCCCCCCCCCCCCCCCCCCCCTGGTACAAAGAGACGCTTTTAAATTATGAACATAGCACAATAGAAAACACACATAAAGACATCATTTTAACATACATTTCAGAGAACTTATCAATTTCGATTTTATTTTTTTCTAGACAAAATTTTATTTGTGCATATATTTATCATTTATCATAAATCAGAAGTTTCTAAACCATATGGTGAAAAAACTGGGAGGGGGATATGCAATAAAAATTTTTTTTTTTTTGGTGGGAATGCCAAATTTAAATAATTTTTTAACATAAAATTGAGTGCAATTTCTAAAGTTTTTGTATGAGAGGAAAGTATTTTGTGGTTAATATTTTAAATATATATTTAATAAAAACAAATTTAGAAGTACTGATGTAGGAATCCTGAGACACAGAAATATTGATGGTTGTAAGATAGGTTCAGAACGTAGATCCAAGAATAAAGAGGAAGGATTCTGATTACGTAGAATACTAAAATGTTGAATTCGTAATGAGTAGGAAAGTTGACAGCCAAGTAAGATTAAATATTCATTTTTATTTCATTTTTATCTCTACTGACATATGTGGCCCCAATCATACTGCATCTATTTACATTTTTGAATACTTCTGAAATAAGAAGAAAGCAAAGGAAATATAGTCTTAATCGGAAGAGAAGCAAAAGTTAAAGTGTGCAATTATCCAATATGGGAAGTTCAACAAAAGGTTTTAGTTCAGGTTAGAAAGGTTTCAATTCTCAAAATTTTGAGTATAATTTTTAAATAAATTACATCATCAGCGTTACACAAGCCATGTGACATAGATTAATATAGATACGGCGCAGTTCAGAAAATGTATTACTACTTTTAAAATATAGAGAAGAAATACCCAAATTAAAAATGAGGGATTAAGAAGATATTACTAAAATTATAAAGCTGATTTACATATTTTGTATCTGATATATCCCCCCTTCAAAAGGAAAAAAATCTTATGTGTACACCACATGACTTCCTTGTACGAAATATTAAATTATATGCATTTTGTATTGAATTTCATTTAAATTGATTGGATTGAATTAAATCTACTTCATCGACAGCGCATAAACCACTATAGAATAAATGCACTCCTTAAAATTCACTATATTTGTTTACTATGACGACACTCTGAATGCACAAAATTTTATATCATTTGAAGAATTATTGTTGCCACATGTTCTATTCAAATACTATAATAAAGCTAAAATGATGCATAAAAGAAATTAAGCAAACAAAACAGTTTTTCACAGACGATTTAGTATTTCTCATTCAATTAATTTAGCTCTCACTTCGCGACAAGGCAAAAATACATAAAAACTCAAAATATCTGCATTAAAAATTACGAAGTAAATCTTAAACACTTATTTCCTCGAAAAAATTCCAGTAATGATTAATTATTTTTTTGTGACTTTGCGACGCTTATGGAGAGCTATTAAAACAAATGAAGAGGCATACTGACTGCTGGAGTTGTTCTGATCCACGACAATCCTCACAACGCTCGTGTAACCCAATGGCTCCTTCAGCAATTTCAATGGGACATTTTCGAAAAACACTCACCATATAATCCTGACCTAGCACTGAGTGACTTTCATCTTTTCCCTGAACTGAAGCAGTGCTTCCAAAATGCCATGGAGCTCAAAGAAACGTCACCACTCACTTCCAATCATTGGCAGGAACATTTTATGAAGAGGGTATTGCAAAGCTTGCTTACAGATATAACAAATGCCTTAATCGCCAAGGTGATTATGTAGAGAAATAACCTGTACTGTACATTAGTTTTGGTATATCAATAATACCTACTATATATATGTAGGATATAAGAAAATCTTTTTTGTATATTCACCCATCTTTTCTTTATAGCCCATCAGAGGTTGGAAAAAAAATAGCCTAGGTACAAACTGAACCCATGAAGTTAGACAATCTGGATTTATTAAAAGCATTACTATATACTTTTTCTTTTTTTAAAGTAACATTTTTCTATGTGGCTGGCCATACCAACAGCTAATTGTTTGAAAAGTGAAACGGACAACAAAAGTTCAAGACTAATAGCCTTTGACTAAAAACTGAATGGCAACACTAACAATGTATCAAGAAATCTAAAGATATGTCAAATTAAAATTTTTACGAGTCTGCTGTTGAACTTTGGGGTTTAAAAACGATGAAAGTGATGTTTAATAAATAAAGTTAAAAAGAAAGAAAAAATTGTGTGGATAATTTTACGATGAAAACTTAATACTGGTAAGATAAATTGAAAAAAAAAAAACTGAAAAATATATGGCAACACTTCATACTTTAATGGGAATCCTGAAAATATGCTGCTTTTAAAAATTCTGTGATTGTACAGTTGAATTTTTTGTGTTGGAAGTGCAAAGAAAATGTTTAATAATTAAGTTAAAAAGACAAAAACAGTTCTATCAAGACTAAGAGCTTGTCAAGACAATAACTAAGAGCTGCAAAAACAGAAGCTGTGAAGGGACTTTTGTGGACTTGGCTTATCAAAACAGAACATACATCATTATACATAAGAAAAGTGATATTAATATTATAATACATTTAAAATAGATAATATCTCAGCAAATATGAATACTAACATTGCCTCCTAGAAGCAGTTTCGACTCTATAAGACTCAGTATTTGTTTTCCCAATTGATCATCACTTAGTTTAGTACTTTCTTGTATGTCAGAATAGGAGAGAACATCAGAAGTTTCATACAGTAGAAGTATCGCCATCTGGTAGGTGCTCATGGTCACAATGTAAGGTCTTTTCAAATAACACAACTTAAGTTCAGCTAAAACAGAAACAGAAATCTGAGTTATATGCAAATTTCACAAAGGATCTGGAAAATTTAAAGAATTTTATTTCCAAGATAATACAGCAGGTGAGCAAATATTAGTTGAATAAAATACAGTTCTTTTGATGTATTAATATACACAAGCACATTGGTGCAACTTAGATATATATATGTAGGATATAAGAAAATATGATAGCCGCTTTAAAAATAATTGGCAACCTCAAAATTAATGATTCTAGATTTGGTGCTCTCCCTCTAAATTCATCTGCTCTCCTAAATTCAAGATCTATGTTATGTAATGCTACTTGAAAAGGGCAAAAGTAAAATTAACCAATCATAACTTGTCTCTAGAACTGCATCTACTTCAGTACAAATACCACTCATAAGCTGTGTCATCTTCTCCTAGCTTCCCCACGCCAACATCCACACTGCTTTCCCTGTCTGTCTAAAATGATATTGCCCCGTTAATCTGCGCATATAAGAAATTATTGTAATTGCTTATTATAAAAAAATAACATTGTTCATGAAGAATTATTCTGACGTGGCTGGAAATAAAGATGACTTGGATAACTGGAAATAAAGATGAACTTGGTTTCGTATCAACTTCTTCCTCATGACTGCAAGCTGACTCCTCCTACACAGTAAAATATTACAATTAAAAGTTAAAATATGCAGTAAACACAGCACCATAAAACTTAACAGACGTCATCATTACGATCTTGACTCGCAATAGATTTGCAGCAAAATATCCACGGAGTTTTCATCACAAACACATCATGAACAGGCAAATGTCGGGAACAATGCAAATATGAAGTTCGATGATTTTCCAGCACGTATTAATAACGCTTTCAAAATTTTTTTCTTCTGCAGGTACTGGAAACTGTTGAAAATCCAATTGGGAAAACTTCCGCACTGTGTCTTATCCTGGGCGAACTTAATGGTCAGAATACTCTCGGAATCAGCTTATATCTCACTAATCGCAGTGGACAGCACACAACGACAGTACATATATATTATATACATACTTTAAATTTGAATTAGAATAGCTGTCAAAGTCGAAACATAAAAAACTCGGAAATTTTAATGCTATGCAGCAATGCCATTTTAAAACTCCAAACTGACTTTGCACTCATATCCTTGTAGGAGATTCAAAAGAATTTGGTATTTTTTTCCCATATTCAATCAAGATGAAAACATTTTTACAAGAACATATTATACCTCAGCCTGCAGGTTCAGTATGTATCCATATATACAACTTCATCCCCTTGGCCAGAGCTCCTATAAATGTACCTGATATGTGTATATTCATTTCTATTTGTCAAATTTTTATAAAATCAATTAAACTAATTCCTAAATTAAAAATAAATGCCAAAATTTTATTGCACTTTTCATAACCAACATTTAATACAGTTCCGAGGCCTCCATCATCATCCATGCTCCAATATTCTCTTCGAGAAGTATATAAGGTATTTTTTCCTCTTTTCCATGAGGCTTTGTGGTGTAATTTTGTACAATCCTGTGTTGCAATATTAGTAAAATATAAAACTTTGATAGACCAAAAACTGATATAAAAAAAGCTAAAGTAAAAAATTGAACAATATAATAAAATACTAGGAATACCATATCTGCTTAAACATATTAATACTAACCTACTATTATAAGCAAAAATAATCCAAACAATTCTGAAAAAAAAAAAAAAATATTATTTATAGTTCAAATCAGCAATTTGTAGTTCTGGCTTGATCCCAAGTCATTGTGGAATTACGGGTAATAAGTTTGCCGACACTCTAGCTAAGGTTATATCTGTCTTTCCTCAACCTAATCCTCTTGTTTGTTATCACAGTGCAAAGAGAATCATTGGAGCCAGATGTGGAGCTCTTCGTTGAGAGAAGAATGAGAACTTTGTGAAGGGTAAAATTTGAGGTTCCCTAATGGGAAATCGCATTTCTTGTGACTTACCTAGACCTGTCGGTGTCGCTATCTTTAGATTAAAAATTGGACATGACTACCTCATGAAACACCTACACAGATCTGGTTTAGCAGATTCTCCAACTTGCCCATTATGTGATATTAGCGACATATGCAGTGACCATTTGGACCCTTGATCTGAACTTAATGTTGTGGCAATAGCTAAAGCTATCAAAAATTATTGTACGTTTTTTAATGTTGGAATTATAATGGGCTGCCCATCCCAGACTAATGACAGTCATGCTGTCTAGCATAAGATTTAAAAAGAAAAAAAAATGTACTCCTGGCTTATGCATAGATGTACTGCAAATACATATCCCATATACATCTCCCACCAGTCATTTTTTGATTAGGGCACATTAAAATAGTCTCTTTTCTTTACTGATTTTGACATAAAATATGTAATTTACGAATGAGTAAAATTAAGGGTAAAAAGTAGGATGACAACTACATGGTGACATGTGAGTGTAAAAAGTTAAATTAATTTTATTACACCATTAGGTACTTTCTCCCTCCTTTCCACATGCCTCTGTGGTGTAAGTCTGGCTAGCATTCATGAGGTGTTTTAATCTTGAAAAGAGCATGACTAGACAAGTAGTGCCCAAATTTAAAAAGGTGGCCAATGATAATTCGTCACCAGCAGGATTTGATGATTGGCCCCCTTCACCCCCAGTTGCCCTTTAAAGAGGGAAGGAAGTAGGGCATTTTCTCCCCTTTTCTGCAATCCTTTCTGTGCAACTAGAAACACATCTGACGGAGTTTGAATCCTGGAGAGACATTGCAGATTTCTTCAGTTTCCTGACATCGAAACATTATAAAAGACTCTACAAGTGGCTATCGAACTAAAAGATGGTGGACGATAATTTATAACCACCAAGATTTGGTGATTGTGTACCTCATCCCCAATTCCCTTTGAAAGAGGGAATATATAAGGTATTTTTCCTCCCTTCCATGTGGCTTCATGATGTAATTTGATAGCATGTTCGGCTAGCAATAGGGAGGTTCGGTATTCAAATCCCAGCGAGGGCACTGCATACTGTTCCAAGTTTCGACACTGATGTAACCTAATGGACTCTACAGCACATTATTCAGGCTACTGAGCTATTTATAATAAAATTCAGACATTATATATATAACTGTTTAATTAGATTAAACAGTAACTAATTAAACAATCAACGGGCATGTCAAATTCATGCCTGTTTACCCCCAGATAATAACAAAAAATATTTAAATAATAATAAAAATTGGAATTCATATATCGAGAACACATGATCTTTACAAAATTATTTGTTCAGACATTGTTAAGAAAGATGCCATCCCATTTACAGGGAAATTAATAGAATTTCAGTGCAATTCAACCTTAAAGTAAAGAATGAGTGAAATATACTTGCCTGCACACCTCCCAGAAAGCTAAAAATTTTGCACTGCCCATGATTTCTACATTTGGTAGTACATATCAGTATAGACAACTTTTAACACTAATGAAAAGGACCAAGGTCCCCAGCAAGATCCGTGTTAACAGATATTCGTCTGACATCAGTTCCAAAAACTGCTACTCTCCAGACATCCTATCCTACCTCTCCCCCCCCCAAAAAAAATGTCAGGTGTCAGGAAAGAAACTATAAATATCCATCTGCTACCAAGATTTCCCTGTGTTTCTTCTATTTTTTTAAAAAACTACATTATTGGGTAAGACTTTACACATTTACTCACCTTTTAAAAATATCATTATATATGAACACAGCATTTTTTATACTGCAGCCTAAGCTACTGCGCACATAACCATTTGGAAAACTTGAGACATTGAGTTCGACAAGCCTGAATTAGCTATTCTAAATTTTACATTAAGTGGTGAATTTCATTTCATATTTTCCTAACACTTTTATGTAGAGAATATCTTAAATACAGAAAGAAAGCTCTAACTTACCAAAGTACTTTAAATATGATGAAAATAAAATTAATAATCAATGAGTACACTATTTTGCAAATAAATTTCATAATATATCATATATTAATATAAAACAAAATTAAATACAAATATTAGTTGATTAACATTAGTTAAATCTTCATAAAAAGTTCTACAAATGTCTATAGTACATTAAGAATATTCAGATTAAAACAAATTTAATAAGAAAAACTATGCCAAAATCACTAGATGTGAGGAACGGAATTTGCAGAATTTAAGTTTCATTAATTTTACATATTTCATTTATTGCTGTGAAAGATCTTTCTCGGCAAAGCCTAAAATTTAGAAATCCAGAAATTCTGTGATTTACCGGGATATCGGAAGAAGCAATGAAAAACTGGAATAACTGGCAGTTATGACTTAATCAGAGAAAATGGATTAATATCTGCACTGTTCTTCATTCATGTGAACAAATTCTTTTTCCATATTATCTAGTAACTGGGATTTTGAAGCTTGTAAAACTGCAATCAGAGAAAGAAGAGGTCCTTAAATATTATCCTGCTGACTGTGAATAAAACGGTGTCCGCCGATAACATCGCGGCAAAAACGTCGTGCTACAAAACATTGTGGGAGAAAACATCGCAAAGAGAAAACGTCGCAGTCCTAAAACATTGTGGTACAAAACATCGACGTCGAAAACAAAGCGGTTCAAAAACTTCACAGTTTAAAAACATCGTCGTCGAAAATATTGTGGTAAAAAATAAAGTATCTATGAATTATTGCATGACAATAATATCACAGACATGCTTTTTTCAAGTTTTAATAACTGTAAATGGATATTTCCATAATGATTTGTGAGTGCAAAATGTAAAGAAGGATAATTTTTACTTTCACATTTTTTTTAATAACTAATAAATTTTTGCTGAAAAAGTAAGAAGGCATAGAAAATTAAATGCAACTTACAGATACTTTTCATGAAAAATTACCAGTAAAAACTTTATAAAAAATGATTTTCTAACGGCCTTTGTTAGTTAACTATGTCGGTTTAAAATTGTATTAAGTGCTATAAGTTGCATTAATTTTCTATGCTTAAGTTTCCTTCTTATTTTCTCAGCAAAAATTTATTAGCTAATAAAAAATATGAAAGTAAAAATTATCCTTCTTTCCATCTTGCGCTCACAAATCATTATGGGAATATCCTTTTACAGTTATTAAAGCCTGAAAATATATGTCTGCGATGTTATTGTTATGCGATGATTTGTAGATACTTTATTTTTTAACCACAATACTTTCGACGGCGATGTTTTTAAACTGCGAAGTTTTTGAACCGCTTTATTTTCGACGACGATGTTTTGTACCATGATGTTTTAGAACTGCGATGTTTTCTCCCACGATGTTTTCGCCTTGCGTTGTTTTCCCCGCGATGGTTTTGCCTGTAACCGAATAAAACATTTGTCAGTTTCTCTGCACAGGCCATCAGATAGCCACTGCTGTGGAAATATTCCACTTGCTTTGTTTTTGTACTTCATAAAAAGGGGTCTGTAATTCTGGTAAAATTGCTTTGTTTTGAAGCAGCTTTCTTTCTTTTTGCACTTCCCCAATTTCACCAGAATTTCCATTTCAAACACTATGAATACAAATTTCCCACAAATTGGGTGTTACAATATCTTTCTGCTCACCCATATCCAGATGTTCCTTTCCTCATTCAACAGATGCTCATTCTCTCGACCAGCAGCAAATTAACTGAAAAGAAGTCACAAATGTGATTCCAGCCTTCAAACTCTTTTTAAAAAATGGAACAAAATATATACCTATAACAGTTAATTTTTTTCATAAAAATGAAAGATATGAGAATCAAAGAGAGTGAGATCAAACAAAAGTGCTGATGTTATGAGTGTGCTGTGATGTCCCACAATTATCTATAACAGGCAATGATTCATGCTCCTTGGTGACAGTTTTATACTCAACAGGATAATATGTAAGTACCAAGAATGCAATTCGCATCACACACTTGAACACTTTTCCAAACCTTTTCTTCAATAAGCCAGCTGGTTTCTTCAAGAATGACAAAAAAACCTACTACAACCTTGGAAGAATGCGACTGATCTTGACACGGAATACACAAGCGATTAAATTAGTACGTTATCTTTTTTTTAATCTACTTGAAAAAATTAAATTAATATGGAAATTCTTGATAAATACATTTAAGAAATAAAATTATTATTACCGTTGCAAAGATGATGCAGCCATGTTAGTTTTCGACCACTGAACCTGGTATTATAGAAATTCTCAAACTGAAAAATAATGATAAATAAATAAGTTTGGGCAATATTTTTTACTAATTATTTACAGAAAAATGCAATTATAGAATTTTCAGTTCTAAAATGTGCGCTACATTCCTCCACTTGCATTTCACGTTAAAAAAAAATTAGCACTTGATGATTATACAATCCCCCTGAAAAGTATTGAAAAAATTGGCAACCCAGAGCACAGCCAAAATGTAATTATGTGGTAATTCAGGTATGCACACAGCAAACGAGTGTCAATTTCCACCTTCTAATTCAATGGTAGTGTTTGTTTCTGCTGCACTGAATACTTCCTTCCCCCCTTGCAATGCCTAGTAATAGAACTGTAGAGGCTACCGGCCAATAAAAAAAAAAAGAGCACTGAGTTTCTTCAGAAATATAGCATTTTTGCTAACAGTAGAATGCAAAGTAGAATTTGCTTTCCCTAAAGTTGTACTTTGATAAATTTTGTACTGGATGCAAAACTTGGGCAATTATTTCATATTTTTTAAGCGAAAATAGGCTGCTGTGTATACGGGAAAACAACAGTGTGCACAATATAAAGTTTTTGCAATTCCCTGAAGTTTGAATGAAAACAGACTGCTGTGTATCTAGGAGAAAGTACCAAAAAGAGGGGGAGATCTGAAAGGTTTCAGATTTTAAATTATGTCCAAAGCGGCATTTTTTTAAACATTTCGTGTGTTACCTTTAATTATTAAATATCATGTTCTTCACACTTGAACCATAAAATTCAGTTCAAGAGCAATATTGCAAAATAAATTTTAAATGAGCATATCTTTAGAATTTCCGGTACACGGTCTCGCGTGCTGGAGATAAAAATGTTTTTTCTGTACAATGTTGCCATTGCTTGCTTTGAAATCCTCGAGTATGTTAATCAAAAATTCGTTTTACAAAATATGAAATTGATAATAAAACAAATTTCGGCTTCTAGATGACCATATTCACAGCAGGATTACATTATTCAAAATTTGATTGCTCTAGGTACTGCTGTTTTATCACAATGTGAAAAACATACATTCATTTATGCAGATTCTTCATTATTTAATTTTTTTTTAAAATATAATACAAGGCGATAATAATGGTGGCAACAATTTGAAAAGTGAAACAATGCCTTTTAGTGAATCAATGCAAAATGCCAAAATGAAATTAATAGTCCTTCTGGGAAAATTGTCCCTTAGGATTAAAAACATTTTCATTATGATTATTTCTTACATTTTAAATTTTGTTAACAGGTTACTGTTTTATGTAATTCTTTGTGCATTGCTATTTTTGGAACTAGCTGTTGCTTTCAAGTTTTAGCTTTGTTACTGCCAACTTTCTGGGAAGGATGGTGCAGACAGTCAAAACAGACTAAAAAGAATTTTATTAGAATCTTTATACTTCATATAAATATTAAAAATAAAATTTAAAATATTTATTGCATAAATCACAAACCAAAAATTCAAATTTCCAGGAAGAACTCAATATTTAAAATGTGCCAGAATTTAAATGTTACAAAATATCCATTTTCTTGAAATTCTTCTCTAAAACACAGTCGGTTTTTGTCTGGGGAACACAGTGTGCCCACAAAAATATTATTTATTTATTAGAATTATTTTCAAAAGACAATTTATTTGTCCTCATTATTTAGCCACATTTATTTTCACAACTGCTGGTTGTAACCATGTACTTCCATGTTGAAAATATTTTTAAATGATGGAATTATTTATGTTTTGGCACGTATTAATAAAAATAAATTTAAATTTAAAAAGTTATATTTTGAAAAGCTTGCTTATCTAACTCTTCATACAATCTCCCAATCTATACAGTTACATTTAGGAAAATTTTATACTCCTAAAAATGAAACACAAAAAGTTTGACACTCTGGCAAAAAGAGACAGATATTTAATTTAAAGATTATGTTCAGGGGTTGTATATAAACTGAAAAACAAAGTGGTTTCATTTGTATGTAACTAAAAATATCAGTTTAGAGAAAGGTATCTGAATGATAATGGCAAAAAAAACTTTTTTGGATGCAAATAATGAAGCTACATAAAAATATGAGCAATATTAAGAACAGAAAAACTCAGGATAAATATGTTGTAAATTAGGTTGGCAGGAATACAGTCGGAAATTAGGAATCTTCCATCTAAATCGTAAGAATTGGCTACTGTGTATAAGGTAACTGATAATAAATACACGAGAAAAATACCATCAAGTATTTACATAAATTACACCATCATAAAATAACTAAGTATAAAAGTAATAATGCAATTAATAACTCAAAATTACTAAAAAGTGCAATCTCCATTGTCTAAACAGAAAAAATTAAAATGAAAAAAGCTATCACAATGTTATTATTATTATTTCTCAACATCTCATAATATTTGTTAAATAAAAATTTAAAAAATCAAACCTTCTGCACACTTTTTTCCAACTCCTGTGGTATTGCAAATGGAGAAATGGCAGTTTGTCCCAAAGGCCATGCACCAGCCTAAGGAAAAAAAAATATTAGCAATATTTGTATGCATCAAGAGAATGACAAAACTTTCCCAATACAAGCTTAAAAAATAGATAAGTATATAATAATAATAAAAAAAAAAAAAAAAAACCTACATCTTAAGAGCTACAAGCACTTCCACACTTTTACGTGCCTAGCTATTATTCCCAAGAATTAACCGTGGAGGACATTTTAATGATTTATTAATATATTTACACTTTTTATAAAAATAAATCAAACAAAATCAACTGACTTATAGAACAATATATATAAATAACAAATGATTTCATTTGCTTTTGTTTTCAAAATTAATTTGCCTTTTTTTGCTTTCTTCATGTTGGGTAAACTCCCGTAACTGATTTGGACATGTACTATTTGCTGCAATAAATTCCTAAAAAAGTACACCAAAAAGCTCAACAAAATTATTAAATTATATAAACAAAAGATGTAAAAAATAAGAGTATTATCATATTACTTTCACTTCTCTTATGACAGTATCTTATTTTAATTATTCATCTTTCTTTTTGTACATTATTACAGAGTAATGAAATGAAAAATGATTAACATCTGTTTTAAAACTATAAAAAGGTATATTAAATGCAAGGAACTGCAAATATGGTATAAACACAAAGAAAACGTAATACATATATTATTTGTTCATCTGGAAAATTACACTGCTTTTCTATGGCAATACAAATCAATCAGTAAAAAACATTATAAAATTCAATGAATGACATAAGCACCATTTTTCTGCGACTTTTTATTATCTCTCCGGCAGATGGTAAATTCCCTTTTTAAAAGTCTGTAGGTTTATTCATACCGAATTTATTAACATGCTATTTGACAGTTCCCAAACATGTGAACTCCATTCTGTTCAGATAATTTTAAAATGATGCAAAGAGATGAAACGGGAGTCTGGTGAATATTGGGAAGGGGTGATACAAGACATCTCAGCCATACCTAATAAGCCTAAAATTCACATAATGGTGGCAAGCATTGTTACAATCAAAATTTGGTCAGTTTTGGTTCCTTTAATTTGATTTCTGCTTTTAAAACTTTAATTTGGGAACAGTATTTTTCCAAATTTACTGTCTGATTTGATGCTAACAATTACTTGATTCCTTTATAGTCCCAACATACCCAAAACATTACCTTTTTGAGATGCAGTTTCTCTCTTGATGTTACTAAAGAAGGCTCTTTTACCTTACATCATGATATTTTATTGTATAGCATCTGCTTCTCCTCTGTACTGTACTTTTTGAAATATTTAATCAGTCTGATAGTTCCTGAAATGTTTTAACAGCAGCAGCATTCACGATTCATTCATAGATTTCAGTGACAGCTTCTTAACAGATCCTTGTTTACAGAAGACTTACTTTGTTTTAGTTGTTTAGAATGGTCATCATGTTTGAGGCCAAAATTTCTCAAACCATCTTCAAACTCTTATTACAAGAAACAGCACTTTGACCAGATTTAGCACAAAATTTATACACAGTCTAACTAGCATTTTTTCCTTTTTGAAAATAAAAGAACACAGTATGATGAAAATGAACTTTAAGATTCTCCATTCTTGGCACTGCACTGAAACCAAAAATTATGCCACAACACATGCTAGAATTCTGAAAGGAGAGTAGAAAAGACCATATTTAAACACCTACTTCAATCAATGTCACTCCTTACTAACAGCAACAAAATACAGTAGGAAAACATGCTTTGACTCAAAAAACTGCAGAGCTTTTTGGATGACTCACTAAATATAAATATTTCATGTATAAATAAATCCAAGAAATATATAATATACATCAAAGTTCCAGGAATTATGTCAATACTATGAAAAATTGCATTAACATTTTTCAAAATAATCATATCCTTTAGTCCATGATTGTAAACTTATTAAAGTAAATTTAATATTGATTTGAAGATATACAAAGAAGTTCTGCTGTCACATTTTCTTAATCTTCTGATCATGGGATCCAAGAAAAGTTTGTTCCCTATTTACATAGAATATATCAGGGTTGCCACTCAAACACGAGAAGGAAATTCCTTGACTTTTATAGTTGTGTTTTAAGAAAATCCCAGTCTATCTGCATAGTGCACTTTGGCTGTGTTCAGAAGTAAATTTATTATAGTACTTCTAAACACAAAAATCTTCCAATTACATATGACTTACCAAAAGCCCTATTATAACTATAATAGAAATTGTTATCTCCACTGAAGATTGAGGTTAGAATATGCCCAGTATGGATTAAAAAACATCTTTTTTTTTTTTTTTTTTTTTCTTTCAGACATTTTACAACTAAACAAAACAAAGAAATCTATTTAATGATATTTTAAAATAAATTTGGGTATTTTTATTTACTTAGCAGCATACATAAGGAAAGAATATGTGCATAAAATTTCACGATGGTATGTCATCATACTGCTAGAATTAGTTTCAGGAGTATGCCAGAGAAAATTGGTTGAAATTTTAAAGTATTATTAACTAATAATAAATACATTTTGAAGAAAGAAGCCACATTAAATGATACTAATAACATTAAATAAATTACTTAAAAATTAAAAATAGAATTGCAATAATCAACAATATTTAGGCGAATAGAGTTAGATGACTGATTACTATTTTTTTTTATTTTACTGCAAAATGACAAATAAGGTATTTATTAAAAAAGAAAAGGAAAAAAAAAAAAAAAGATTAAAAGACTTTTTGTGGTAATATCATAAAATACGATACGGCCTTGACATGATTTTAAAAACTGTTGCCAACAACAAATGACCCGTTTACTGTTTATCATCATGTCGCCTAATTCCATGTGTACCATATACTAGGATTAAACCAATTTTGCTTTATACGAGAATGAGAAGGAATTTTTTTCCATTCAACATGCACTGCACGTGCGAACGAGTCTTTCGATTCTTAAGGTTACTGGAAATTGCTGGAAACTTGCTCTGCCTTTCTTAAAGACAATCTGATTGGAGCTATGAAAATTGGCTCTATGCCAGCTGCCCTAATGACGCTCACGCGATACCTAATTCGCCAAGAAAATCACTTCCAGCACTGGCATAAAAATTGCTATTTTGGGGATCGCCACATGAAATTCAATGACCTTTTTTGGTCAGTTTTCGAATTACCTGGCTTTTCCCGATAGCGTGGCAACCCTGATATATGCTAGGAACGTTTTTAGTATTTAAATTTCATGGTCCATTAATGTAGCTACCTCTAGTTCTCTGTCAATTTATGCTTGTTTCCAATCTGTGGTTTCACTTGAATCATATCTCCCATATCTTCGAATTGTGTACCGGCAATCACAAAGATAAGTCACTAAACACCAGAAAATCAGTGCCATTCTATGGTTGATTTCAGTTTTAAAATCAGAAAATCGTCAGGTAGGGAGGCTTGTTCAACCTCTGCAATCTGTTATATAGTCAAGAATTGCTTTAAATAAACAGCGAGTAGTAGACCATTATGTAGTTAGTCAGCTGACACATAGGTCTTGCTTTATCATGAAGAAAAATTGCCTGAGAGCTTAGACAGTTTCCCCGAAACCAGTTTCAATATTATCTTTATCTTCCTTCATTTCAAATGAGTCAGGTTCAAGTTGCGACCATGTTCTATATTTATTTTTGATTAGTAGCATAGCTGAAGATCCAGTTATACCAAGATAAGTTGAAACGATTTTGCCAGAAATATATTCTTTTTAGACAAAACTACTAAAGACATTCTCTTTCATGAGATTTCTATAACATGAAATACCTAAAAGCTGATCACTTTTTTGAACTGATACATTATCTGGGAGAGCATTTGAAAAAGTGACAAATGTACAAGAAATAAAAACAGTGCAGTCTCGAGTAAAACAGCAATTTGGCAAATAAAATATTCCCTCTGCTACACTCACTGTTGCCAATCTAAATATTTTGTATTTAGATAAGTACTTTTAATGTTGGTTAGATCTTCTTCTTCAAAATGATGACAGATGTCTGTCTTACGTTGAGCTACGGGGAAAACTGTTTTCGTTGAGCAGAACTTTTCATTTGGATAATTATAGTGAATTTACATGACTTAATTTTAAAGCTTGAGGTGAACAAATTAATGAAACTGTAGCAAATAATACAATAAACATGGATCAACATTTTGACGAAGTAGTGACAATGAAAGTTTTTTTTTAATCGGCTAATTATGAAATGTGGAAAAATAAAAGTTGCAAAGAAAAAATGGATACGTTTCAATCTTTTAAAAGGAAAAAAATTCATTGCCTGACCTTGTTCAAGTAACAGAATACATTTTCAGCATGCCAGAAACATTGGCACCAGTTGAAAGTGTGTGGGTGTGATTATGGCAAAGCCTCGAGGGCTATCTGCCTAAGGGGAAGGATGCCTTCATGGAGGACTTTATAAGGGAAACTGGCTCATATACACGTTACACATGGGGAAAACCACAGATACGTCCATGCAGCCAGCCCGTTCGTGGAATTCGAACCTCCGAGTGAACTACAAGTGTTCAGCGATTTTACCACTCGACCGCTGGTGGGCCACACCAGTTGAAAGAGTATTTTTAATAATGAGTATCATATTGTCTACAGATAGGGTAGAATAGCTGAATCAATCGTAAAAGATTTACAAAGCTGCAAAATTTACAATGAATTAAGCTGCACGGAATTTTCCAATGCCTTTAAAAATAACAAAAATTTTTTTAAAGAAAGTTCACACTAGTGATAAATAACTTCTTAATAATAAGATATGTTCAGGTGAATTATTAGAAGTTTCTTTAAACTCAGTGTTTTTTTTGTTATCAATTTTTTTCAATCACAGGTATTTATCCCATCCTAATAGGATTTAATTTTTGTTCTGAGTACTTTCTGAAAATTGTCCCAGTATAAGCAAAAATATTATGGCAGAACTATACATAAGTATAAATTTACATGCAGAAAACATTACTTGTCATCACTGCCACATTTAATTTTATAGCACCCAGTCCTAAGAAGCAATTTATATAGCTACATAGTTTGAAAAAGGAAATAGAAAATCACATGATAATACACACCTGAAGAACCGATATACTGAAATTGACTCCGAGATCCACTTTCTCGTCTCTCAGGTACTCAGAAAACCTACTATTTAAATCACCACTCAAGCTGATGTCGGTGAACATGCGGTGGAGTTTGCTTGTGAATTCGTACCCACACGCTTGCTGCAAACAATAAAAAGTAAAATGAATACAACTTTTCTCATCTCCTAAAGTTTAAGAATAAATTTTAGACATTAAAACTTCATCTAATACTTGCAAATTAGCTGGACCTCACTAATATTTTAACAAAAATATTGCTTTACCCTTGACACAGATTCCTGGAATTACTTCATTGTCAACTTCGGATTAACTACAGCAAGCACATATCTGCATTGTATCACCCTTTTTAGGGGGGAGATGATTCTTTACACATCAAAAGTTTTGCGGCAATAACTGTTGATCCCTTGCTATCTTTTACTGTGTTTTGCAGATATATAATAAAAGTGTTACTTGCAGATGCAGTGATTTTCGCTTAATAAAATAACTTTTGTTGCAGACACATTTGAGTTTATTACGTGGCCAAACTTAACAGACAACAATTTGCAGAGTACAAATTTTGATATCAGATTTAAACTTATCTAATTAATAAGATAATAACTAAACATCAATCTGATAATTAATACCTTAAATAATAATTAGAAATTAATATTAAATTATTTGTGCAATTCTGAATAATTCTAAACGCCCTTTTATAAAAATTTATGGACCAACATTTTGGGCCAGATCGAAGTTTTGGCTGTTGTAAATTTGAACAAAAATAAGTGGCTGACTTTACTAATCATTAAGTTTAATAAGAGATTTGGAATCAGAATGCAAATTAGTTCAAGTATAAATAAGCTTTCAGGACCTAAGTTCTTGAGAGAGCACTAACAATAGAACACAGTCTTTCTGCGATTGAGCTGACATTACGAAAAGGAATGAAGAGTAGGTTGTCGTCAACTGGGTACAACATGACACCTGGATGTGATGCAGATGCCTTTAATTTGGATGACATAATATACACTAGTTTTCTTTCTTGTTTCTGGCAATGACAAATGTTTTAAAGTTTTGTTTTGACTCTGTAGCAATAATGATTTTATCCTGAAACCTCATGTCTGGAAAATGAATATGAAACATAATTGCATCTATCAATTAAAAATCACGAATTAAATAATTAGATATTTGATTAAAAGCAATACAAAAATAATAATAAAATGATAACATCCAAACATGTGGTACAAGATAAAGCTGTTCTTGCGACAAGCAAAACTACCATGTATCCTACATAGCAGATCTATGTGAAATCTGGGTGTACTAGCCATAAATTTTATTACTTCAATCAAGCAAATCAATTAATTACCAATTAAAATCTCTAAGTATTAAATAAAAACCAAATACTAAAAGTAATTAAATTAATTACTTATATATTAATATTTATATTCTTTCATAATTTTTAATTTAATTACTTTTATTTTAAATTTAAAAATGAATTTCTTTGGTAATTTTCTTTTGCAATTCACCCAGATACAATGGAGAAACATGGCTCTGCTGACAATTCTTTTGGCTGCTCCTTGACAAGGACCAACAGGTATCAACTATAATATATTCTTTCCGATTTAATGATTATTGTTTTATTTTTGTATTATTTGACATTTACATTTGTTTTCCGAGTTTTTACTTCAGATTGTTTTTACTGAATTATCAGGAAAGTTTTATAGTTTTGTTATGGTAAATACAAATGAAGCAATGCAAGAAAAAAAAAAAAAAAGTTATATTTCATTGAACCATATAAGCAGCATTTTGTCCTATGACTTCTAGCCATCTCTCTAGCAACTGGAAAATTCCTTTTTAAAAATGTCATTAGGTTTATTCATTAGCAAATTATCAAGAGGCCATTTGACAGTTTCCATAGATATAAACTCCAGGCTGTTTAAAGAATTCTGAAGTGACCTGAAAAGACGAAAATCCAAGAGGGCAGGATCTAACAAAGACAGAAGGTACACCTAATCATCCCACACTTACTTGATAACTGTTGCCTAAATTTAATCGATATGTGGGGCTGGCATGTTATGATGGATGACAACATCTAAAAAATGGACTAAAAATGGGTAAACACTTCACTTAGATTTCTGCTTTTAAAACTGTTATTTAGGAACAGTGTTTTTCCGAATTTACTGTCTGATTTACTTGTTAACAATTTGCAGAACCACCATACACAAAAAAGGAGGTTACTAAGAGGATCCATCTGGTTTATTCCATGAACATTTTCTAGTAACATTATTGTACACTATACCCTTCTCAACCCAAGTAACGAGCAGCTTCAAATTAAATGCTTCTTTATTTCTTTCAAGGAAAGAATCGCATGTCAAAACTCAAGACACACATTCTGCTCTGTTAGAGCATAGGGTATCCATGCTCTAACAGAGCAATAACTGCAAGTATCAGTTTAAATACTCAATTTTTTCTTCCAATGATCATGTATTGTATTTTTTGCTACATTTAGAGTGTCTGCGAGTTTCTGAACTGTATAATGCAGATTTTCAGTGAGAGACTTTAATAACTCCTTATCTACAGAGGAAAATCGTCCAGAGCTGCCAGCATCTTCAAGGTCGAAACATAGCATAATTTTATAAGCTATCTCTATTTTCCCTTTTTTTATGATAAAAAAGCATAATGTAATATAAATGACCTTTTGGGTTTTCCATTCTTAGTTCTGCACTGAAACAAAAATTATGCCACAATACATGCTAGAATTATACAATTCCAGCAGAAAAGACTGTATTTAAACAACTTCGATCACTATCATTCCAAATAAAATAATTAGAAGGAAATGCACTTCAATTTGAAACGTCACAAAACTTTCTGTATGGCCCAATACTTCATTTAAAAGAAACTGCTGACTTTAGAGATTGCATACTGAATTTCATTTAATAAAAAACTACTCATTTTGGTATTTCAACAAATGATGATTAATGTCAACTTCTTAATGAATGCTCTTAATAATTAGTGATTCTAAATTAATGTTCTTTTAAAACTGAGATTATATTTAAGAAATTAGCATTTGAAACTTTAACTCTTTCACATCGAAATCCCTCAAACGCCTGAGCATTCAGACAGTGGCAGATCGCCCAAATAATTTCCTACCTAGTGCTTTCCTCCATCACGGTACTGCATTGCTCATTGCTTTCAGGTGTTGTTAAATGACATATCAATCATTCTTTTCAAGTGACTAAAAGTAGTTCATGTTATTTTAATGCACCTTCTTTTTCCTTTGCTTACTGTCAATGTTTAGCTATTGATGCCCAAAGTTGCAATCCTGCCCCAAGGGGAAAACTTCACATAGAGTGAAAGCGTCCAAAAAAGAAGTTGTCTGTTTACTAAGAAGGTTATTGTTAGCGCTGTAGTATTCAATTTGTCATAGGGAAAGGAAAAGCATTCCAATAGAAATTCCTATACACTGGCGTTTTCGATGTTTGAGAAAAAGAGATTTGGTCCTCTCTCCATGCGAAAGAGTTAATATGAATAACTGCTTCCAGCAATACTTATACACAATCTCTAATAATTTTTATTACTAGTATCAGGTAACTATTACCATAAAAAGATTTCTTTTTTATTAATTTGAACAAAAAAATCTTTTTTTCCTATAGGATATGCAATTTTTTTTTAAATTCTATACATCTTTACTTAAATTAATATTACAAAATATTTGACTAGAAAACTGATTTGATTCCCTTCTTAAACTAAAATCATGTTATTATGATCAACCATTCAAAAAATAATAAACTGTAACTCTGTAAATAACTCCCATATACATTCTAAAACAGAATTTTTTAACACTAAATACTCATCATGACCATTAAAAATTTGACACTACATTATCTTTTCACTACATTTAAAAAGGAAAGTTACAATTAAAAAGCAAGTTTGATTAAACATATTTAAATGAGCAAACCTTTAATTTATTTATCATGGCTTCTTCAGCATCCATGGACATTGACTGACCATATATCAGCCGCTTGGCCAGCATCTTGGCATAAAACTGCAATTCAAATGATGAAATAACTTTACAATGGTCAACATAGTTCTTCAGTATACATTTATAATTAACCAGGCATACACAAATAGAAAAATGTTGGACAAGAAATGAACCAACATTTCTCAGAAAAAGCCACATGCGCAAGAAAATAACTACTATGCATGATTAAAAAAAAAAAAAAAAAAAACTGATGTGGACATCATGACTTCCTTGTATGGCCTATTCAATTATGCATATTTTTATACTGCATTTCATTTAAACTTATTTCCTCGAATTTCATTATAGATAAATTTCTCACTCAATTAAATTCAAGGCAAAAATACATAACATCTCATTAAAAATTGTAAAATACAGAAAAACATAACACCAAAGAGTAGGCAGCTATATTATTTTATACGTGTTCTTTAATTATCTTTGTTCTTTATTGCTTTTTTGTTATTTCTTTCTTTTTTTTTTTTTTTTTTTTTTACATTTGTTCTTTTACTTCTTATGTTTCTAATTTAATTCTTTTGCATGGCATTTTTGAAAAGCAAGTTAAAGAAACAACCCCCCCCCCCCAAAAAGTATACAGAGAGTTAAGTTCTAGGGTATACTACATCCTAAAACATACAAACAATAGGGAAAAAAATTCAGACAAGGAAAAATTTAAAGTTCCAAGAACATAACACAAGTCTGAAAAATAATTCTAAGCATGTCAATGCCTCTTAAACATTACTTTAGATTTAAAAATAACAAAAATTTTATTCAATTTTTAATTATGCTGCAGAACAATAACAAATAAAATGTTATATTAAACATATACTCACTTAACTTATCTCATAATTTTTTAAAATCTTATGTTAGCTTTCTCAAAAACTGTAAATAAAATGGGTTCCATAGAAAAATACAAAGTTTGAAACAAATCCCATATAATTCTAATTAGTAAAATCAATACACTTATGACTAAAAAAAGTCCAATTATGACTAAAGTTCTGGTGCAACAGTATGTGCACAGATACTTATAGGTACACACCTATTAAAAATTTACTACTAAGTGCAGTCATCAAAATCCACTACAAGCTAATTATTATGGCCATATTAAATGTTAACATTTTAAAATTACACTTACCTTTTGAAAGACATCTTTATCATCAATATATTTAAACACAGTAATAGATTGGGATAATTTGTCTTCGACTTCATTTTCGGTGCATGTTTTTGCATTTTTTTTCAATAAAGAATCACAATATTTTGCTAACTGAAAAAAAAAATAATAATAAATATATATCAAATATATTATAAAGAAACTATATTAAAAAAGAAAGAGGGAAATGAACGTACAATATCAGATACTGACTTAGATTTAGGTATAAAAAGTCAGTAACATTGGTTTGGTATCAAGTTTTCTTTTGCAATGTTTCTCACAGGAGATTTTTAAAAACTTAGCCATATCCATGCGTTCTGAGTAAAACTTGTGCTTGCACATCATCCTTCAGTACAATCAACTCTTCTTGTATCATAATATCAAGATGTGATGCAAGTCATACTCACACATTCAAATTTTTAAAATTTTGGAAGTGAACATTAAAATCTTTTAGTGTATTATTTTCCTCATATTTATTTTATATGATTTCTTCCTTACTACATTACCAAATGCATGGTTTAAATCCTTATTCAACTAAAATGTTAATTCACACTCAATGGCAGTTATAGAAATGAAGCAGAAATATAGATATAGGTCAAATGAGCAAAATTAAAGATCTTTTGAAATTTTGGTTGAAATAAGGAGCCTTAAAAAAATCTGAGGACTATATAAATCTCATTATATTTGTCACCCAATTAATTACATTAATTTTTTGAAATAATGTTCACATTTATGAACACTAGCCTGCATTTTCATGCAAGAATATTGCTAATGAAAGAACAGGAATGAAACAAATAATTACAAATGTTTTTTAGAAACTAAAAATTCAAAACAAAAACAACTCACCAATTCTGGAGACCGGCACATAAGCTTAGGATTACCTTTATAATTAATTACAGCAGCACATGCCTGGGGAAAAAAAGAATTTCAAACATGATGAGCGGGAAAAAAAAATATATTTAAGAAATTTACTTTATATAAAATAATATTCAAATCATAAATATCAATATAGATTTGATCCTGAATTACAAAAATATTACAAATAAAATAGAGCAATGTTTCAATTCATGTTTCATAAAAACATGAGCATCCACTTCATCTCAGAACAATAAATACCAAATAATTTTCGTCATTTCACAAAGGTGACTTACAGCCCATGAACCATGATCAAAATCAAAGAAACTGATAAACACATAAAAAGCCCCAGTGCATAAATAAATACAAATAATAATAATAACAATAATAATATGTATGTACTCTTATTACATTACCAGTTTATTTAATTAAATTATACAGAAAGGCCAACATAGATGGTGCCAAAGATGGAAACAGTTAAAGCCAAATCACGATTCATACTCATTACCAAAGGATAGGTTACCTGTTCTGAAAATACCCAATTTTCTACTTTATAAGGCAAGCCACTGCTCATCACATATTGAAATAATTGCTGTTTTATATCACAGCAACCATAGCAAGAAACATTTACTGATAAACATGATTAATGCATTCAATGTCCACAGTGCACAGTTTATATAAATGTATACATAGAAAAAATTTAATATAAATTTGCATTTATTTGCACAGACAAAGGAAGAGGCAACAAAGCCTATGACACCAAGTATTGTTAAGATATGGAAGCAACTATGAAACTTTTTCAATTACTTGCCTTCACCTGTTTGTCTATAGATGCCTCCAATGGTTTCATTTTCTCATCAGTAGTTCTGTTATTTTCCTTTGTTTGCAGGAACTTTGCCAATTTTTTCCCCCTACTGTTATCATGTGAGCATATTTCCCTTTCATCATTTTAATTCCTGCCACTGAATGCTTTATTTTACCTTAGAAACTACAATACCACAATATTTATGCAACATATGCTGATTCTTGTAGCTATAGTACACCTAACACTGTTCTTCAGAAAGTTCTTGCTTTAAGCAATTTAAAAATATATATATAAATGTACCAGAAATTCATTTTAAACTGTCACATTCCGATGGCCACAATTCAGCAACTGCCAGTAATAATGCATCAAACACAGTACTGTGGCCCATATATGATGCCCAAACTCTGCTACATAGGTCTTGGGTGATAGTGTCCTATTCTTGTGCTTATTATTCCATTGTTCAACCAATTTTTGTAGGATATTTATTTATCTATAAATGTCTGGCCTTTAGTAGTGAAGCCATTAGTCACCTTGATTAAGTATTCTCAGAGGAAGAATTCAAACTATTAAGTGCTGAGCATGTGTTTAAATGCTCTTTGTCTATAGATCTTTGTCCAGTCACAAAGAGAATACATTGGAATATTCCTGAATTCAACATAAAGAAATGGGCATATATAAATGCAACTTTGTCCAATCAAAATATTAAATGATGCCACAGTGGTGAAATGAAGAAAATCGGGGATAACAAATCTCTAGTCCGAAGACACTGCCAAGTCATTTCCTCAGCTTTTATGCACAAATCTGAACCATGAATTTTGCTAAATTCCATATTTATTAATCTCTTAGTAGTGCAAAAGTTCATAAAATTTCTGGATTTTTTGAGGACAAATGTTCTAGAACACTGGTTATTTTAATGCACACTGCGGCCACCAATACCCAGGGCCTCACCAGTATGAGAAGGGATAAAATTTGCTAAAGCAGTCTCGCTCCTATTTGATGGCATTGGATTGCAAACTCTTTTGATCTAAAGCCTCCCAAATTCCTAAGCCAAGAAGTGTACTATTCAATGACAGAAGAAATGATGCTAAGGAGCAAAGAGCACAAAATCATGACTCCAAAAACTGAAAATGAAAGATTAAAAATTGTCGCATATTAAATATTTAGCAGGGCAAAATGTACACAATTCAGTATTATACAAATGAAAAACACTAATGTTTTGATAAGTATTTAGTAGTTAATTTTTAATTATTTTTTGTATTTTTTTAACTTTATTTAAAAAAATGTTCTTGCCTGTTAGCTGTTTTCAGATTATGCATTTGGCCTGCATACAACTTGAGACCACTGCACTAGTCAAAGAAACATACACTGTGCAATTGTAAATATCGAACCAGGGTTCGTAGCCTCATTTTAGTTAAAAAAATAAGCACGTATAAGCACTTTTCAAACACATTTTAAGAAAAAAAATAAGCACCTCTCTAATTACATTATACACAACTGCATAACCTTAAAAGGAAAATTAGACTTGTATTTAAAATATGAGAAATTCGTATTTATTAAGAGAGAATGAGCATTACTCAACCATGGAAAATAATTACATTCTTTTTTTTTTTTTTTTTAATTTTAAATAACAGTTCAATTTACAGAACTAGTTTACAATGTGAGGAAAAAAACTATGCAGAACTAAATTATATTACAAGATTTAATTATGCAATTTCAGTTCAAAATAGAAAAAATAAATAATAATAGGCCATATTTATTACATTTGCTACCTAAAATAAATACAATTTATTTTTCTACTCATATTAATAGTTAAATAATTTAACAAAATTCTGAACATTTTCTAAATTTTCATTGTATAACAGTTTTTCCTTAACAAATATTGCAAGTAAATGTAAGTAAAAAAAAAGGGGGGGGACTTTTTCTGAAATCAGAAGATGGGAAATTGCTTCATGCAATCATCCTTTAACAGTAAAAACTTAACTAAACTAACCGGCATACGCGGAAATTGCGGCAATATCAGAAAATTCCGGATAGTCGATTGTAACTGGTAAAAGAGGAAAGGGAGTAGTTGTAGCCGTTCTTTAGATTTTTCAGCTAAATAATGCTTTTGACATTTCGATATGTGCATCATATAAAAAATAGCCTAATGGAACTGAAAAATAATCTGCTTAGCAAGCACAGTAAAACTCTTATCTCTGTGAAATATTGCAAACATTATTGCACAATGCATGCGCCTTAATTCTTTCACATGTGTTATTACGCAATTGGAATCAACAGCTGGCGGTATTCAGAGATAAATACAAAATAAAGAAACGCCCCTTTGCCTTCTAGTTTCACCATCATATTCCCATGTAGGCCTATTTAGCATGAGCCGAAAACTCGCACTACCATATTGAATAATAAGAGATTTACCAATCTGAGTGTTTTACATCTAATTTGAACAGACTGTGTTAATTCCGGAACAGAATCTTCTTCGCTTGGATATAGGCCGCAGACTTTTAACTCCTATTCAATCCATGAAAGTGACCAAAAAAAAGTTTGTTGCTTGCTTTGTGCTAACCGTATTGGTTCAATATTATTTGGATTTGCGGGAAAGGGGAGAACCCCCCTCCTTTACTGTATGCATGCCAAAAAAAAAAAAAAAACTTATGTATACACAGACTTCCTTGTATGGAATATCTAAATTATATGCCTTTTCTTGCCTTTCGTTTAAACTTCTTGGATTGAATAATCTACTCACCCGACGCCAGCCAAAACCACATGAATAAATGAACTCTAAAATTCACTTATTTGTTCCAAGTTTGTTTACACTCTGACACAGGTTCACTAACAGTATTATATTTCGTTCATATTATAACTCAGAATGCACAAAATCATTTAAAAGATTATCTAATCGTTCCAATTTCTATTCAAATCTATATAAGCTAGAATGATGTATAACAGAAATTAAGCAAAAAACGAAAAAACAGTTTTTCACAGACGATGAGTATTTCTCATTCAATTACTCATTCTCACTTCGCGAGAAGGTAAAATATTAAAAACTCAAAATATCTATATTAAAAATTACGAAGTATCTTAAACCACTTATTTCCTCGAAAAACCAGAAGGATTAAGCATATTAATTGGCAATAATACGAAGGCTTATCTTTGTTGTTGTGAAGCTAAGTTTCTCTCTGCAAAAAATCACTAGTCTGCTGTTTCAATTAAACAATCAATGCTGCCATAAAAAAAAAGCTTAGCGGCACTTAAAACTTTAAATTGTTGATAATTCTAAAATATTGCATACAGATTTACTAAAGGCATAAAAACCTCAACCGGAAGATAAGAACACATAATTCACTCATTTTTAAAGCAAAAAAGTACAATTTACAACATATAAGAGTAAAGAAACTGAGATCACTGAGCCGGTAACAGAGTGGCTATTATTTAAATATATTTATATATGTTCGGCACGGCCGATTGCAACCAAAATAGGAGGTGCACATCTACATGTTATAGTAGTCCTATATACAAAATTTAAACGTTTTAAGGCTACTCGTTTTTGAGTTATGTGAGATATGTATGTACATACGTTCGTACAGACGCGATGAAAAATTGTCTTCAGAATTCATTTTAAAGCAGTTTTTGTAATTTTTTTTGGAGGAAAAGAGTCTTTTATTCTGTCCTAATGTACAGATGTCATGCAAATACTTCTTTAAATTGCATTCGAAAGCGGTCAAAATGGATATTTTCGTTTAAATATGCTGCCTGAAACTTTTCGCGATTACAATACTTCCTTTTTACTTGGAGCAAGGAAGTAAAAAGAGAGAACTTATTTTGACTATTCAGTTATTTTCACTTTATTTAAGCCAATCCAAATACTATTCCTTAGAAAACTAATCTGTGTTAAAACACACTTATCCATTTTTGAAGTTTATACTTCAGCAGTTACTGCAGATATATTATTATAAATATTCATACATATGCTCATAATATAAGCATACGGATCATAATAAACACGAATATGAACTGACCACATTGAATGAAAATGTTAATTATTAAAATCTTGATAGAAATTCAAATGTGTGTAGTATTGGGTGGACCAATAGAACGACGTGCACCTGTTTGTACTTGCGCGCACCGAAGGTTATGTTAATGCAGAGAAAGGGGCAAAAAGCATTTTCCAGGAGTACGATTCACCATCTGATGTTCTATATAAAGAAGAAAAGTTGTTTATTTAGTTTCAGCTTTGGTACGGGATGGAGTGCGTTCGTTAAAAAAAAAAAAAAAAAAAAAAAAAAAGCACTAAAAGCAAAAAAAATAAGCACTAAAACAAAAACAAAAAAAATAAGTGCTTTAAAAAAAAAGTAAGCACCTACAAGGGTATTTTATTTTCAAATGTAAGACCTTATAAGCACTTGTAAGGACCACTACGAACCCTGTGAACGTTCTCACCAGGGCTGAATTGCACTTATTTCCATTTCTCAACAAGACGACAACACCTACACCACAAAAGTAGGGAAATAACTTGGTTTGGTTTAGTGATTACTGCAAAGCCTCAAGGTCTATCTGCCTAAGGAGAGGGGTGCTTTTATGGAGGACCTTTTTAAGGGAAACTGGCTCCTATACACACGTTACATATGGAGAGAAACAAGAAAATGCCCACGCAGCCAGCCAATTCGCAGGATTCTAACCTTGGACCGAACTACCAGCATTCAGTGACATTTTTGCTCGGCTGCTAGCAGGCCCATAGTAGCAAAATAACTTTAACTAATGACAAAAAATTAAGGTCTGTCCCACTAATATTTAGCATGGCAGGTACAAAAACATGATAAACTGTTTGCCCACAAGGAAGACAAAAATTGCACACGTTTAAAAATTAAAATTCATCCTATATTCAATTTGGAATTAACATGTAAAAAAATAAAATACATGCCAAAAAAAAAAAAATAAAGTACCAGAAGCATCACAAACTGTGAAAAAAAGGAGGGGCAAAACATGCCAAATCCGAAAATGAAATAAGAAATTTATATCTTTTGCTGCATTGTCTTCAAGGATTTAGTACAACATGAACAAATACAAAGTAATAAGCAATTCAAAACCTAAATCAGACTGTACATTGAAATCAGCAATAAATTATAGTATTGAAGCAAAATAAATTTAAAAATATGTTTAAAATTCATCCCATTGTTGAAAACATGCGTACAATGCACACACACACACACACATATATATAAAATGCATAGCACCAGTACATACATTAAAAAAGGGGGGAGAATAAAATTTACAATTTAAAAAAAATGCATACCATAAACAAGCAAAACATTGTTAGGCCACATGCTGTAAAGCACCTTATGGAAAAATAAAAATATTGTACAGCAAAATAAGGACAGTAGTTAATACCCTTGACCATTTCATATCTGGAATAATGTCATCTATCTTAGTAACCAATTCCATTTACATTTGTATTCCATAACAATATTTTGGAGTTGTAAATAATAGTTTACTGTTATTAAAAGAGATTTCATTGAAGAACTAACAACTCTTCTAACTGCCAGTGTTATTGAACATTTTCAAAGGCAATAGTTTATATACGTCTCCACATATTCTCCTTAGGTTTAGAAAAATTTTACGACAGCTGTTGGAAGTGCACTGTTTTGCTAGAAACATGAAAGAGAAAATTGTTTGGTGCATGGTGTTCTACAAGAAAAAAGATTGCAAGTATGATAAAATTTACCTTATCTAAAGCACCAATAAACTGCTGATCTCCAGAAAATACTTCTTTGATTAAAGTGCTATATTTTCCATGCACAGTTAGAAGAGACTCTACAAACAGCTGAGGAATCTGAAAATTAAAAATGTTATCTAAGCATAAAATATTTCAAACCTGCCAGTTTAACTGGATATATCTGCTAAATCTTATTCTACACATACTTAATACAAACTATTACAACAATAAATAAAGCAAAAGGATGTAGATGCATAGAGTGGTATTTTTCAAAGCAAACACATAAAATATTTTCAGCATCTCAAACCATTCTGTATTCCATGCACCCCTAAGGGTTCTATGGCCACACAAAAGTAATAAAACACATAAAACTTGAATGAAATTAAAGTTTTATCCCACTTAGTAAAATTAAACCATCTTGTATAATAAAATTTAAAAAAACTGAATGACAAGCATTGATTTGAGTTCAAGTGGATATATTATTAAACAGAGAAATTTTGCTGTTGTTCTCACTGATAATGTAAAAATCAATTCTAATATAAAAAGTTTGATTAGACATGATTTGATATTTTAATGTGATTAAAAAGTTAACACAATGATCATAGTAATATGCATCAAGTTGTCAAAAATGTCCTCTACCAAGGGACAGTGAACATAAACTTCTTAATTTTTAAACCCAGTTTTATTTACTTGTACAGTTATCTCCTGTTCTACTACTCTTCTCCAATGCTCTGGGATCTTCAAAAGTCTTGGTAAAAAAGGTATGGTGCCTTCCTGTCAAAGAAGCCTGTCAGACAGACTTTCACTTCTCAAGAGAATTGAATTTTTTTTCCTTATGCAGAGCATTTTTATGACTGGCATTTTTTGGGATTAGTGGTATGGCGATGGACAGCATTCTGGAAATACCATGGGTGTGTAAGGACATATCCCTGAAATTTCAGGAGCTTTCTCTGTAACTCTAATAAAACACAAAGTCCGGCATTGCCATAACAAAATGTAACAAAGAGGTTTGCACGTTTGGAATACTTCGAATTGAACATGGCCTCCAGTTCTAGCTGATGGCAGTACATAGTGAAATTTATCGTCTAACCAAAATGAAGTAGCTTGAAAAAGAGAACTCCTTTTAAACAGGCATTAAAACCATTTTCGACTGAGTCTTCACTTCACTACAACCTGTGATCTGCTTCCCGAAATTTCTCAAATACATTTCCCTATCATGCTGTCATACAGAATACATAATTTATAACATATAAAAAGTTTTCAGAGAATAGCTTATTTTACTGCAAGAACTGATCACAACATACAGAAATTCTGTCAAGCTTGCTAATGCTCAGTCAGCTGATGAGGCACCTAAACTTCAGACTTGCTCTTGTAGTCCATTTTCTCCAGGAAATTGTGTACTCAATCTGGAAAGGCTAAGGTTTTCTATAACTTCTCGAACAATGCACGGGGGGACCTGGTCAATGGGATCTTTGATTTTTCATCAATTGGCCTGGCTGATCATTCAAAGCTTGCTTGGTCTAGGATATCCTTCTCCAAATCTTTGGCATCAATGATTTCCCTATCAGTTTTGTTGTAGCATTAATGATGTAAAAGATGCAAACTTCCTTTATATTAGTCGCCCCCCCCCTCCCAATTGATGCACAGATTGTCACATTGTGTCTGTTCATATAATCTATTTTCAGAACCCCTCTAATGAAATTAGTTTACCTAACATGCCATATAGGCAACGTGTGGAAAGGAGGAGGTGGCCCTGTGGCTGAGTTAAATATAAATACATTATCCTACCTAATGATGCACAAGCTACCATGTGCACAAATGGTGCAAGACTTTTCAGATAACTCAGTATCACCTGCAAGAAAGATTTTTGCAAAGACTGTGCAAGCAAGAGTTATAGCTTAAAAAAAATATTTAAAATACATTTTCTAATACTACTGATAGCATTTTTTGATAAATTTTCAGTCATTTCATGAGTTTCTGCCATTTTTGTGGCAGAAATAGCTTGAGTTTTAACAATTTTGACAGTAATTTGGAAGCCTTGACTACTTGATGAAAATAAAACTATGATAAATTTGACGAAAATAAAACTACCATAAAAAATGCAGTCTGAAAATGGCAAAATATTTAGCATGCATAAGTTTTGAAACATGTGCAAAAAAAAGCTATCTGTAAAAGCAATAAAAAAGATAATTTAAAAAGAATGCTTACATTTTCACCCCTCAAGCTACTAACACGCTCCAAGCCCACTTTACTAATATGCTGTTGAACTTCTTGAATCAAAGCTTCAGCGCCACTTGGAATAGATTTCAAAAGAAGGAACATGTGTTGTAAATCTGAAATTGGCAAAAATATCATCATCATATCTTATCACCTACATGCAAAGATTAAAATAATCCAGTTACAAATATACTTAGAAAGAATATAAATACTTGATTGATTTGACAGAAAATTGATAGATATTTGATTTTATTATTATTATTACAATGAAGCTAAGCATATTATTTTCAAAATTGTTTATTCCATTCAAACAAATAAAGACAAGTAATTCAAGTTGTTGGTATTATTAGACAGTTATTAAATTAGAGATAACACATAAATGAAAAGCACTAACATTAACAGTTTCCAATGCAGCAAAACTAATTTTATTTTCAAATATGTCTTCTGAGTATGCATTAGGTTCTTGTTTATGGGGAGCAAGCTGCCCATCTGACCACAAGTGACCTTATGGCTTAATTAGGCTAAATTTTTCTTATAGTGAATATTCCATCTACTTTTTTAAATTTCAGACATAAAATTAATGGTCTCTAATGTGGCAACTGTACTTCTTCCTGCATATCTCTTATCTTTTATATGATGAGTTATAAGGTTCAATTCTTAGTTATATTATATTCTTAGTTATATTATATATTCAATTCTTAGTTTATATTTTATCTGTTAAAAATAATGGCTTTAAATGCAGCAACCATTTTTCTTTCTGTATCCCTCTTATGTTTTATGTGTTAGGTTCTCATATGTAATTCTTTATTACAGAATACTGCATCTGTTTTTTAATATTTTTATTTCACCCATAAAAAAATTAGCCCTCAATGTGGCAATTTTTTTTTCTTCATGCATGTGTCTTATCTTCTGTCTATTAGGTTTTCATGCATGCTTCATTATAGAATATTCTGTCAGATTTATTACTTAAATTAATTATAATTTCAGCCTTTACTATAACGTCTTTCCATTTCCTCACTAGAAATGTAAATGAGTTGGACAGTATTTCAGCTTTGATTTTTGAATGCCTCTCATGGGCAAGTTGCTTAGTTCCTGCTAGCTCCAGTAAGTTTCTAATTATTTGGCTTTGAGTTATTACTGCTGACACTTTAATTTGATACACTGGTTACATTTGAACCAGCTTGTCTTCGACCTCTAATCTACGTTTCTAATCAGAATTTGACTGTTACTTTAGTTACATCACCACAAATGGTGAATTGCTCTGTTAACACGAGAAGTGCCTCTATGTTCTAAATTCTGTTTTAATAAAAAGAGTATTCAAACCTTTTCAGTTACTTCAGGCACCGTGATTTATGTCTATTAGGAGTTTGGAATTAAGTTTATGCTTTCAAAGCAAGCCAAACTCTACAGTTCCATCTGCCTTCTTGAATTTATATTTTATTTGCAATGTAGCAAACACTTATTTTATGTGTCATTCTTATTTTTTATGCATTAGGTTCACATGCTTAATTCTCTATTATAGAATATTTCATATCCTTTTCTAAATTTCTATATATATTTCACTCATAAAAATGTTAGTCTAAATGGCAACGATTTTTCTACACGTCTATTTTTTATGTGTTAGCTCTCATGTTATAAAGCATTTCAACTGCTTTTTATGCTTATAACTCTTAATTACAGAATACTTCATCAGCCTTTTTATGTTTATACATGATAGATTAAAAAATGGTATCTAATGTGGCAACCACTTATTTCATGCATTCCCTTTTGCTTTTTCTATGTTAGGTTCTCACATCCAATATTTCAATATAGCAATCTGCTTATATAAATGTGAATTTCATTTATAAAAACAATAAAGAATAACACATGAAAAACAAATCGTTAATATGACAACCTTTTTCTTTCTGTAAGGCTCTTACCTTTCACTTGTTAGGTTCTCATATTCTCCATTATAGCAATATTCCATTAGCTTTTTTTAATTACTTCCTTGCATGAAGCAAAGGAAGTATGGTAATCGCAAAAAATATTGATCATCATTTTTTAAATGAAAATATGCATTTGGAATGCTCTTGAATCCATCTGAACGATATTTTATTATTATTATATTTTTTCCCTTGATATCTCATTTGATCACGTCATTTGGAAACCTATTGTGCTGAATTTATATGGCAGAAGCATAAAGGCCAAGGACATGGCTTCAAAACTATTCTTTGTGCAAAAGCAGAATTATGGCTGCTAAAAATTATGGCTCAGAGATTGCTCTCTTTTGGGAAACTGGTTACCTCTCAGATTTACAAGTACATATATTTTTAAATTTTATTAAGGCAGGTTATTTTTTAGAACAGCTTAAGCTACAAATAAATAAATAAATAAAGAGCAACAACTTAGCATACCTCTTCTGCTCTCTTGCTGAACCATCCTCTTGCATTCTCCGTGCAAAAACTGCAGGTGATCCGCCACCATGCGCTGCTCACACTCTTGTGTAACCCTGGGGTAGGAGCTGGGATGTAAATATTTACGACTACGAAAATTTTCTTCATCTAAGCGCTGTAACACCTAAAATATATAACACAGTCTCTTATAACAGTGATACAACTATAAATTTCTTATTTTAGAAGAGTAACCGAAGTTTTCCTAATCGATATCTAAGAACTTTCTAAATACTCAGAACTTCTATCGATTGAACAGAATAGCAAACGAAATTTTCACGATTAATCTCAAAAATTCGAAACACAGCAGAACATCAATAAACTGAAGTCACTGTTAACTAAGCCAGCAATCAATTGAACAAAAGCACCAAGAACATGCAGAAACTTTAGAGAGATTAAGGTAGCAATCAGTAACTGATCTTTTGATCTTTCTTATACATAATTAATCACTTAATAGCTTTACTCTTTCATTACAGAAACAATAACATTTCATTATAGAGCACCAAGGAGAAAATAAGGTTCACATGTGTTAAACCTCTCAGCATCATGACTGGCTTTATCCGGTCATGACAAGTTTTGCTATTTGGCAGATATTAGCTTATAATTTAAGATATTTTGTTTTCTTACTTTCTTTAATAATGTAAATACAGTCAAAAGTCATTAATTCAGACACCCATAATCCGGAATGATCTATAATCCGGACCTCAAAGCTACAAACTTTCTGCGCATGCGTCTCGTTGACACATGCGCATAGGCGTTTATGTGCGCGCATAAGACCTTTACGGCTGCAAATATGCGTATGCGCATAAAACGTTTACGCATGCGTGTTTAATGTATAACGGACGGTATGAGCTAAGCTAAAATTATCTAATTCAGTTAATGTTGCAGATTGCGTTGTTTCTTAATCTTCGAATTGTATCTGGCTTATTATTTTTTGCAGACTGTTAGAACAATTTTATAAAAGTAAGCTTGAACTTATAGAACGATTATATCAAATAGAATTTCTGATATATATTTGCTAATATGTAAAGGATCTAAAGCACAAGTATGTTTCAAAATCCGACATCTGTTTATCAATTTCCCTCTGCTCGGCGGGGGGAATGCTGCGGCACGCAATGAATTGGAAATTGATCTGTCAGCACTATCCTTATCTTCAGGGCAGATGTTTTTATTTTATTTGGCTTATAATTCCTTACTAAATGTAGTATTTCATCTCGATGTACTTCGTCTTTCATATGATTTAAAACAAGTTCCTTGTCATTATAATTCGCTTCCAATAGTGAAGAAAGTGAAAGAGGTTATTGAAAATGAAAAAATTTTGATTGACAAATTAGTCGGTATTCTCAACACAGCAATTATAGGACTTGAACAGCGGAACTTTATAACTAAACAAGAAATTATGTCTGTTTAATAGAATTAAAGAGAAAGTATTATCACATGAAACGAAGCAACTTAAACAACTTACATTGAAAGAAATGTTTAATAAAGTAAACAAATAAATATTAAGCTTTTCCTTTTTGTAAATTTTGATACCCTTTAGATCATAACTGTTCTTTATTTCATAAATTACGGTTTCATACTTTTAATTTTGTAATTTCTGCATGCCATCTTACCAGATTTAAACCGATGATCTATAATCCGGAATCCCCGAAGTCCCGACGAGTCCGGATTAACGACTTTTGACTGTATCATCTTAAAGAAGACAAGTTTATGAAAATACAGAGTAAAATAAATAATTATACAAACTCAATTAATAAATGCTGTTTAAATACCAGTCTTCATGACAGATCTAAAAGCCTGCGCCGCTCAGAGGGTTAAAAGTAAAAGCAAACTAACAGGCAATTTACTCATAAATATGTTTCAAAGGTAAGCAGATATCATTTCAGAATGGATAAAGAGAGAAAACTACAATATATTTTAAGTTTTGAAAGACTAAGAAATCATTTGCAGCATGAATACAGAGAAGAACAAAAACTGCACTGAAATACGGTAGAATGATGAAATGAAGTGTTTGAAAATTAGTCACGAAGGTCTTGGTTTCAGTTCATTCTGATGTAAAAAACGCACAAGGGCTCCCAGTCTAAAGGGGGGATGTTTTGTGGAGGGGCCTTTTTAAGGGAAATGCCTCATATATATATTACATGTAGAGAAAGCCATAAAAATTTTCAGTAGCCAACCTGTTTGCCAAGATTTAAACAGAGCCAAAGTATCAATATTTAGAATTTTTACTGCTCAACTATTCATTGATTGAAGGAAACAAATTTTACACCCCAAAGTATTAATAGCTCTACATGCATACTAATTTTTAAATTTCAAACAAAGAATTTCAGAGACCTAAAAAGAAAAAATGGAATGAATTAAAATTTATACTGTTAACTACATTTTCGATTAGTGGAGGTGATTGCAGTCCCGGTTACTTTGGATGATCAAAAGATCAGTGCTATGGTAGTAACAAATAGCAATGATTACTAACACGGACAAGACGTGCGCTGTCCACTGAAATGCCCAAGGAAATATAATGCCTATACAATATTAAAGGAAAATAAAATGCAAAGTATTAAATATAAATTCATTATTTTTTGTATTTTACCAATTAATGAATTGTGACTGTATTCTGTTGTCCTCAACATTATTTTTACATGCATAAAGTTTTCATCAGGTAACAAGGAAATAAAAATCACACAATACATTATTTTTTTTTTTTTTTTATCTCAATGACATGTATCTTAAATAAAAGTAACTCTGTTATGCACAAAATTACTTTAGGACTTCTAAACAATCTGAAATCTATGTATAAATGTTTTCCTCACACAGAACTAAATTTTCACATGAAAATTTAAAAGCTCAGTTAGCTTTAACAAGCTTCATATACAGCATCAAAATATAAAGAGGCCTTTGTCTTGCAAGGGGATTATCACAGCTATAGGAAATGTGTTACTACAAATTTCTCAAGTTTTGTATATCTTTACTAAATAGAATCATATAACTAAAACTGTCATAATCTGAAAATCTTTGATTCATTTCATATTCTGGAACCCTGATTCTTTATTTTATTATACAACCTTTTTCAAGCACTCTGTGTAAATTGTATAACAGAAAGGTCTTTCTTTATTTACTTTTTGATTTGAAGCAATATCGTTGTTTAATCAATAATAAAATAATATATTTAATCTTAATATATTTTTATAGTGTTTTTTTGTAAATTTAATTTTACATAATACTGATTTTTTTTTTCATACTTATGATGCTTCATGATGCTTAATCTTTTTTTGCTTTACATCCTGCTCTTAAAAATTGTATTTTAATCAACATAATTTTATATAATACTGTTCAAATAACACTACTGAATCTTTTGAATACATACTTTAATCGTTTTTTTCCTATGGCAAGATTGCAAGTGGAGCTGTGGTTTTAGGAACTCTGGTTTGTATTCCATTTGCACCTTCTTCGGATAGCAGATGTATTTAAACTAATAGTGCGATGTCTAAGAAATAGAAGTTTTAAATGGAAGAAAAGTATATTCGAATCGTAAAGCCCATAAGTGTTTGTTTGAGCCCATGAGTGACTATTTTCACAACGAAAACTCAAGATTTAGAATAGTGATTTTGATAGGAGATAGATAAAGATAGAGAATAGCAATTCTGATACTAAAATTTTCTCAGAGACTGAATTGGAAGTTTGTTTTGCTCTACCTCATAATACAGTGGAACAGTGCCTATTCCGTCATGAACTCAATCTGTCAAGTAACTTATGAATTTATGTAAATTGCAGAAATAAACTTAATTCAAAGTTATGTGAATGAAATTGATTTTTTTCCCATTTTTTTCGATAATTTAATGAGCATGATAGTTGAAAAAACTAATAATTTCTATGAATAAAAGATGAGTGAAAATCCATCTTCATCCAAAATCAGCATTACTCCTCAAGATGTGATTAAAATGAGGGGATTCCTAGGATTAATTATTCTTCCAGGATGAAATTAAAAAGTTTGACCTGAAAATGTGTTTCATAACTAATGAAATGATAGCAACTAGATTATCATGCACTGCCTCCTTTCTGAATCATTTATGCTATAATATTTGATCATATATTTTATTATCTTTTACATATGTTAAATATAGATTTAAGTAAATTTTTTACATTTCATCAAAATGAGTCAAATATTTTATTTTTAATTTAGATTTTAATTAATTTTTTTTCCAGAACCTCTTGACATTCTGTATTTATGATTATATTACTGGTAGATACCATTACAGAAAAAAATCAAAACAATTGATTAAAAGAATATTTTTAATGAATTTTTTTTAAAAAAGTTAGGCTTCGAGACACAAAATATCCCATCTAGCGAGATCATACTACTGCAACAACCCAGCGTCTCCAAGGTGAGTTGCGTTAAGTACCATGCCATCGCATAAGAGAATTAATTGCTTATGCATACATGAAATACTCGTCCTGAAGGGATTAATCACTTTTTTCATGAATATATTTTCATACAACACCTGCTTAATTTTTTGTAGTTACTTTAATTATTTAATCTTTTTATTTTATATTTCAATTTTAATATGTTCAATCAAATGTTTCATCCTCTATATAATTCTTTTCATAAATACCATTTAAATAATACTGTGTAATTTTTTTATATTAGTATTCAAAAATTTCTTTTTCATCAATGGAATTTCAAATAACATTATTATTTAAAAAATACTAAATTTTTTATATTGTTTTAATTGTTTTTATTTTAATCTTAAAATTGCTTAATCAACTGTTTTTAATTAATATAATTTTATACAATATTGTTATTTAACAATACTGTTTAAATAATGCTGTTTACATCTACTACTTTTTTTAAAATTTAAATCCTATTATTTAATCATTTTTTCATCAACATATTTTCATATAATATTGTTTAATTTTCTATATTTACTTAATACTATTTAATCTTCTTACATTTTAATATTATTTAATCAAATATTTCATCTAGAATATAATTTTACTGTTTATTTTATTTTTTATTTTTTAACTGTTACAATAATATACCGTTTTAAAAATATTGTAAAAGTATTTATAAATTAGTTTTATATTTTTGAATAATGGTTTTTTTGGTCAAAATTGTTTAAATAACACAACTCCTAAACATATAATATGAAAAACTGTGGGTTTAGAGGATGTTTTTGCACTGTTTAATGAAAACTTTCCAAAAAATTCCAAATTGATTTTCTAATGCATGATTAGAGTTATTGAACAACTTAAAATATGATTATAATGTAAATGCATTAATATTTAATTTGATATTTTAAACTTGATATGTTCATTCTATATAAGTTGTTTAATCTCTTTATTAACAAGAAAAAGGTAAATTTGTAGCAAACAAAATGCAATTTAAATTGGAAAAAAAGTTATTTTATTTTGGCTATTTTCATTTTATATATTTTTTATGCTTTTTATACTTATAAAATTCTAAGTAAGGAAGGAAAGCTTTTATTTAAGTATTTTCAAATATGCAGAAAATTAGATTAGTGATTAATGGACACACTACTGCATGGATGAACTTAATAATGTACCACATATTAACATAAAACAAAATTAAATATTATTTTAAATGACCACACACTGGGAGAATCTTCATTAAAAGTTCTACAAATGGATAAAATAAAATTTAAAGAGAAAAATTCTGCAGAAACTCACCAGGGTGGAGTGGGGAAGAAATTTGAATAATTTACGGTTTCATTAATTTAATAAATTTTACTTATTGCTGGGAAACATTTTTCTCATTAAGACTAAAAATTCCAAAAGGGAGATTTGGTGAGCTATGAAACACTCTTTTTCAATCTTTTTTTTTATATAATTTGAATTCAAAATTGCTTCAAAACAATAAAGTAATATCTTAAACAAAAGCAAACATGTAGAATTAATGGCACTACCAATCCACGTGAAATTTGGTATTATCAAAATAAAATACATTATAATATATACATATTTTTTATGCAAAGACATTTTATAGGCTTCTTTTTCCATATTTTATACTTACTTTTTCCATGTACTGAGAACAATCATTTTCTTGCAGCAAGCGACTAGCTTCTAAAGTATAGTAATCACCAGTGTCTTTTAAAAATGGAGTTTCAAATACTTTTTGATATAACTGGGAAAAAAATACATACATTAAGAAAGTGTTCGATTATGGAAAATCCACTTTAAATCAAATAAAAATATCAAGAGAGAGAGAGATATGCAGCATGCTTTTCAGAGTACTAGACATATATATGTAAATAAAATATAATATCACATTTTAAAATTTACATGCAGTTACACATTTCAAAAAGAAGAAACACAGTGTGTAACATTTTAAATATTAACCCCTATTTTAAGCTGGAAACATTCTTAAGTATGTATTCTTAAGTATTATTAAATTTTATGTTTAAACTAAGTTTATAAATTTCTACCAAAAAAGCTAAAACCACTAGTCATAATCAGTTAAAACTACTGTGGTTTAAATGAAAATAACTAGTAAAACCATAAAAAGTGCAATAACTGACAGAAACTCATAATTAACTTACTGTAATACACTGAGAAGTTTTAAGAAATGTATATTGAAAATACACGTTTTCAGTTTTATTCAAAGATCATATGACTTTTGAACGAACATTGTAAACATAGTTGTAACGTTCAAGTTCACTGAAGACTCCTAAAATCTCCTGTGAATGATGCATCTGCTGATAGACAATAACAGATTCACCACTCAAATTTGGTCTGGCATTTGTATTCAAGTAATTTAACGTAGTAGATCAATTTTACTGCTGTTATATATACACTTATCGGTACTCATTAATCATTGAGCTTTAAAGTTTTAGATACAAACCCCATGACAGTTCAATTTGACATTAAACATTAAACTGAAGGTGTTCAATGAACGGAAGGTGTTAATAGTTTTCAATTTGTTTCTCCCATTAATGTAATTTTCTTAACTTTAATTCCCCTTTTAAAAAATTTGCTCCAGCTTTCACATTTCAATACCAATTAAGAAATCTCAATTAATCCCTTAAACAATCTTTTTTTCCTAGGATAGGATAATCCTTTTAATAAAAAATTTCTTATTATAATAATTTTGGAATTCAATTCTATGCTGCTCAAGCACAGAAATTATTTAATTCCTTAATTATTATTCTATTTTTAGCTTATGTTTTTGTTTATATATCAAAACAATAACCTGGCTATACCATAACATGGCTTTTTATTCTTCATATTTTTAAGTAATATCTAAGTACATAAAAATTGTGTTTCTTTATAAGAATGATCAATAATTTTTATGTTATTTGAATTCTAAGCATACCATAACACTAAACATTAGAGCTCATTACAGTTAATTAGCTTTATATAACTGACAAATTTAATTAAATTAAACATGATAATTTCTATATTATTCTGCACAGTAGATATTCTATTCTTGTTACCATCAATCTGAGCCACTTACTTCATTTAAATTATTAACACTTTTTTGAGGGAGGACCAAGTAAATATTACTTTTTTCATTATTATTAATAGTACTAGAACATATATTTAAATCCAAATAGACAAATATATATGTCCAATTAAAAGCATCTTAAAACATTAATCATTAACCCCTTCGAGCTGGGTAGCGAAAACGCACGCTTATCGCGGAGGCCGGCAGTGTCTTCCGCGAGCGTCTCTCCAGGGCCGGGGGCTTTTTTGCTACTAAGCCTAAATCCATGAAATTTCCAAAGTATCAACGCATTGTTTAATAATGCTCTATAGAGTATTTAAACGGCTTATGCTTTATAGATATTTATATATATATATACTTTAATTACCTTATTTCTTGTTTAAATGCATATTTTACACATTTTATTTTAATCACTCACCATTTTATGACTTTTAACATTATACATCTGAAAACTAAATATATTACTTAAAATTCTCTTTTCGTATGAAAAATTTTAAAACAGGGATCTACACACAGTCCTACGTTACATTCCTTGAACTCGAAATAACTCATTTGCCGTTTTGGAGGATTTTTCCGGGAATGTGAACAAACAAAGCATCGTCGTCTCATTTTCGTATCAGTCTCTTCTGAACAAAGTTTTGGAAAATGTCTTTCAGTTAATCTTTCAGAATCAATATCTGAAATATTTTGCATCATTTCTGCTATTTCATGCCCTGTTAAACATTTTCGACACTTCAACATTGAACGGTAAAAACGGAAAGAATTCACGTCTAACAAGATCTAATTATTTTCTAAAAACTGAACTGTAAAACGAAATACTCAACGCTTTAGCGCATATAAAACTTCTACTTACAATAAACAACTACCACGTGCGAATAAAGTGCGATTTAAAGGGACGTCATAAATCACGCCATTCGGAAACATTTAGTTCCCCATTTGCTTATATAATCAAAAACACATGTATGTGAGTCATGCTTCTCTCATTTCGAGTAGAAGGTCTAATGTACATGTATCTGAAACCATATGGGCATACAGTGCCATCTTGTGGCAGAAATTATAGTTTGAAAAACGTTCCAAGGTACTGGCACAAATACGTGACAGTCGGTAGAAAACGCAACAACGCTCTGGCACGCCTGCGTGTCGGCCGGTAGATAAGTGTGTTCGTTGCTGGCACGTATACGTGACAGTCGGCGCGAAGGGGTTAATATGTAAAGCCTTTGAAAGAAATTATATTCATAGGAAGGGGGAGAGAATGAAGTTAAATAATCACTTCAATAAATTTTGAAATTTAGAAATAATGTATATACAGTACTGCATCAAGAGGAAAATATATACCATATAAGAATATAAAGCACTCCATTTTTTACTGCAATTGGGGAAGGGGCATTTTTTACCTATTTGTCACTTCCCATCCCCTAAGGTTGCTAGGTTAATTTAGACATTTTGGGGGCTGAAAATATGGATACTTTTATAATATGATAGAATACACGTAAAGCCTTTGAAAGAAATTATATTCATAGGAAGGGGGAGAGAATGAAGTTAAATAATCACTTCAATAAATTTTGAAATTTAGAAATAATGTATATACAGTACTGCATCAAGAGGAAAATATATACCATATAAGAATATAAAAGCACTCCATTTTTTACTGCATTGGGGAAGGGGCATTTTTTACCTTATTTGTCACTTCCCATCCCCTAAGGTTGCATACACTGGCTTAGTATTTTATTATGACATTAACAGCTCTGGGGGCAAAACAAGATGAACCCAATTCCTATGGACAGAAAGGGTAACGTATACTGCCTCAGTTAACTAATCCATGTGTATGATATAGAATGTTTTATAAATTACATTTAATAGTAAAATTCCAATAACATGTGATTGCTCAATCTGAGAACATTTGTAAACCGCAATCATTTTTATATGTAACAAACAAAACAAAAAATTTGGTTTTTAGAAATTTCAATGTGGTAAATTTAACAGCAATTTTTTTCTAATATAAATACACAAACATTTTAATAAAAGTTCACTATAACATAATACTGACATAAAGAAACAAATTTTATTCAATATTAAAGTTACATAGTATTTTCTGCATAACTGTCGCTTTGTAGAATCACATATCACGAACCCGTAAATTTTTTATTTAAACAGATCATTACCATACATTCTGGCGAATAATCTGTGGCTAAAATTTCAAACTAAATTTTTTAATTTTTGGATGTATTTGCCATATAACATGCCTTCTTTTCTTCATGGAAAAACCTGAAAGATACATGTGCAATACTTTGATACAATCTTTTGAAGTCATCCATTAAGATTTCTCCCAGCTTTCAAACAATTGTACACGGAATTGTCAAGTGATAAGGGAGCAAGGGGGAAATTGAGGGAATAAACAATTCGGTAGAGAGTGCAGATTATATTCAATGCATGTGTGCACAGGAATGGTATTCTAGGGTTCTGAAAAAAAGGGGGACATAATTTGGGGTAAGAATGCACTTCTGACCCAAATGAATTCTCAGAATTAAGAGTTGGATGTTTTCTCTTGCTGTAGCCATTTGAAGCTGTGGTTTTGAAGTGCAAATCGAAGGTTTTATTAAATCGCAATTACTTTAGTTGACACACAGTTGACCTAGTGTTCCTTTTAGTAGTAAATATATCTCCACTTTAGCGAAACATGCACACTGCTGGTTAGTCATTCAATTTGTGAAAGAAAATGGAAATTTTGCTGTAGTAAAGTGATGCTGGTGAAAGCTCCATATGTAAGAAAGATGAAATCACAAGAATTAATATGCCAAAGAATAAATGTGCTTTATGTAAAGGAGTAATGAAATGGCCTATCCTAGGAAACATCTTGCCAACTGGATTCTAGAAAATCAACAGAATGGATTAATCGTAACAAGAAACAGCATGTTTCACTTAAAATGGGCAAAAAAGAATGCAAATTAAAGTGAAAACTTTAAAGCAACGCTGGGTTGGCTTAGTCGATTTATGGCACAGAACAATTTAGTTCTATGAGAAGAAATAAAAGTTTTGCACAGGCTTCTGAAAGATTTGGACGACAAACTGATAAGTTTCCAGAAGTATGTTACTGACCTATGAAAGCAAAAAAAGTTATTTACTGTCCCATATGAGAAATATAGATGAAACTCTAGCAGCGGTTGTTATGATAGGAAATTAAACAATTGATGTGAAAGGAAGAAAAATGGCTCACATTAAAATCAACAGGTCATGAAAAATCTCAGATCACCATAATGCTTGCTCTTCTGCTTAACAGATGGTAAAACTAAAACTCCTGGTTAATTTTAAAAGAAAGACTTGCAATGTAAAGCCCAAATGGTGTTTCTATGCATAGAAGAAAGCATCTACTCTTCTTTTTGGTCTTAAAAGTGCATATTATAGGCTGGAATATATGGTTCTTTTGCGTGGATGATATTGAGTTTGCTAACATGTAAAGAATGTATTTATTCATAACCTTTAAGACACAGCGGTTTAAAAGAAATTCACTTCATAACTGGTTTGTTTACATACTGCACATGAATACGAACCTGTTTACATTGCCAGACAATAAAGATAGATTATTAAAAACAACTTTTGCAGAGGCTTACACAGTGTTAAAAATCAAAAACATTTTAATAATAATGAACAAAGCAGAAATTTCCTTTTAAAAAAAACTTTAATTCTAGCACTTGTAAGCTGCTCATCATGTTTAATCTGACAACACATAATGATGGATTTAGCATAGGGACTTATTTTTATGGTAAACTGCATTGGTGATGTTTGTGCATTCAATTATTTGCCTAGCTTTCCAGTGTTGAAAAGCATAAAAGTTATTAAAAAAGTAATTTTGCAGGTGGATATACAGTTTTTCTTTTACATAAAATAATTTAATGTGCTTTTACAAAAGATTTCTTCAAAAACAAATTACCTATAAATTATCTATTTTTCTTCCGAGTTTTTTCCACTGCACTCACATTTTCATTGTGCATAAAAATGTTTTTAGATATAATAATTTTGCATTAAATAAAACATGATAAATAATTCCTAAAGTACAATTCTGTTAGTTACTTATGTGCATGAAATTTAAAATTAACGTAAAAATTACAAAGTAAATAAAATTCAAATGACAATGTATATTCAGCACAACCCTAGATCCAGAGTGTTCAAATTATCGGAATTCTACAGTACATAATAAACTTAAACAACCATAAATTCCTTAAATTTTATTTTTGTGTTAAGCAAAGTTTTCTAATTATTATTTCTAAAGCAAAGTGTTAAGGAAAGTTTTCTAATTACTTTTTCTTATTATCAATTTCTAAAGTTAGCTTAAGTTTGCTAATTACAAAAGCTCTTATCTTAGAAAAAATAAAAATGCATTACTTCTAAAGGTTCATTTTTTTTGTATTCTTCTACTTGAACAAAAGACTGAATCACACCGTGAAAAACAGGCTGATTAGGACTGTCTCCAAGACGATCACTGAAATAATTAATAATTCACTTAAGAGATATATAAACTTTTTCTCCACATCATAGATTTTAGTGAAATATATGAATAATATAATTTGCTATACTACCAGAAGTTATACCAAACACACAGGTACCTGTGGATTTTCTGGGCAAATAATTCATCAAATTCTCACCAAAAACATGCCAAACTAAATCAAGAAATTTTGGTACTTAATGTATTAGCACTTGGCATGAATAACCCCCCCTTTTTTTTAAGGAATAGAGATCCTCTACAGACTGGAAGATACCCTTTTGCAAGATTCAAAATTTTCTGCCTAATATGCCAAAAGTGCATAATTTTGATTCACTCTAAATCACTCATCCCTCTTCCTCTGCTTTAGAACAGGATGGCAGTAATTCTGCCACTCCTTTTGCACTGTTGGGTTATTTTTTACATTTAAGCCTACCTATGCATATAGCTGTAAAAAAAATTGGTACTTACATCATTATCCCATCAACTGTAAAAGTTGACAACCGTCGAACCATGAAAACTGGCAGAGATTTCACCAACAGATGTGTGCAGATTTCTGAATCCTAATTTCATATGCAACTGTTATTATAGAACATTCGTCAGTCTATGCACAATCTACCAAACAGCTTTTGCTGCAAAGTATTCAACCCACTTTCATTTTGGGCTTTGTAAAAAGGATTTTGCAGATTTCTATTATTTTGTTAGGTTTTCCAATTTTAGAGGACGCTCTTGTGTTCTCTCACAGGTACTTGTTCCAATCTATTGTTTTGTTGGCCATCTGTTTTTCCCTTATTCAATAGATGTTAATTTTTTCTATCAGCTGCAAATGAACTGGACTACACTCAGAAATGTGATTCAACAACCCTTGGACTCATATTATTTAGAATACAAGAAAAATACAGCAATAACAGGTGATTTATATCTTTGCTCATAAAAACAAAAGATGGCTTATCAAGAATCAGCTGGGGTTACACGAAACGAAAGTGCAAATGTTACAAATGTATTTATCATGCTTATCTATAATTAGTGCTAATTCACGCTGTTTGGCGACAGTTTCACAGTCCGTGGGATAGTACGTAAGTGCCAAAAAATTAATAGAATTTTTTCTACTAAACAAATATTTATTAAAATTTGAATATTTTTTAGTGTACTGATGAATATACTCGCACATTACAAGCAACAAACATGGCAGGTTTAAATATTAAAATAGTCTACAAAAATTATTGCTAATCGCAAAAATAAAAAATTATTTGCATAAAATTTTAAATAGCAATGACAATTTTTAGCCCAAAAGAGCCGATAGTAACGAATGAGATATTCGTCACAAAATGGCATTTTGTGTCGAAATACTTACATGCATCGTATTAATTTTCAAATTGTCCCCACCAAATATTACCATCCTATATGATATTTAAGGAAATTAAATAACAAAGAATCTGCATATTGCTCACACTGAAAAAACAGCTGTACCTACAGCGATCAAATACTGAATAAAGTCATACTCCACCCAAACATAGGCACCTGTAAGCTCGAATTCTGAATTTCAAATTTGCTTTATTATCTATTGCATATTCTGTAAAACTTTAACAAACTTTTGATTAACAAACTCAATGACTTCAAAGCGAACAGTAGCAACACTGTATGAAAAATCATTTTCATTCCTAGCGCGTGCAAAACTGTCTATCTGAAATTCTAAAGATATGCTGTTTTTAAATACTTTGTGATTTTGCTGTTGAAATGATGTGGCATTGTGGTATTTAATAAATAAAGGAAATGCACAAAACATTAATAATAAAAACAAAAAAGTTTTGTTAAGCTATCTTAGTAAGAAAAGAACACTGCTGTGATAAATTGAGATAATATTAAAAAAAAAGAATGCCAACATTTAACACTGCTATGGGAATTATAAACACATACTGCTATGCTGCTTTTAAAATTTTTGTAATTTTACTGTTGAATTGTATATGGCATAAGTGCTAAGAAAATGATGTTTAATAATAAAGTTAAAAAGATAAAAAAAAAGGGGGGGTAGCAGGACTAAGTGGAACAGCAGATTAGTAGACTGCAAGTTCAGCAAGAACATAGAAAACCTTTTTTGGCAATTGTTAAAATTGAAACCTCTCAGATTTTCTTATTTTTTCTTATGTTTAAGAGGGGCGGGGAATCTAATGACATATCACATCCAGAAATGAATAAGAATTCCAACACACATTTATTTCACTGGGCTGTTTAGAGAAAATTATATTTAATTAATTTGCATTTTACTCCAGAAATAATGAAACATTTATACTCAAATAAGTTAAGTATTATTGGAAATCTTTCCCCTTTAGTAACCACAGATTATTATTTTTTTTCACTTCTTCCATTTTTCTGGAAGAAACCCAAACTTGATACCAAGTAACCTAAATTATCTTTTTTGCAATTAAAAAAATAAGAAGAAATTCTGAAGTGATAAAATAGTCACATAATACAAAGAGATCGTTCCTAGTGCATAAACATATTCCATAAACATTGAACAACTTTTGGAATAAAATGAAAACAAAAATCTTGCATACCTTCGAATCCCTTCGAGAAGTAAATGAACTAAATTTTCTCTCAGAATTTCTATCATGTTCCTCTTCCATAGGTCCAACCCTAACTGTAAAAGAAATGTTTTCTGGTAATTTGATTATTCTAGATCATTTTACCACTTTTTAAACACCTTTTCAGAAATATTTATTATTTACAGCAAAACAAAAGTACTGCAACTCAAAAAAAATATTTGTGGTAAGTTTTTACACAAGCAATTTACTAAAATATGTACATAGTAATGTCTTCAATATTAAATTGCTTTATTAAATAAATGTGTAAGTCTACATATGGTGATAATGAAGGATAAAATAATAAGTTTTCCCTCCCTACCATCTCCTTAATAAAAAGCTATTGATAATTCTCTTATACACTTCTCAATAAAGACCAAAAAATTAACGTTTGTTAATTAAATTAGCATTTTGTTTTATTTGCATTTTGATTTCAGACTGTTTCTCATGTTTATGTTTCATGTTTGATTTTTATTTTATTCATATTTGGTAGCTCCTCACTTTTAGTAGATTTTTATTATTATTTTATTGTGTTCTGTGTTCTATATATAAAGCTGGCCTGCTGGGGGACAATTTTCAGGCTATAGTGGTCCTCAACCTCTTATTTAAAAAAACTCACAACTTAAAGATTATCAAGATGTAAAATCACTTACAATTACATCAATATAAATTTACTGTAGTTTATAAAGAAAAAAAAATACTTCCATAATTATATGCAGTTTTGCACTCATCTTTCTTACCAAACATACATATTAATTCAGAGTTACATATATATATTTTTTTAAGTGCTCACTGACTTCAATGAGAAGCTATGGCTGATTTCATCAATTCAAAGTTTCCACAAATGACCAAGATTCTTTCAAAAATAAAAATGACACCAAATAATATATACAGGACAAGTTAAAAAAAATCATCCTGTTTCAGATGATTACAGTAAACAACTCAACTGCATCACATTTACCCATGTTACGTGAAATTAAAACTCTGACTCAGCAAGTTTCTTATCACATTTTATAGATCCCCCATCACACGACACATCCAATCAAACTCCACTTCAATTGACATATGGTAAACCATACTGGATGTGACTAACAATAACAGGGATAACATGGATTTGAGCTTTGGAATTGACTAATGACTTTGACTAGACACCAGGTGAGTAACACATTGCCATTTGCTTCTTTGGACTACAGATGTGTACGTTTAATGTAACAAGCATGCTGTGTATGTCATGTAGAAAAAGGATCTTTCATAGAGCATCTGTAATATGTGACACAAAACTACAGACAAGGATGTGTGCGACATGTAACAAAAGGATCTTACACAGAGCATCTGTAATAAGTTACACACTGGATGTATGAACCATGTAATGAAAGGACTTTACATAGAGTATCTGTAACATGTGACACAAAACTACAGACTGGATGTGTGTATTGCATAACAAAAGGATCTTAGACACAATAATGTGCATCAGAAAACTATTGACTAAATATGTGCGCTGAATACCAAAAGCATTTTGCATAGAGTATCTGTAATGTATGATACAAAACTAAATACTGGATGTGCATGTCACATAATGAAAGGATCTTATATAGAGCATCTATAACGTGTGCATCACGTAACAAAAGGATCTTACAGAAAGAATTTTTAGTGTGGTTCACGAAACTAGATTTCATGCTCGCCTGTATAAGAAAAGGATGTTACATAGATTATCTATAATGTGTGACACAAATTTTGAGTAGTCAAAGTTTAAAACAATGTATCACAAATAAATATGTGCTAATAAACTATAGGTATTTACACACTTTCCCATCAACTATTTTTGACAGACAAAATTGATCATCAAACAGTGCAATTTAGCACCAATAATGTATAAATACTATGTCACAGCACATTCCTAAGATCTTTGCTTCAGTTTCATACAACTGCAATTCTCTGTAATCCAGTTTAGTTTCCGTAATGCAAGAATGCAAGTTAACAGTTATTTCTTTTTTCTTCACATTTTTTTTGGGGGGGGAGTATTACAATTTTGAACCTGACTTCTAGATAACAACAACATTTAAAACAATGCACCTAATCAAAACACAGAAAGATTAGTCTATGGTTCAGCAAAATAGTACAGTCAAGAGCACTATATAGCAGCATGACACCACACTGATTTACATTCTAGGCAATTTATGTTGCACTTTATTCCCACAGAATGATGACTGTTTTGTCGCTATTTTAATACCATCAGGAAATTTTGATTGTCAGAACAACTGACACAAGATTTAATGAATTTCTATGTCAGATAATCTCGAAGCATGAGCTCTTATCTTTTTACATTTTTCATTGTAACATCCATAACTTGTACCCTATTGATTATGAAATTAAATAACAAGTGATCAAATATTACCTAATTAAATATAGTTTCTTTAAACTTACACTGGAATGGTTGATGTAAGTTAGATGGTATCTTGGTCAAAGAGTCTTCAGTACTGTACATTATTTGCGATAGTCATTTTTAAGAGGATGATTCTTTGATACGACTTAAACTGGGTACTGGACTAAGCTACTCATAAGTAGAAGCTTAGAACTAAACTCATAACTAAGCTACTCATAAGTAGATCTACTATACGTTGGCTCCTTTTTTTTTTTTTTTTTTTTTTTTTTTAATATGAAAGAAATAAATACCTCTCCAATCTCAAGCATCTGATTTGAGACGTCTGCTCTTCCGTACTGCAAGTCCGCTTCATTGAATTTCTGTTTTTTGATATGTTGTGTATTTAAATACCTGAAACAAATGCTTGTTAAAATAATATCGACATAAGTACAATTTGGTATACAATCATACTTATTACATATTCTGTTTACATTTAAATGCAAATAAATCTTAAATAGTCCCTTTAAAAAAAAATTAAGCATGTAGAAATATTTTTATACAAAAGGATATTTGTATTGTATTCTCTTTTTTTATGAAAAAGTCATCTTGGCATATAATCTTATAACATAAATTTAAACGATATGGCATTGTAACAAAGAGAACATACTAAAGCAGTTCTTTCCAAACCTTTTGCCAAGTTAAGCCCTTTTTAGAATCATCTCCTCAAGTATAATCTCTTAAGCAAATACTATATCTTAAAAGCTAACAATATTTAAGCCTTGTATTATGCATGTAGAAATATGGATGGTGTAGATAGTAAGGGAATATAAAGTAAGGACATATCTAAACATTTGTGCAAATACCTATCAATGCTACCTTAACACCTCCAATAATCATTGAAGTCGATACAATGAATTCTGTTTCTGCAAGTTAATCATTACATTCAGTTCAATTCAAACAAATATTTACTCATTACTTGTTATCAGTAATTTTTAATTATTCTTTACAGAAAATAATTACAATTTAACTGATTATTATGCAACTATAGTGCAATTCATGTGTAAATTAAAATATAAGACTAAAAATAAAAATTAACAATGAAACAATCATCTTACTTCAATGTGAACCAGGAGGAACTTATAATGGTTTCCCATCTTGATACATCAGTATATAAAGTCTGCTTTTTTAAGAGGTTATGATTTTATACAATTTATTGCTTTTATTAATGAATACTTCCTAGTTACACAACTAAACTCAAAAACATCAAATGCACAGAAAACTCATCTAAGAATCGCTAAATCCTGACACAATTGATAAGAATTTTCTTTTTATATTAACTCCAAATTAACAAGGAATCTCTATATGGGGCTAGGTTTCAAGTAGCTTCAAGTAGATTCCAGAAAGTCTTAAGACATTCAGGATGAGTAAGAAGCTTCTCTAATGTGCAGTTTGAAGTAAAGGCAAAGCATCTAGAGAGAACATGTTAGAGGACATACGGAATTCAAGGATTCCCTCCTTCAAAATGCTATTTCAAAGTTCCTGATTCTTCAGTTTCATCCAATTTTATTTATTTTTGTAAGGCAGTTGAGAAGCCCCTGGGAAGAATGTGCAGAGCCCCAAATGAGACAAGAAATTCGACCAATTTTCTTCTTCAAAATATATATTTCTAAAATTATTTTTCTGATTCTACATGTTTATGATTCTTCAGTTTCATTCAATTTTAATTTATTATATTTTCCTGAAGCGGCTGAGGAGCCCTTGGGAAGTGTATGCAGAGCCCTAGAAAAGACACACTTCAATGAATTTCCTCATTCAAAATGTAATTTCCAGATTTGTGTTTCTGATTCTATTTGTTTTTCAGACTTATTTATTTTATTTTTCTGGAGTGGCCTAGGGACTCCCGGGAAACGCATGCAGAATTCAGAGGGTTCTGCAGACCACAGATTGAAAACTGCTGCATTTAAAAATAAATGTTAAGGAAATTAAATACTTGCCGCAAAAAGATTCTAGTTAAATAACAGTAAGCAAAGTCACTGATATCATCTAATAACTGAAATGTAAACAAAAAGCAACTAGGAAATATAAAGATGGGTTGGAATTGAGATCATTAAGCAGAATCAAAAGATTTTAATGAATGTGAAATGTCCCCAGGAAATTTAATTCACCACTGGAAGACATTTTCTGAATAATTTTGACTAATTTAGTGTGAAATTTCAATGATTCAAGAAAATTGGTCAAAATCAATGTAAACCATACTGGGTAGGATAACCTTGGTGCTCAAATGAGGGTCTTAAGTAATTAACTGTTGTTTTATTGGTAGGGGGGAGGGGTAATATGATGGTTAAACTTACATAAAATATGCACAATTTTATATATAACTAATCAAGGAAAAGAAATGAATGCACACTGAATTTTTATAATTGATCAAAAAAAAAAAGAATGCTTTCGCTTGAACTCAGGCGGAACTTTTTTAACTGCTTGATTAATAATATAACCTAAGAAACCTCTGTCAATTTCAACTACACTCAAAACCTGATTTATGAAAACTGAGAGAAGAGAAAAGAAATAAAATCAAGCAGATTTAATTTATTTAACATTTAGTATGATATATCTTCAGCTCAGTATTATCCTGCAAGAGTCTAACAAATTGCACTGTTACACAAAAATTGGAAACTTTGCCTCCAGTGTAATATAATAATCCAATAAAATCTATTTTGAATTTTTGTGTTTGTTTTTGATAAAATAATAAAAACAATCTTCAGAAAATTGTATAATCATAAATGATTTTGTGGGTGTTTTCATGTAAACATACATATATTTATGAAAACATACATGTTTTTGTACAGTCCAAAGCCCGAGATCCGGAATCATCCGGACTTCAAATTCTGGATTTTAAATCATCGGTTTAAATCGAATAAGATGTGTAAGAATTATAAAATTACAAGCACAAAATAAAATAATGAAGCATATATAGCCTTAATAGAATAAAAAATTTACAAAATAGCTTAATATTCATTTGTTTCATTAAATATTTCTTTTAAGAGAAACTGTTTTTACTTTTTTTTTGTGTGCTAATACTTTCATTTTAATTTTATAGGTAGATGCAATTTTTTGTTCAATTACAAAATTAAATTGTTCAAGTCCTCTAACTGCCATGTCAAGAGCGACTGATTAAAAGAAACGCATCAAAGTCGCTCGTTCGGAGTTGTTTGATGTATGATTTTAAAGTGGGCCTGTCAACAGCAGAATCAAGTCACCAAATTTGCCCGGCCTTTGGGGATGATGCCATTAAAAACCGAACTGCTAGGCAATGGTTCCAGAAGTTCAGGTCAGGAAATATGTCTGTTAATGATTCACCACGCAGCAGTCGGCCACAAGCACTGGACGATGAGGCCCTGACAGCAGCCATAGAGAGTGACACCAGCCAAACATGTGCTAAGCTTCCAGGTATTTGATGAAATGATCAAACATCATTTGCACTGCATACAAGGCATACAAGTTGAGCAAAGTGGGCACCCCACTCACTATCCGCTGCAAACAAGCAACAGCGTGTTGCTGTCTGTTTGCCATTGCTTACTCGGTACCGAAATGCATCCATATTTCATTGAGTACTCGTCAGCAATGAAAAGTGGGTCCAGTATAACACACCCAGGCATTCCAGACATTGGTTGTCACCATGGGACCCTGTGCCTCACACTGCAAAACCTTCTCTCCACCCACACAAGACCATGCTCTGTATCTGGTGGACTAGTCACCAAGTGGTGCACTATGAGCTCCTGCCAGTGCGCTAAACCATCACAGCAGGCCTGTACTCGCAGCAGTTGGAATGCATGCATCAGGCACTGATGGATAAAGAGTCAGCATTGGTCAATCATAAGGGTGCACTCCTCCTCCATGACAATGCGAGGTCGCATGTGCTCAGGAGGCCAGCAACTGTGCTAGGAAACACTACCCCATCCACCATACTCCCCAGACCTCACGTCAACAGACTATCACCTTTTCCATACCCGGTACAACCATCTTCTTAGGAAATCCTTTATCAACTAGTCAGACCTCGAAAAGGTCCTCATGGACTTCTTTGCATCCAAGACACCCAAGTTTTACCGCGATTGCATAGCACAGCTAACCACCCGTTGGCAAAGGGCACTGGATACTGACGGTGATGAGGATTAGCAGTGATATTATTTGTTTTATGATTTTCTTTTCTTTCTGACTGGCCAAAAAGGTAAGAACTGTTTTGGTTCTTTTTGTATAAAAGAAAGTAAATAAAAATAAACAGTTTTCCACACACAATTCAGCACCACTTACCTAATGTGCATGCACTACTAATTAATTCAGTTCTCATATACCAGGAAGGCGAAAATACACAAAAAATTCAAAATATTTTCATTAAAAAATTAATGATATAGAAAAACATAAAATACCAAGTGCAGTTAAAACAATCATAAAAAAAAATACAATTGAAATTACAGTTTCTATGCAAAAACAAGCAATTTGGCCAGTGGGCAAGAAGGCAGCTTTTTTGGTACACAAAACTGAAAGTTTACTTTGTTCTCACTCGAAAAAGGCTTAGAAACTGCCTTAATTTGCTCTGGATGCTATGCTGAGTCAATATACGGGATAATTTAATAATCTAAATGATAATTCCAGAATAAATTAAGCATAATTTAATTCTCAATAATAAAAGAAGACGTTACTAGGTTGTTGTCAAGCTTAGTTTCTTTAGATTGGCAACAAATCCACTATTCTACCAAGTTTCAAATGTAAAAACAAATATGGTTGCTATGCTAAAAAAATTAGGCTTAGCGGCACTTAACTTTTAAATTGTTGATAATTCTACAACTATAACATGTAAGGCACAAAAACCTTAACCAGAAGGTAAGAACAACATAATTCAATCATTTTTAAAGCAAAATGCACAATTTACAAATATATAAGAATAAAGAAACTGAGTTCACTGAGCCGAGTAATAGAGTAGATATATATACATATATTTATATACTTTTGGTGCAGCCAATTGCAACCAAAATGGGAGGTGCAAATCTACATGTTATAGCAGTTCTATATACAAAATTTCAATGTTCTGAAGCTACTCGTTTTTGAATTATGCAAAGTACATACATACAAACACCACGAAAAAAATATCTTCAGAATCCATTTTAAATCAGTTTTCTAATTTTTTGGGGGGAAAAAATTCGATGGCGGTCAACCTGGGTATTCTTGTTGAAATAAGATACCCAACATTTTCCACGATTACAATAATTTCTTTTTACTTCGTACAAGAAAGCAAAAGCAACAAAAGAAAAAAAAAGGAAAAACGGAATAAAAATAGATTTACATAAATGTTACTTTCTAGGCTAAAATTAAAATGCCTGCTATAGACTTAAAAAAAATCAAGAAAAAATTATGATAAACTTACATATATAATTTATTTAAATAATTGATGCCTTGGCTGTACTGAGTCCAACTTTTATGATAAGCTACAAGAAGACCTTCCTGAGAAGATACCACAAGCTGAAAAAGAGGAAAAACTTTTAAATACTGTGTTGGATGGGCAAAATGTATTTTAATTAGATAATAAAGGTATGCTTAGCATAAGATATTATCCCCTTTGAATATTTCTTATATTTTGAATAACAGCCGAGGCCCCTTGATTAGTACCTTCTGGCCATGAAAAATATTTCGGTACTAGTAGATCGATGAAACAGCACTTTTTACTTCCAGTGGGGAATGGGACTATTCACTGCCGCTGTTTCGATGTAATGCAATTTTGCCTTTCAGCCTATCCATCATCAAGACATATTTTTCTTGACATGCTTATATTATCCATATCTTGCCATATTATATTAAGTTCATTTAGTTTAATAATTTTGTTAACCTATTGTATACCTCAGACTGTCTTACATTTAAAAAAAAAATCTTTTACTATTAAATGCAGCTTTTAGAATTATTAAAATATACTAAAAGCATTAATAATTAAAATGAAATGTAAATTTTTACAATTGGAAAAAACTGAATTTTGTTTATGATTTTATATTAAAATTAGATTTCTTGCAAGTATATAAAAACAAATCATATGCAAAAATTTGCTCTACATCAAAAGTTATGGAAAACATCTTTCTAAAATTTTGCCATTTAAAGAACCAGATGGTTTGTTAACATTAACATTTTAACAAATTCCTTGCGTGGAAACCTTTGAATAATATATAAAATGTCTCTGTATATTATTTTATACAAATATATTGTTATGCATGACAAAAAAGTTAACTTATTAGCATATCTATTTATATATTTATTAATTTTAAGTGAGTAATGTGCTAATGAGATTCCAAAGTAATTCCAAATTAAGATTTCTTAAAAGTATGAGTTTTCTGCTTGCATGAGTGATTTCTCTGAAACAGCTCATTAAAATTTCAAGAAATTTTGGCAAATTGTGTAAACTTTTTCTGCATAATTTTAGAAACAATAATACAACAGAATATCTCAAGAGATTTAGCCCTTAATTATGAAATGTGATGAATTTGTTCTTTGATAATTGACATGATTTTCCAACTATGTGTAATTTCCTTAAATCCCACATTTGTAAATAATTAATTGTATGTGAAATATGCAAACTTTATTGTGTATTTCTTTTCTACTTTATGGTGAAATGGTCCACCGCAAATCAGTTGCTAGTTGGTTGTTCTGTCAGTGAAATAATGACTGCATGAAGTCTTAGACACTCCAGTGGGTATTGTAATCAATTGCATTCACAGCTGCAGGAGACTGATATTTTGGCCCCACTAGTAACCATGCGAATACAGGTATTTAACACAGGTTCAAACTCAGATGAACGGGTCAGCTGCATGGTTGGTTTTTATGGTTTTTCCCACACATAATGTGAATATGAGTCCTCTATCTAGATTACCCTCCTTTTAGCAAATAGTTCTCGTGTGCTTTGCTATATTTAAATAACCTAAACTAAGTTAGAATTTATATGGGCCAGGCCACAGCCCATATTAATTCTACTAAACGAAAAGTAAAGGACTTCTTTCAAAACAATTACAAGTTCTTACTCTTGTCAACTGTGTGAAAATTTGAGAACTTTAGTAATTTTGTCAAAATATTATGCACCTGGAAATAATAGATCACTTTTTTTATTTTATGTCAAATCTAAAGCATACATAACATAGAAGGCACACAGAATAAACATCCAATAAACAAAAAAGGTTCTGAGAACAAACACCCTGAAGGAAAATATTGGGGGGGGGGATTATTTCCAGACATGTGGCAAAATATGATGTCTGGAAATGATTTCCTGCTTCATTTCTTGGCAATTCTAGTGCACATATGATAAAAATGCAGAAACAATGTTCTAAAAAGTTTCTGCAAGAACAGTGTGGCATTCCTCCCTTTTACGTAACAACTTAAGCGAGGAGGAACCTAGTAAACTGCTAAGCGAATAATCGCTTAAGTACAGAAACGGAAATGTCCAGAACGCTTAAGTCCAGAAAGAGAAACAAAACTCACAAAGGGTTAATTACCCTTTATTGCTGAAAATAAAAATATACAGTTGGCCCCTTTCTCAGGGCGCACAGCTATGCCTCCACTTGGGCTTAAACTCAAAAGTGTAAGAAATAAGAGCTTAACTAATGCTTAAATAAGGAGATGTAGCCGTAACTAGTTGGCCCCTAAATATCGAATTAGCTAGTAAATCTATCAAGGGACCATAATATGGCCCAGCATAGTAACAGCTTAGAGAGATATGGTCAAAAGGCAAACAGGCACTAGTCAAAAACTCTGATTCTCTCTCCCGAAGTGAGAGGAACTCCGACTTAAATACTGCTTCTGCTCATTTGCATTAAATGTGATTCTAAAAACACATTCTGGTAGGAAATTGTAAGTTAAAATTAGAATAGCTAGGAAAGGAGCTTTAACTTAAAAATATCTGTTAAAAACTTACGATAAATCTTACAACAGGATTATTTTTAAAAAAATTCATATAAAAAAATAATAGAATTCACATGAAAATACCACATAGGAAACAGTGGATCACTTCTGCATCATTTGACAAATTTAGTACACACAAAGTGCAGCGTAAATTAACAGGGGTTAACCAAACACTGTCCCAAGTATTTTCAATGGAAAAAGGGTACGCCCCCCCCCAAAATAACAGTAATGCAATGCAAATAAGAACTTGATCTAATTGATCTAGAACAAATGCTTATTTACATTGCATTATTATCTTTTTTTTTTTTTTTTTTTTTTAAGTGACCTAGAGCTGATGTGGAAACAATACAAGAAGCTGACTCTTAACCAAATAAAAAAGGAAAATCACTCATAGAAAAAAGAAATTAAAAAAAATTAAAACAATCTTTTCAGAAGAGTCCAGAACAATTCTAAGACTGCCACAATCCTTGCCAGGAAAGCAGAATCATGGTGGTGATATTGACAGTTCATTTGCGAACGTCAGCTAATACTATTAAAGTACTGCCTTCATATTTGGATATAATTTTACTTAGCCATAGCTTAGAAATCACGTTTTCCAAAATTTCCCAAATGGCAGTAGTCCAAGCAAAGAGATTTGTCTATCTCACAGATTTTTGCAATAAGGCACCACGAAAAATAAAAAAAAAAAATAATTATTAATTATAATGGAAAAAAGAAATTAAAAAAAAAGATAAAACACATCTTTTCAGAAGAGTCCAGAACAATTCTAAGACTGCCACAAGGAATTATAATTATTAATGATATTATAATTGCTTACAAATTAAAAAATGATGCTTCAAGTAAACTTCAAGTGTGTACAAGTAGTTTTTTGAAATCACAAATATACGTCAAATGAAAACTTCTAGGACACTAGACATCCATTAATGAGCATAAATGAATGCAAAGATATCGGTGAATATTGCGAAGAAATTATTCATAGGAAATTCTCTCCGACAATTCCAGGAAGAGAAGAGAATTTTGCTTGTGTCTCCGTCAAGTTATACACAAAATCTCCTTCTTCAGGGCAACTTTCCTATTTCCACAGATAAACACTGCTCTCAGAAAGCAATTCAGCACTGAGGATGAAGTACTAGAAAATAGACTACATGCCTTAAATAATATTTTGCACAAAGAGTTTCAGAGATGTTTCCGTATCTCCAGCAGTACACAAAATGCTGAGGTAAATGTATTGCTGTCAGAGGAAAGAGCATTTTGAAGATGACTGAAATATGCAAGTGTAAAATATTACATAATTATTTTTAAATGCATTGCATTATTTTTGGGTACATCTTAGGTACTTCTCAAACATGTATATAAACTTATTTTAATTTAAAAAAATTGAAACTTCACCTTTTAATAATTTTAAATAATAATTTATGCATATTTCATACTGCATAAATTTGATAACATACCCTACTTCATAATATACTACATACATATTTTGTAACATACTTCATATCACATAAACTTCATTACTTTAATTAGAAAAAGTTGAAACTTCATATTTATTTCTAAGGGAACAACAAGTGATTAACAGTTACAGAAAATAAACTCACCCCAGCACAACATTTTGAAATATATATATATATATATATTTCTATTAAAATGAAAAAAGGTTTATTCAAATGAAAATATGCTTTATATATTGAGATATATATCTACAACGCAAAGCGACAGGGAGGCTCACGCCCCGGCCATACGGAATTAAGTGCCAACCCCGGGCAAATATATATATATATATCTACAAAAAAAAAAAAAAAAAAAAAAAAAAAAAAAAAAAAAAAAACAGCAAGTGTTACATCAGAAGATATATAAAGTTTATTCATGGTGCGGTCTATACTGCATTCTAAAGAAAAGAGCCAAATCACTTGTTTAGGTAAATTTGCTTATACTTTCTGTAGGGTACTGCATAGTTTAAAAAAAAAATGCAAGTTTAAGACTGTAGCCTAACAGGCAAACAAATCTCAATGGTGAATGAAGTTCACGTTCAAACACAAACACAGCACAGAACCTGATATGGATTATAATTTGACCTTTTTTTTTAATAATTTTTATTCTGTACTTGTAATTCTACATTTTGTGTCATCGAGTAGTCGGTAAGTCAGCAGCAAGAAGGCCCCGACTGTAATAAATATATGTACCTATGCATACGTACATATATTTATTACTTTGCACATACAAGGGTTTTCATACATATATACATTGCATCATATCAACTAGATATATATACTTCATACTTTAATTAGAAAAAAATAAAATTTGACATTTTAATTAACATACTTCCTACTACATAAACTTAATACAGTCAAAAGTCATTAATCCGGACTCGTCGGGACTTCGCCGATTCTGGATTATTGATTTTTCCGAATTATAGATCATCAGTTTAAATCGCGTAAGATGGCATGCAGAAATTCTAAAATTAAAAATATGAAACCGTAATTTATGAAATAAAAAACAATTATGATCTAAAGGGTATCAAAATTTACAAAAAAAAAGGTTAATATTTATTTGTTTACTTTATTAAACATTTCTTTCAATGTAAGTTGTTTCGTTTTATGTGATAATACTTTCTCTTTAATTCTATAAACAGACAAGTTCCGCTGTTTAAGTCCCGTTAATTGCTGCCGAGAATACCGACTAACTTGTCAATCGAAATTTTTTCGTTTTCACTAACCTCTCTGTCACATTCTTTATGTCTTTATCCATATTTTGCAGCAATTCCACTTTTTGTTTGATGGACATCGAAACATACTTTCGTTTTGTACGATCCTTTTGGGAGCTCCAGAATCAAAAATTCTATTTGACATAATCGAAAGTTCAAGTTTACTTTTTTAGTATTGCTCTTACAGTCTGCAAAAAATAATAAGCCGGATCCAATTTGAAAATTAAGTAAGAACGCAATCATCAACATTAACTGAAATAGATAATTAGATAATTTTAGCTTAAACCGTCCGTTATACATAAAACGCGCACGTGAAATCATATTCTGCGCTTGCACACACGCAAACGTGCAGTCGTAAGAGGTCTTACGTGCACACATAAACGCCTATGCGCATGTGTCGACGCGGAGCATGCGCAGAAAGTTTTTAGCTTTGAGGTCCGGATTATAGATCATTCCGAATTATGGGTGTCCGAATTAACGACTTTTGACTGTATTTAATAATATACTTTATACAGACTTCATATCACATAAGTTTCATATTTTAATTACAAAAAATATTTTAACTAGAAAAAACTAAATTTTTAAAACCATTATTTATATTTACCTGATGCAGTTTCTTGACATGCTCGTCAAGATACTTTTTTGTTTCCACATATAATCTATCACCTAATGGCTCTGGGAAAGCCACACACAAAGCATACACATCAGTATAAAATGTTAAGGAAAAATACGTATATTTCCATAAAAAAATTATATTTTCGAAATGCTTAACATGACATACCCATGCAAATTTATAAAACAAGAACTTACAGAAATTCAACTCATAACTTTCCATGACAAAACATAATAAAATAATTATCCAATTAATATATACAATTATTATATATATTATATATTAAAATTAAATATAATATAATGCTAATTATCGAATTAAATGAGTACCCAAATTTCAAATGTTTAAAATTAAATACAATACAATAATATGAATATTACAAAAGTGTAATTATTCCACACATTACTGTGAAGCAAATAAACGAAGTACAAAGTCAGAGATTAGTAATTGTCAGGACTTCGGAGATTCTAGAAATTTCTGGATTATAGATCATCAATGTAAATATAGTAAAATTACATGCAGAAATTACAAATTAAATATGAAATCTTATTTGTGAAATAATGAAACATTTGTGATCTCAACAGAACAAGCTTAAAAAAAGAACTAAAGGCTAACATTTGCTGTTTCATTAAAAATTTCTTTCAACCTAAGTTAAAGCAATCTCCCTTCACTTTAATTTTATAGACAAGACATAATTTCTCATTTTAAGTTGTATTGCTTCAGTGCAGAGTTGAGAATTTCCACTACATAATAACTGATCTTTTTATTCTCAATAACCTCTTTATCACTTTCTGCACAATTTGTAGTAAACCGTGATATATGCTTTGCCATCCACTGATTGACGATTGGAATATTGTCACTGCAACCTTCTCCTCTGCTACACTAACGAAACGAAGCACATGATCCAGATAACAGATTATTCCAGTTATTTGATATCCTGATTTCAGACTTTGTACTGTGTGTGCATATATATATATACACACAATACAAAGTTCTCTATTCATAAAAACCTTACAGCACTGCCACAAGAAAATTATTTAAAATTAAATTTAACTATACTTTATTTCTTTTGAAGCAATATATATATATATAATCAAGATATAATAATTAAATCAAAATTGGTACTTAACAGACCAGAACTTAACTCGAATCTGGAACAAAAACAAAACAACACAATAAAAATAATATTGAAAATTTCTTTGGCCTTTTCCAAGAAGCAGCCAAAAAATTTTTAACAGATTCACATTTCTGAATTAAACTGCTAGCCAACCAAAATGTATCATCATGAAAGAAGCATCCCAACAATACGAAACTCGCATCACGTGTGTACCACAATGGAACATGCAAATGATTATGATTTCAGTGCATATATGGCAACTGCAGCACTCCTACAATCTGTATATAAAGACTACCATTTTGATTAACATGAATTGTCTTGCGAGAAATTTTATGTGTGCAGCTTCATTATACCTCATAGAAAAACACAAGCATCATTTGAGCATGTTTACGAGTTCAAATGCGGCAGAACCATTGCACACAGAGATTGCAAATTACCCTTATGGGAAACTGCTTATCATGTCACATGTAGCCAAGGAACAGCCATGCGAATATGGAATTGGTAGAGGCATGAGGTAACGACTGACAGACAGGAGCAATAGCAACCGCCTCGTTGCAATACCTCATAGAAAGACAAGCTTATTGTGCACATGGCACTGATGAAGCACTGCCACATCCGCAACTATATCCCAGTGAATGCAATCTGTGTCTGCACTAACAATTCAACATCAATTGTAGTACAATGAACTGTCCAGTAAGCATCCAATGCTTCACGTACCTTTAAATCAGTGGCGTAGCTAGGGTGAGGCAAGGGGGGACATTTGTGTCCCCGGGCGCAGCATCCAAGGGGCACCAAATTGATGCTACGAAATTTTTTAATGAAATATTTTCCATTCTTGGCACACAGAAAGGGGTGCAAATTCTTCAGTTGTCCCCGGGCGCTGGAAACTCTGGCTACGCCCCTGCTTTAAATCAAAGGTGTTTGTAATCTTCAGGTGCAAAAGCATTCTGAAGGAGGAAACATACATCTCATTGGCATGACATTGTGTTTTCAGACTAATCATGCTTCTGCAGACAGTACCATGATGGTCAGATTAGTGTTTGGAGACAATATGAAGAAATGCTGCTCAACTGCTGTATTATCCATTGTCATACTGGCCCTGAACCAGATGTTATGGTGCAAGGTGGTATTGGATTCCACTGCTGCACTCCTTTATATTCATTATCGGTACGCTTAGACAACACTATATCTCTAAGGTTTTGCAGCCTCCTTTCCTTCCTCACATCAAAGTTTGCCTGCAGCCACATTTTAATAGGATAATCCATGACCACAAATTGCACACTATATTCAAACTTTCTTCTTAGGCTACCACAATGGATTATTACCTTGCTTTACCAGTTTTCCATACCTATTGCTCATCAAACATGTCTGCTTGATGACTGGAGAACATCTAGCTGCACCTGCGGCTACACCAGATGAACTCCCATTCTCTACAAATATATCAAAAGGCACTTTCACTCAATGCAGCGACACATAGTTGTGGTTATTGACAAATGTGGTAACACTCAATAATTTTTTTATTTGTATTATTAAAAAAAATTACATTACATTACTTATTTATTTGTTTTTTATATGGCACTTAGTTTTGATTTATTGATTTTATTATCATCCAGATATAATTTAGACCAATGCATTTGCAATGGTCCAACTATGTATCACTACCTTGTACTAAAAGGTTTTACATTATTACTTCATAAAATTACAAACAATGAAGGATATGTGAAACGATCATTCCAGACATGACGGTCAATGTGTCCTAATGTAATAACACCTTCTACTGTGTCCCTGAGAAGGGACCACGTTGCATCAAAATCAACGACTTTCGGCCTCAAAGACATTTTTGACAAAAATCAAGAACCTGGAGGGAAAAAAGGAATTTAAACAGATAAGCAAAAATATAACCAGAACAAACAAAACATTATATATAGAATAAAACTTGTTTCATTTTTGTTTAATAGAATACAGTACAAATATGGTAAGATGGCATGCAGAAATTATACAATTAAAAATATGAAACCGTAATTTATGAAATAAAGAGCAATTATGATTTAAAAGGTATCAAAATTTACAAAAAAAAAAAAAAAAAAAAAAAAAAAAATATTTATTTGTTTACTTTATTAAACATTTCTATCAATGTAAGTTGTTTAAGTTGCTTCGTTTTTTGTGCTAATACTTTCTCTTTAATTCTATAAACAGTCATAATTTCTTGTTCAGTTACAAAGTTCCACTGTTCAAGTCCTGTCATTATTGTGTCGAGAATACTGACTAACTTGCCAATTGAAATTTTTTCGTTTTCAATAACCTCTCTGTCACTTTCTTCACTATCGGAAGCACAAGGGTAAACGCTCTGCGTGCATGCGTAGCGGACACGTGCATTAAACGCATTACGTAATGCGTTTAATGCACGTGTCCGCTGCGCATGTGTAAGTTTGTGGCTTTGAGGTTCAGATTATAGATCATTCCGGATAATGGACTTTGTACTGTATTAATTTCCACATTAAAACATAACAAATGCCAGTTTTATTCAAAACACATAATTTCATTTTTTTAAATACTGCCATACAATTATATGAATCAACATAATAGTCTCCCCCCCCCCTCTAGGGCAAGTAAATTTTAACTTACAGTTCATTTATTTATTTTTATATACATAATAGCAGCCAATCCAATCGTAGAACCTAACTTTTCCTCAGCCAATAGCAAAACGCCAGAGACTAAACAGACTAATATTCTCAATGCAGGACATAATTAAACCCAAGCAAACTCAAAATTTTAATTCTGCAGTATTTCTAGAACTATTTAAAGTAATTAAAGCATTAGAGTCCATCTTTGGCTTTAAGCAAATATCTAAACTTACAAATATTATTAGTAAAAATCTCAATCAGCTACGTGCTTCAGAAACTCAAATAAACTTTATATATTATTCCTCATAATTGAAGAACTTAATGAAAGCAATCACGAATAATTGCCCTTAGCTCATTATCTTAAGAATGTCAGACACTATATTCTATACAGAATAACTGTCAAGCTAAAATTAAATTCTCTCCAATGTATTTAAGTCACACAGTGGAAAGCGCAAAATATATCTTTAAGTTCAGCAGGCTCCGATACTAAATTAACCCCTCCCCCTCATTACTATTTGGCTGCCCTTCTAAATTCATATGGTCTGAAGAGAGCCTCTAGCCCCTCCCCCTAGCACAAAAGCTCAAACCTTACCCTATCAGATTCTCTCCTCTTTGGCAAAGATTACCATCTAACTCTTGCTCTTGATTATATACTCAGCTAGGACACTCCATCCCTGATGTCTACATGTCTGATCGCAGAGTAACTACAGAGGATATTTAGCTTCCACACTAATTACGTATTTCTTATGACGATTTTCTACTTTGTTATGAACTCTCTACAACTTTCCTACTGCTACAGATCTGCCAAAATTCTTCTTCCGACTACAATACATCTGTTTAAGACTTTCAATATGCTGTTCAACGATCAAAAAGTTATCTACTTGTTACATTGGGATAGGGAGTCTTCCCAGGTGCCCGCAACCGTGAATTCTGTTCACGAAGCGATATACATAATATGTCAGCAATATTCTTTTTCATAAAGCTGTTGAATTAATTTACATAATTGTGTGCTAGAAACAGAAATGAAAGGCATTTATCGCCCCCAATGCATTTTCATGTGGTGTTAACTGGTTGCATGCCCAGCAAACAACTGAATCCACAGTTCAAATCCTAGAGATGGCCTAATTCATTTTTTCATATTTCTTATTCTGAGTAACCTCAAAGTTCAAACAAAATGGCCTAAAATTTTCCGTAGAGTCTACCCATATATCATAACACTTCTAGCTGGAAGTGTGCCAAGAAATTTTCAGTCCCATGTTGGGAAAGGAGAACATTTCCAAGACTGTTTCTCTCATGTAAATAATGGCTTTCTTTCTTTATTATCTATTATGTAGGTTCTTAATGTCATTTTATTTAATTTAATTATCCAGCAATGAGTTTACCATAAGTCGTATTACTCACCAAAAGAAAAATCGCCAAAATCTGTGCAACCGTGTACCAAAGTAGCACCAATTTCCTATATCATTTCCTGTAAAATTAAAAACTGAAAATATTTTTGAAATTTCTAAATAAGGTAAGCTAATATTTCTTTTTTGTACTGCACAGATAAGATAACATGTATTTTCATTTTTATGTTATTTCCTCATTTCATTTTGATTTAAAGTGCAGTTTAATAAGATTATAATTTTTTTATATTTTATTCCAATATGTTTTTGATGCTATTTTACTTGGGAGGGCATTGCACGTAAACAATAATGGTGCCACAAAAAACAAAATTACCAATTTTCACCGATATTTCACCTGAAATATATCTTTCCCAAATTCTTAATTAATAGTTTATTGCTATAAAGCTATACCATGTAGTAAGGGAGAATTCATATAAAATAAATATAATGGGGAAAACACAAATGCAATTGGCTATTATTGAAAAGGACTACTTTCTCAAAAGTCATATTTTTTATAAACAAGCCACTTCTAAACTTTAAGAGAAGATTTTGATGTTTGCTTCCAAAACAGGGAAAATCTGATTTGCTAAGCTGCAATATTTCTGATCTTGATATTATGGTACAAGAAGAGTTGAGTACACTGAAAATTCAAACACAAAACTTTTCCAAAACACATGAGAATGTTAAATTTTGTAATTTAAAAGTCACCTTAGAAGAATATCCTTAATAAAAGTTGTTACCAAACAAACATAATTGACTTTCCTTCTTATCAGGTGGAAACAGGTTATAGTCAATCAACAATTTACTAAACAAAGCAACAAAGAGGTTGAATACCTTTTTTAACAAGGTGATATAAAAATTAAACAATTTTATACCATTAATTAAATAAGAACTTTTGCAAGGTAAGATTCTGTGATTCCCCCATCTGAAAACTTGTTTACATGAGTAATATTAAAAACAATAATACAATAATAATAAACTGTTTTTTAAACATCTGCTCGCATGGTTAGTGTAATTGTTAAGTTATTCGTGTGCAATTACTTATACTATGATAATATTGAATACTGTGTATTAGAGAGATTAATGCAAGGAGATCAATGAAAAAAAACTATTCTTTTAAAAATGATCAAGGCAACAAAAGTGATGGGAGTCCCTGATTTACAGGAATAAATTATTTTTATAACTGTTTACAATTATTTTTTCAGTATATTACAGGCTGATTTTTTTCGAGGGAGGGAGACAATACTTCATTGAAATCATTAAACTGGAAATTTTAAGTACAAAATGGAAATATATTACTTTAATTTTACAAATCAAAACAATAATGTAATCGTCACGTCTTACAATTTCGTATATAATCATCTATATAGTTTTATTATTTCTTAGAATACAAGTGACGCAACTCGTGCTATGATGAAATGAAAGATACATTTTTCTAAAACTTTGAAACGGTATATCCTAAGGGCTGAACAGAACAGCATTGCGTATAACCCTAACCACTCTGATAATAATATTTACTTAGTATTCATAGCAATTCAAATCCGCGAACTTACAACACGAACAGTAATCGTCCAAAAATCTTAAATGTTTCTCACTTTCAATTCTCACGCTCAGTAGGCAAATATAAATAAAGGAAACATGAATTTAATAACAGCGCAATTTTCTCTGACGAACAATAAAAAATTATAGTATTTACGATCTTGTAGATGAAACATCGGGCAAGAGACTATCTATTTTAAATATGGCAGACATTTTCATTAAAATGACCTAAAGGTTATAAGAAGCAAAAAAATATTTATATAATGATATACACAAACGGTTGAAACTCGAAAGAAAAACAACATAACAGCGATCAGAGATAAATTGTGAAATACATGAAAAACCATAAAGTTCTCTTTCTCCGTTAGTACTCTAAACATGCCGATGTTTAAAACGAAAAAAAAAAGAAAAGAAAAGAAAAACCTAGAGAATTTACCTACATTTTAAAACACAAGCGTAAAGAAAAAACGTTCACTTACTTAAACGTACTCTATAAATTTCATTAGTAGCAAGTTTTCCACATATTCAATTACCAACACATTCACTCTTTTTAATGGGCACACTTGCTACCATACGCACCAGATTCCACCTTAATCATAAACATAGAAATTAGGTTGACAGTACAAGGTTCCATAGTTTGCAAAACTGCCACAAGAGCGAGCCTACACATATCGTGGGGGGTGAGATTAATTTACTAATATCATTATGAATTACAGTTAAATTATAATAATTTATATTATAAATGTTGGTAAAGTAAGCAAAAGTGCATTTTAAAAATTCTCATTTATACGTCTTAAAATTCTGTAATATTTTTAACTGGGGAGAATATATCGTGATTGAAAATATAACTAATATCCAACGATATTAGATATAAACGGAATTAATGCATAACTAATGTCATAAAATTCAAGAAATTTCTATTGCTATAACAATGAAATTTCTTTTTATCATAAGTTGCATATTCATATCACGTCCGGGTCACCAATTTCAGATATTTAGATGATTATTAAACGCCAATTTGTAAAGAATAAATTCTTTTAATAAATCAAAATATATACACAGTATTAGAATAACATTAATGAGCGATGAACAGATTGTGCACACGAAAAAAAAAAAAACAGAAACAAGAATTCTTTTTTACAGACCCGCAAAATCGAGTTTCTTAGTGCGCATGCACTAGAAAAAGAAATCAGGAAGGCACATCAGGGCCAAGGTCCGTCTTGCATCAGGGCAAGGCCTTGGTCAGGGTCGGTTGGTATCTACTTGGCCTTGGTCAGGGTCGGTCGATGTTGAAGAAATGCAAAGGTAAAAACCCAGTCATAAAATAACTATACATACCGCTTTAAGCTAGAATAAATTCTTCTTTCGCTATTTCACAGCCGTCTAATCGTTTTCAAAAAATTAACTACTTTGTCCCCCTTTTTTTTTAATAAAGGACCTAAATCTTCTTGTTGAAAAGGCAAGTCATAATTTGTTATTTCTAAACAGTTACATCAGTATCATAAACAGTAAGATAACCTCGGTTATCTTACTGTTTATGATACTTACTGTTTTCGATGAACTGTTATTTGTAGTATTGAAAAAAGTAGTGTACTGAAAATTTTTCCTTTCGACCGAACACGTCGTAGGTCAGGGCGTGAGACTTTGGGTTAGGAAACCAGAGGGGCTGGTTAGAAACTCATCAAAAACAAGTCATCTAAAAATCGGTTTTGTTTAAATTTTCTTCCTGGCAATTTATTTCCTTTGTGTTACATTTATTGGAGAATGTATCAAATTTTGTAGAACCTTTAAGGCCTAGAATAATCCAGTTGGTTCATCAAGTTCATATAAGCGGTTACTTATTCAGTTCTAATAAAGTTGAATTTGGTCTATTACAGGATTCGAGTAGAAGATTAAAGGAGATGCTTGATGGGAAAGAAGCCGAGCAGAAGCCCCTAGCAGGAACTAGCTTCGCTGCGTGTAAATTCGCATAGGAGCCTTAGCCTGGTTTAGAGGAGCCTTAGTTTACACCAGGGCTAAAGGGCTAGTTCATCAGCTTCTCGCGGCTGAAACCGAAAGAAGAGACTGATGACGTAATTGGGTTCGCTTGCTCAGTTCTGCTGTTCAGTTTCTTAAGCAGTTGCTTGAGAGTCAAAACGCTTTGAAGAATAGTTTAATAACCAATATGAGCCGAGATTTTAGCTCATGAAATTGCAATATACATGCATCTATATATGAACTAGTAATGTATTTACGTCATACCAAATTAAACTCTAATATGCGTAAAACGTAAGTAAAACATGCATAAACATAACTAATTTTTTAATTAACACATATGCGTAAACATAACTAATTTTTTAGGTCGAGTGTACCCTAAATATAGTAACTCTTTTTCGTAATCATCTTTTTAAATATATGTAAATAGTAACCCACCGATAACATACGTAAATTTCTACATTTACGAAGAATTCTTTTTGCGTTAAAATATCAGTTAGTCTCAAATGAGAATACATGCTAAAGACTTTACACATCTATCTGATTAAAAATTACTTAATGCTAATAATAGATTTCATAACACATTAAAACGAAACAAATTTCACTTCTTTCCATTTTTGCTTATTCAATTAACGCGTTGATAATGAGTAGTAGAATTTTGTAAGCTTTTGCAATGACTATTATGAAAGCATAATTATGGAACATCAGCATTATTATTTTAACGTCAATTACTCAAAAATAATTTAAAATATTTTAAAATAGTATTTATATATTTTGTAATAATAGCATATATTCTTACATTTTAAAAGTATATGCTCTGATACTAATTTATGTTTATGCAGAATTTCATGGTTTATTTTATATAGTAAAATTTAGCAGTCTAAATTAGTATATAATAATATATAATATTTTATATAGTAGTCCAAATAATTAGCTGAAACGTGCATAAATTAGGTCACAAATTAAGTGAATAATAAACCAAGTAATGATTCAAATTATTATTTTTGGTAGGAATAGTATGAATCAACTTACATGATTTTGTTTTCCTATATAGTTTGGTTCGATAATCCTCTATTACTCTTCATCCATTTATTTGCTTTCTGGTCAGCTTTTCTTGCCGATACACGGGTTGCATTCCTATTCAAGTGCCGAACCCTTATAAATGTTCGTAAACGGCAAAATAAACGAATTGCACTCTTATTCACGGAGGGAAAACGTTTCTCAAGTTCAGAAATAAGATTCTGAATTACACCTCTACCTTTTCAGAAAGAACTGCCATGAAAAGAACGGAAAACATTTTCTATTTTCATCATCGTTTCCATCCAAACTGGTGATGGTACAGTTAATTCTCCTTTAGATAATAAAAATATCCAATTTGAGTCGTTAGGAATATCTACGAATTTTTTTGATATTTCACCCAAAGTAGGATCTTTATCTTGACACGATATGCAATATAACCTGCCACATAAGTGAGCGATTCTTGTTCATATGCAGATATATCTCTCGTTGAATCATAAATTTCGGTTTCCCAAGGAAGTGACGTACATTCATCATAGATGTCTTCGTAATTAATTAAATAATCTTCGTATAAGGAAGACTCAAACATTTGTGTTTTTTCATTTGAAGAAAAAGCTGTTTCTAACAGCTCTTTTGTCAAATATGCTTCAACTTTCTTCACATCTTCACAGTCAATTTAGACAATTTGTTTTCCAATAGCAACCTTTTCAGGCGAATTATTACGTCTGGTGGAGACGGATGGTCATTAAAACGCCCTAGACCCCGTAATCTGGCTAAACAAGCTTTCTAATACATCTTGAGTCAGTCTTAAAGATGTTAAAATATATTTCACATTTATAGATTTTACGTCGTCAAATAAACCGAAAAGCGAATTTATCGATATGATAATACCTTTTCTGGAAAAGGTTGTCTTCTTTCCGCATACTCTGAGATCAAAAATCATTTGCTTAATCGCATTTAATTTTTCTTTTTGTACTTCATAATAGCTTTCTAGGCAGAAAACAGCTTTTAAAGGCTTATTGCTAGGGGTAATGGTACACTACAATTCATAATGTAAAAAAATACCATCAATTACTGAAAAAAATTACTTGTTGCAGCATTACCAGTCAAATGCATAATTGCTTTAGCCGTTGTGGAGGAAAATTATGCTTTTGCTGGTGCTACTTTCTCTCTCTCGTTTCCTTTTACAGATAAAAATTGAGGTTTCAGTTTATAGCACAGTTTAATTTCTCCGATATTTTTATTAGTACTTCATATATAACGTCTCTGTTTATAATTGTACCATTTCCGAGAATAAAACCTTTATCAAGAAAATGGTTTCTCAAAAGCCCTGGGACTGTAAAAGAAAGATTTAACTGTCGTAATTTGTAGTTCTTTCCAAAGGGTCCGACTATCTCCCATGTCGGATACAATTGCTTCGACTCGTAGCCCAGACGATTCAAATACAAACAGAATGGAAGACATAAGATTTTCCTTCATTTGACGATCAAAATCAAAATAAATGGGCGTTTCCATTGCAAAATGAGTCCTCGAACCAATACAAATTGAGTCTTTTTAAAAGGACCTAATATCTGATCTAATTTTGAATCATAACAGAGTCTTGAATCTATATGAATTTCATCGAAACTTAATACGCATAATCTTTCTTCGTCAGTTGCATTTTGGCAAATTTTTTTTATCAATAACAGTACATAATTTAAAATGCCAGGAATGCAACTTGAATCCTTGAGCACCATCTTTTCAGTGTACTTGCACTTGAAAGCGGAATACCCATTTTTTTTTCTAGAAATCGTATGACTTTAAGGATAATGACCTGATTGCTATGCTTTTTGAAATGTCGTCTGGAGATCATTTAATTCGCTTATTTTTCATTAATGCATTTATTTTTGAGTTTCGGTAAATATGTTTTGAACATATGTTTTCATTTTTCTTAGTTTTTCATTTTATTGATTCACTTTTTTAATTTCTTTCCTCAGTTTCTGAACTTTTTCTAATATTAGTTTTCTGTTCCTTTTAAATCTTTTTCTTTGCTGGAAGATAGTTTTCAAATGCTGCTTTCTCTCAGTCTGTAAAATAGTTTTGTGATTAAATTATTCACATTTTTCTGGAAGTTGGAACAGTTGCAACATTGCTGAGTAATATTATTTTCAGTGAGCTCCTCATAGCTATTATTGTTATAGTTTTGAAATTCCAGACATGGCTTTTTAGGACTTAAATTCTTTCTTTCAAATGCACTTTGTAAATATTTTCTTTTTTGTTGCCTTTGCTGCCTTGGTGTGTTCTGATAAATAACCAAGTCAGGAATACAAACAGTTGAAATAGCAGTTGACTTCAGTAACTTTTTTGTCAGCAATCCCAGAAACCTATTGTTCATATCATCCTCATAATCAGATTCAGTGAAGTGATTGCTGCATGTTCGAGCACTCTTTGTGTTACAATATTCGCTCTTCGACAACTATGCAACCATTCTTTCGTTAACTGAATATTTTTGTACGAAAATCTATGAAATACCACGTTAGTTTCTGTCGTATTATGATATATATTACTACAGGTAGCATCGGCACACGATACCATTTTTTCAATGATTTCCCATTACAAGAACTTTCTAAATGCAAAATCCCTTTAAAAGTATCAATCAGTTATAACTTTCAAGTAAAAAAAAATAAATAAATAACTAAATAAATAAATAAAATAAAAAACCACCTCTTTCTCTGAAACTAACAGGGCTAAAGAAAGAGAATCTAAGAACTAAAGATTCAATCTTTCGCACTTGATGCTCTGGTCAGTAGACGACGGGACGAACCCAGTGACGTCACATAACATCGGGTATGCTCCCCAAGAGGGTTCGTGTCGGCATCGTTATTCTCAAACGGATACCCAGCCCTTCTCTTTCTTTAGCCCTGAGTTTACACCCGCTACTTCATCTTGTAACGTCACTGACCTCGCCTCCACCGCCGCTAGCGTAGACCAGAATTCCACACTGTTCTTCCTGTCCCCTGATTGCTTATCAGAAGCCGAGTAAAAAGATGTTTCTACATCTTGACACTCGGGGCTATGATCTTCAATCAATCAAAACGAATATTTCATCTACTCGACAGTCAAATAACTATTGTCTTGTTCGATGAATTGATACCTTCAATATGGAAAAAAGTATACTATATTAGAATATTTTTAAATTATAGATTTTATGGCATCGCATTTTCAAATATTTTGAGTGAACTATTGTTTTTTTAAAGGGAAGTTCTATTGAATATGCCATTCTATATTTATTTGCTTAGTGTTTCTTGTTTGGCTACATATTTAACAACCGTTTGCAGTTATGGCACCAGATGGCGCTTTGAAGTTGCCAGTAGTAGTAAATTGAGAGGTATGTGTTTAATGTTTTGTAATGAATGATTATAATGTGTCTTCTTGATCCATGATATATCAGGTAAAAATTTTCATTTGTTTGTTGTTCTTTACCTGTTTTAAGTATGAACTTTCATTCAGAGAATCGTGATGATGAGCAATCAGCACGTTGTTTAGATGGTGTACTGTAATTATATATTAGCAGTTCATAAACGAGCATGAACTTTCCTGAATAGTTCCTAAGAAATAATTAGTTGCAGTGTCTCAAACAGACTAGGTGCTTTGAAGATTCGAAACTAGTAACTAAAATATTAAGTGCGTTGAGACTATGAAATATGATTTTCTTCAAAGGGTGTTTTTGCCAGGTTTTCATTTTATGCTAAATATCTTTCCGAAACGTAAAACACTGAGTTTTCGAAACTGTCTCTTTTTTTAATTGCAAAATTCAAATTGCAGAGCTTTTGGATGCTACTTAAAACTACAAATAAATTGATATGCTATGAGTATCGCATGCAGCCTTAGTTCAAAACACTGACAAAAAAAGGTCTTAGAATTATGTAAAAAGATGTTAAATTTGAGAATCCATTAGAATTATTGTTCAGTTTCCTAAAACGAGGGCAGAGATCTTCCACAGAATTTTAAAGACTACTACAAAGTTATGTATGGATATTAGAGATATCTATATATATTTATATGTATCTTAAATTAAGATAAATGAATGTTAAATAATAGTGAAATTTAATTAGGAAACCATATATGTTATTTGGGTACGTATGCAATAATTGAAGACAATTTCAGGAACTGAAGTTAAATCACAAACAGCATGAGTTTAATCAATTTCTAAAGAATACCATTGCATGAAGGCTTTATAAAATATTGATTAATTAAAGATGTTGATTTCAGGAATTGAAGTTAAATAACAAACACCATGACACCTGACAGGATACCATTATATGAAGGCTTTATAAAATTTTGATATGATTTTTCAAAGCAATATTTTTATAGAATTCTGGGTGAAAGTATATTTACCGGTACCCCTTGCCGAAAATTGCCAATTTTTGGCGGTACATAGATACCGAGTTTGTGTAATTCTTTGACTTGTTATTTGTTGTGATGACTTCGTTCACTTTTCGGTAAATTACGCAGTGAGATTTTAGGATGTCAAAACTGGAGCTCCTATCTACACTGTGGATGGTATGTGGGGTATAATAAAAAGGATTTTTGAAAGAAATGCTACCGCTGGTATGGAGGATATTTTTCATTTTTACTTTTGTGAATTAATGTGGTGATGGCAGTATACAGATTCTAGTTTAGATAATTTTAAATTATGTTTGGATGCTGTTAAAAAATTCTGTGTTTCACACATGTTGAAGAAACAGAAATTTTTAAATAAGGTAAGTCGCTATTTCCTTTTCATACTGCATAGATTAGATAACATGTATTTCCATTCTTATGTTATTTTCTTATTTGATTTAAAATGCAGTTTATCAGATTATATGGAATGGCGCCAAAAATAATCAGCAAGTTTTGCCAAGGGATACTCTGAAATACATTTGTACCTTGTTTATCATAATAAATGATTTTATCTTTGTGTGTGTTTTCATATACAGTCAAAAGTCGTTAATCCGGACTTGTCGGGACTTCGGCGATCCCGGATTATCGATTTTTCCGGATTATAGATCATCAGTTTAAATCTGGTAAGATGGCATGCAGAAATTATAAAATTAAAAATATGAAACCGTAATTTATGAAATAAGGAACAATTATGATCTAAAGAGTATCAAAATTTACCAAAAAAAAAAAAAAGCTTAATATTTATTTGTTTACTTCATTAAACATTTGTTTCAGTGTAAGTTGTTTAAGTTGCTTCGTTTTTTACGTGATAATACATTCTCTTTAATTCTTTAAACAGACATAATTTCTTGTTCAGTTACAAAGTTCTGCTGTTCAAGTCCTATAATTGCTGTGTCGGGAATACCGACAAATTTGTCAATTGAAATTTTTTCGTTTTCAATAACCTCTGTCACTTTCTTTGCTATCGGAAGCGAATTATAATGATGAGGAATTTGATTTAAATCATATCAAAGATGGAGTACATCGAGATGAAATACTACATTTAATAAGGAATTATAAGCCAAATAAAATAAAAACATCTGCCCTGAAGATAAGGATAGTGCTGACAGATCAACTTCCAATACATTGAGCGGCGCCACGGCGTTAAAGATAAACAAAGTTTAGATAAACAAAGGATATGCCTTTATCCATTTTTTGTAGCAATTCCACATTTTGTTTAATGAACTTCGAAACATACTTTCGCTTTGTAGATCATTTACATATTAATAAATATATATCAGAAATTCTATTGACATAATCGAAAGTTCAAGCTTACTTTTATAAAATTGCTCTAACAGTCTGCAAAAAATAATAAGCCGGATCCAATTCGAAAATTAAGGAACAACGCAATCTGCAACATTAACTGAAATACATAATTAAATAATTTTAGCTTAGCTTATACCGTCCGTTATACATTAAACGCGCACTTGTAAACGTATTTTGCGCACAAGCATATTCTCAGCCGTAAAGGTCTTACGCACTTGCGTTGACGCGACGCATGCGCAGAAAGTTTATAGCTTTGAGGTCCGGATTATAGATCATTCCTAATTATGGGTGTCCGAATTAACGACTTTTGACTGTATAGAGGGGCGTGATTTCTGATGTTCAGTAACAATATTCAAATGATAATATTAACCGCTATCCCATTAAGTTGTATCTTGTGTTATTTTGTATCTGTATGTATTTAATTTTTTCATACATTTCTTGCAGCCAGAATGAGTAAGAGCAGCTTGGAGGCAGCAGCAGAAGCTGCTGCTAGAGTCAATGCTATGTTGATAGCAAAAGGAAAGCTCAAGCTCTCACCATCTCAGATAAAACCCAAAGTAAGTATGTTAAGCCAAAAGTAGGTACATAAGAAAATTTTCATATTATGTGGATTATAACTGAAACTTCCTTCCAGGTAATATCTACAAACATAAATATATAGAACTGTAGTTCATGAATTAAATTTGTTCCTGAAGGCTGTTTCCCCATAAGTAAACCGATTTAACCCTTCCAATACAACTGCTGCCCGTTGGCAGCACCTGTGAAACTTTCCTCTGAGAACTCCTGCTGCCCTTTGGTGGCAGCCACAAAATGTTGTCTGGCTACTGCTACCGCCACCTATGAAACATTCTCTGGCTATCACCACCACGCCACCTAAAATCGGCATTCATGGAAAGTTATGCGGTTATGATTACTGTCTATAGTATGCATTACTTTACTATTCTTGGTGTAAAATTGCTGGCTGCTCTAATCATTCCCATATATGATTAGTAATAGTCAACAGTGTGCCTTAATTCTATATTATATTCTATAATAAAAGCTACTGAAAAAAATTGGTATGTTTGCTTATGTCGTAAAAGTTTTACTTAACAATTTGAATTTAGATCACTTCAGCATGACGGCAAAACATTTAAAAGGAGAACAACGGATAAAGAAATATTGATTCTGATGATGAAAATGAGCATAATTTAGGTTTTGCAAAAAAAGAGGAAAGGCAATTCAGCATGTATACTTAGCACCTCGAAATGGAAAGAAGCAGAGGAACCTGAAATATGAATGGATACTCTTTCTGATATCAAATATACTTCTAAAAAGTTTGGTGCAAAAATTTTACAAGCACAGCATTCATGAGTAGTAGGAAACAATTTAAATCTCTCTTCAGGAATTCTGGATTACTTCCATCTGCTTTTTTTAAAGATTTAATTCAATTTGTTGTAGGAAAAACAAACAACTATTGGTATCGACAACTTAAAAGGGACCACTTTTAGGTTTCAGAAGGAATGGAATTAAACAAATTAGGTCGTTTTATTGCCACGCTATTATTAATAATACAAAACAAAATGTCATCCTTAAAGGAATATTGGTGTAAAGATAAGCTTCTCCGAAACAATATTTTCAGTGAGATCATGAGCAGAGATTGCTACTTTTCATTATTTAAAATGGATATGAATGATAGAAAACATATCCATAGCTTATCAGCATAAGCTGATAATGTTCAATGCAATACAATGCAACTGTTCTTGTAGAAAATATTTCTCATTCCACAAATGTATGACTGCAGTTAGCTCTTCGGTACTGAAAGGGTTAATCCATTTTTTATCCACAGATGATTACTTATTTAAACCTTACAACTTTGTGTACAAGTTCAGAGCACAAGGCCAATGGAAATCATTAATCCTGAGCCATGAAAAGGTAAGCACAATACTAAGCAAAAAAAAAAAAAAAAGGGGGGGGGAAGAAAATTTAGTTTTCACAACACATGCTTAAAGGGGAATAAATGGTTTGAGTGTTGAAGACAAAGATGTTCTTGAGTGAATGAGGAGTCTGTTTTCATAAAAACATCAGGTAACTTTCTTCTTGAGTCATCCTCATCTCTTTTTTGTTGTTTTTTGTAGTGCCGTCGTATTGAGCTTGAGATTCAATGGGTGTTTATTTCATTAAATATCTGTCCCATATAATTAGTTGTTGCCTATGTTTTAAAATATTTCTTAGATGAGACATGGCATTGATTGTTATTGAAAATGCATCTTCTATAACTTGCACCTGCTTTTTCATTGTGATACATTATGTGAAAACTTTGCATCATGCCCAGTTTCCAAAAATATCACAGGTCAAAGGTATAGGTTCATCATATTCCACCCCCCCCATTGAAGATTTTTCTTCCACAATCACATTTTGTTGCAGTTCTGTTCGTGCTGAGTTCATTTTTATGGTTCTCTAGTTCACATTCCTCTGTGTGTTCATTGTTAACTTACAGGCCTAAGCCTAGAGACAAAATATCATGAAAAACAAACAAAGAAAAGAATTTTTAAGTATCAAAACCTTCAAAGTGAACAAACACAGTCTGACCATAACATTGTCCAAATGGAGCTCGTGGTCTTGTAAACCATTGTTGCTAGGCCTTTGTTATTGAGGTTTAAAACATGGAAATTATGTGTCAGGAAGTCTGTGAGTGTTTATTCTGTAGCATAGGTTACCTGAATATGTCTTTAAAATTATTTTTTGCCAATTTGAGATATTCCAACTGGAGACACATCATTAACCTTCCAAGGCATATTTTGTCAGATAATTTGTTTGTGATGTATAATATTCTGACTTTAGGTTTCACTGGAATTCTTTTAACTGCCCTTTTTACACTATATTGAGGGATCTATGATGAGTGTATAGTAACATTTATGTTTCAGATGATGCTATGGATGTATAAGCATTTGTACCATCATGTGAGCAGTCTAAAAAAGCCATCCATGTAAAATTTTGAAAGATGGAGGTTCATTTATTAATGGATGGTAGCCTTCATCTCAACATATGAGTAAAACCTCTGATGCACTAAATTTTATCACTCTATCATCATATAGTCAAAAGTCGTTAATTCGTACACCCATAATCCATAATGATCTACACAGTCCAGTCACATTAATGTGACCACCACGTACTTTCCATGTCAGAGTTAAATAACCAATCACAGAAGGCAGGTGGCAGCACAGTGCAGTTGAGCGTATATAAAGAGTGTGTGAGGGCTTCGGAAAACATTTCAATCGTTGGCGTAATGCAGAAACGAAGCGATTTATCCGACTTCCAAAAGGGCATGATCATTGGCTTTCGGGCCAAGGGTGGAAGCATTTCCGAAACGGCTGAGTTTGTGAACTGTTCGCGTGCCGCCGTGGTAAAAGTGTACCATGCATGGCAAAATGGGACTCCAAAATCAGCGACGTGGCAAATGTGGTGCACCACGGGCCATAGATGACAGAGGCGAACGACGGTTGCGGAGATGCGTTCGGGCAGATAGACGGGCTACCGTTGAGCAACTGACCACCAAAATGAACCAAGGGGCTACCAAAAGTGTCTCTCAAAGTACTATTCAGCGAATATTGCTGCGTCTGGGCCTCCGAAGCAGACGCCTGGTTCGTGCACCTATGCTGACTGCTGTTCATCGACAGCGAAGGCTAGAATATGCACGCCAGTACAGCAGCTGGACGTCCACTGAGTGGCGACAGGTTGCGTTTTCGGATGAATCGCGTTTTATGCTCCATCGGACAGATGGACGTTGGCGTATAAGGCGTGAAACCCTCTGAAAGGAACCACCCTGCAACCATTGCCGGAACGGTCCAAGCTGGAGGCGGGAGCATTATGGTCTGGGGAATGTTTTCCTGGCATTCTCTAGGTTCACTGATCATTGTGGAAGGCACAATGGATCAATACAAGTACGCATCTGTCCTTGCGGACCATGTTCACCCCTACATGCGCATTGTTTTTCCTCAGGATGCATGGCATCTTCCAGCAGGACAATGCGAGGTGCCATACAGCTGCCAGTGTACGTGCGTGGTTCGAAGAGCACCAGGATGAGTTTACCGTCCTCCCCTGGCCAGCAAACTCACCTGACTTAAACCCAATCGAGCATCTGTGGGACCATCTCGATCGAGTTGTTTGCGCCATGGATCCTCAACCGCGTAATCTAGCGCAGCTGGCCACGGCATTAGAGTCGGCATGGCTCAACATCCCAGAGAACACCTTCAGGGACCTATGTGACTCTCTTCCAGCACGTCTCGCAGCAGTCCGCTGTGCGAAAGGTGGTTATTCTGGCTTTTGACAGATAGTCACATTAATGTGACTGGACTGTGTATAATCCGGACCTCAAAGCTACAAACTTTCTGCACATGTGTCGTGTTGACGCATGCGCGTAAGACCTTTACGGCTGCGAATATGCGTGTGCGCATGCGCAAAATACGTTTACGAATGCGCGTTTAATGTATAGCAGACGATATAAGCTAAGCTAAAATTATCTAATTCAGTTAATGTAGCAGATTGCGTTGTTCCTTAATCTTCGAACTGGATCCGCCATATTATTTTTTGCAGACTGTTAGAGCAATTTTATAAAAGTAAGCTTGAACTTTCGATTATGACAAATAGAATTTCTGATATATAGTTACTAATATGTAAAGGATCTACAAAGCGAAAGTATGTTTTGAAGTCCATTAAACAAAAAGTGGAATTGCTGCAAAAAATGGATAAAGGCATATCCTTTGTTTATCTAACTATTCCGAAATCTATTTATCAATTTCACGCTGCTCTGGGGGGGGGCACGCCGTGGCGTGCAATGAATTGGAAGTTGATCTGTCAGCACTATCCTTATCTTCAGGACAGATGTTTTTATTTTATTTGGCTTATAATTCCTTACTAAATGTAGTATTTCATCTCGATGTATTCCGTCTTTGATATGATTTAAATCAAATTCCTCGTCATTATAATTCACTTCCGATAGTGAAGAAAGTGACACAGAGGTTATTGAAAAATTTCGATTGGCAAATTAGTCTGTATTCTCGACACGGCAATTATAGGACTTGAACAGTGGAACTTTGTAACTGAAGAAGAAATTATGTCTGTTTATAGACTTAAAGAGAAAGTATTATCACATAAAAAAAAAGCAACTTAAACAACTTACATTGAAAGAAATGTTTAATTAAGTAAACAAATAAGTATTAAGGTTTTTTTTTTTTTTTTTTTTGTAAATTTTGATACCCTTTAGATCAAAATTGTTCTTTTTCATAAATTACGGTTTATATTTTTAATTTTTATAATTTCTGCATGCCATCCTACCAGATTTAAACTGATGATCTATAATCCGGAAAAATCGATAATTTGGAATTGCCGAAGTCCCGACGAGTCCGGATTAGCGACTTTTGACTGTACTGGATAACTAGTGTGCACATACTTTTTGATTAGTGTAGTTCCAATGATGGGCAATAGGAGGCCAGTGTGAACCCCATGTTAAATTTGTCTCTTATTTATGAGTTTGTTGTTGTTACCTTAAAACAAATAAATTAATTCTGTGTTAAAATTTCAAAAATTAATAGTTGGAAGCAAAAATAAGTTTCATAAATTATAGTGAGAAAAATTCTGAATTTTTGCTGTGTCTTTAGAAAATACATTATTGCAGGAAAGTAATGATGCAATTAAAAATGAAAGTAATGAAAAACTCATCAATAAAGAATTAAAAGCGAATATTAAAGTTTCTTATCCAGAAGTTTGGGATGTGGGAGAAGTAACATACACATCACCAAAAGAGGTTAAAGTTGAAATGGAAATAAGTGATTTTCTTAAAATGGCATTAGCAGGAAAACTGCATATGTATATTCCTAATATTGTACAAAGTCCCAAATCCAGATGTCCATTATTCGGATTGATCTAAAATCTGGACCTCAGAACCACCAACAACGTTTTCTCGTATGCTTTACACATGCGGATTTAATTCCCCCCTTCCGCGCATGCTAAAACATCTGGAGAGTCCTGATTCTTAATTTCACTTTGACACTAAATAAAATACCTTGTTACGGAAGAAACAATTATTTTAGCATAAATTTATATGATCAGTAATTTGCCTCCGTTGCTGGTGTATATGTGTTTGGCATACATCTCAAACCCAAACATTCCACATAGATACATCGTTAATCTGACACCAACCTGGTGAATCATTATTTATTATACATCCCTTTCATCACCGCATGTTTATCAAAACATGACTACTTAAGTAATGACTCATGTAGTGATGCCTAAACAATTTTTTTTTTTTTTTATGTTAGTAATTGAATAATCAAGGAGTATGGTAAGCTTTTATGTTGATATTATGCCTGGCGATGATTACAGATTAAAGTTAAATGCACTAAAAAATGTTGACGAGGAAAAATTTACCAAAAATTTCTTTCCATATGCTAAAAATAGATTTTGTTGATGGTACTCATAGACCCAAAGATTACATTTAGGGCTATTTGAATTAAAAATAACTGATTTGTTATTGACATAAACCCAGAACCAGCGCCAGGGCTCATATGGCCGTATTGAGTTGCAGAATTTAGGATCCACGGAGATTGCATCAGGCAGCAAGATATCTAGCGCTGGCCCTCAATAAGGCTTAAATATATGGTGGGAATTTATTTATTCAGAACTCTGATAAGCCTTAAGCATGTGCAAGAAATAGACATAAATATAATAAATAACTAAACTAATACAATTCAAGCTTAATTGTCTCAATGCGTGATAGAAGCAAGATAAAATTTAATGGAACAACTTGTTATATGATCATTTTGCTAAGCTCATGATGCATAGCCAAATATGTATAGTGAAGAATAGCTAAATTTGATTATGATAGTTGCTAATTTTAAAGGTTTTCGGATATTGCAAAACAAAGGTGAAATTTTCCAATTAACGGATTTTATAAAGAAATGTGGAGAAGCGGTAATAAATGAAGATTATATAAAAAGATTTTCATTGTGATGAGAATGCTTCTCATTCATTCATTAATTGGCAAAATCTGTAGTATGGTTCTAGATCCAGAAAAAAAACTGCTAATGATAGTTTGACAGAAAAGTTACTGAAAACGAGAAAATTTCGATTGACAAGCAAGTTGGAATTCTGAAAAATAGCAGTTACAGGACTTCAACAATATAACTAAACAAGAGATTGTGTCTGTCTGCAGAATTAAAGAGAAAGTATAAGCACAAAAAAGGAAGCTTTTTGCATTGAAAGAAATGTTTAATAAGGTAAACAAATAAATATTAAGCTTTTTTTTTGTAAATTTTGATACTATTTAGATCATAAATACTTCATTATTTCACAAACCACGATTTCATGTTTAATTTTATAATTTCTACATGCAGCTACCAGATTAACTGCTGATCATTATCCGGAAAAATCCCAAATCCGGAATCGCCGAAGTCCCGACGAGTCCGGGTTTCGGACTTTGTACTGTAGTACAAAAAATGCTAAAGTAGTGGAAAATAAATCCAGTGCTGAAACGTCTATTCGCACGAATAACCTCGTTCAATATAAGATAGACTGAAATTTTAATGCTTTAATTTAGTTTTTTCCATTGCTAGCAAATTCTGCAAGTGCATATTTTTAAATTTAAGGCAAAAAATACCATGATCTGTTTATGAAAACCATTGAACTTGGAATACGGCAAAAAGGAACATGTGCAGCATACATTATTAGGAATTTTATTATGTAGTTTTCATGTTAAAGCTATCTCTGGAGAATTCTGAAAATGATTAATTTTTATTTCATGCTTTAGTATAAAATTTAATGCTTAACAGAATATGATTTTGACACACAGGATGTATTTTTCATGGAACAAATAAGCAGGCAAAAACAGAAAAAGGAACTCACAAACTTTAGCAGAGGGCTACTCCCTGTGTAGCTCATCACTAGGTGTCCCATACTAATTGTCAAAGCTTGTTGTCAATTCCTTTGAAATACAAGTGCTACCCAATTATAGCTGTGGGTAAACAGCATCTATTAGAAGTAACTATTATTAACAGCATCTGTTTTAAAAAGAGCAAAATGATATTTATACACCCAAATGTAAATTTGTACATGTGATTTGAATAATTAGATTGCTTAAATAATTAGGAATCACATAGAAAGTCAGAGTTCTATATAATTGGTTTTCTCAGATTTTGTAATGTGCTTAAGTGTAAGTATCTAATTGTCTTATTAAGACTTTATATTAATTGCTTATCCTTTTATTTCTATGTTATGATTTTAAAAATTATGTTATTTCTTCCTCTTATTATTTAGATTATATTATTTCTGCATTACTTATATATATATGCATACTTTTCCCATTATAGCCCTTTGTTTTTATACAGTGCCAAAAATATTGATAAAACCATGAATATTCCTAATATAAACTATTTAAATTCGGCAAATTAAGTACATATGCTATTTGTTTTGCTATTGTGGAATTTGGCTACATACAAAAAAGTTAAGCAGAATGATTTTAAAATATATATTGTGGTTTAAGACAATGACTGCTCTTTGTGATGTTTATTTTGGAATGTAATTTTGATAAATATTGTTTATGATTCTTACATTTGAAAATTGGTCTGATGTTTACATTAACAACAATCACTTAATTAGTTTATTCATCACCAGAAAGCTGTGAATAGGCTGCGTGTTAAATGTGTTTTTTTTCCCTTAAAAATTATGTGTACAATTTTTTATATACTGACGACTGAGGAAAATAAGAGCTGCAAGTAGATGGCATTTCAACTTCTTTCATTCATTTCTTTTTAAAGAAAGAGAATTAAATCTTTTATATGTTTGCACATTTTAAAAATTATTTAACTTTAAATTTGCTTTTTTACGTATATACATGTTTGTTAAAATTTATATATTTTTAATATATTTTATTATTTATTAATTTTTTCCATTTTTCTTTTTTTTTTATTTATTTTTTGAGTAAAGAAGATGTATTATTCTTTCAAGAAAGATGCATTTTATTTCATTTTTGACAAACTTTATATGATAATCATGTCGCCATTACATGGGGATGACAAAAAAAGGAAAGCACCAAAAATTTAAAGTATTTGGATAATTTATTAGCATAATTAATCTTATTCATGTAAGTATTATTCTTTATGTTTATTAACGAGAGATTCTGATAATTTTTTCTAAGATGAGTGGTTTTTTTTTTTTTTTTTCCTCTCTCTCTCTCTCTTTCCTTTATTAGATTGGAACAAATATTTCTGGCAGGGCAAAAGCGGTCGGAGACCTAGTGACGGCTGAAGTGGATATCAATGATGCTCCTCTCAGTGCTAGAAATTTACTGACTAGGGGGCACACCCAAGATGAAGTAATTTTCAAATATATGTATTCAAAATAAAGTAATTAAAAGTAAATTAAAAATCCTATGACTTGTGCTAAAGCTGCAATGTAATAAGCTAATAATTTATAATAAGAAAACTTTCCATATACCATCTTCGAGGAACACAAATTCAGTTTAAAACCATAAATGAAAAAACCTTTTTTAACCAGAATTTAAATTAGAATTTTAAATAGTAATTTCAACTTCTTGTTTAAAAATTTTGCTTAAAGAAATCTTAAATCACAAAAATATCAAAACCAAAAGTAAATTCTAAATGTTGAAAAAGTAGTTATTGTCTATATTTTGCCACAAATAAATTTTGTGTCTGGGTTATGAATATTGCAATATGTAGCGTTTGTCATTGCGAGTTTTTGATTTTGTACAATGGAAGGATCGATGTTCATCTGCAGACACAAGGAGAATATGACTTGCACAGGAAAACTATTAAATCTTTTGGTGGAAAGAGAACCAAAAAGTTATTAATGCAGAATGCCTGTTCTGCCTTTTTACTGGAGCACAACCTGCCACTGAATGCGTCTTGTGTGGATCATACTGCAGCTTTTTTAGAAAAGTTTCCCAGCTTGAGTACTTGTAAAATCCTTAAGAAGTACTCAAGTTCAAGGACAAAAACAGCTGCATCTGTAAAAGAAATGGGTTCAAGAAATTGGTATGAAAAATAAATCTTCAGTTATTGATTGCAAAACTGTATCCAATATTCTTTTTTAAATCCAAAGTCTTCAGAAATTGAGTGATATTTTCTGTCCCTATTTTAGAAAGAGATTCGACAGACTTTAATGTATAGCACAGCTAATTATTAAAACTTTAAAAGTAAGTGCAATTGTTTAGGATGATTGCTTAGGACTTGCCAACAGTGCCCCATGAATTATAGACTTGAAGACTGATGTTGCAGGTATCTTAAAAAAAAATTCATATCTGTAAATTATGAAATGCACCTGTCACCTATTAAATTTAGCAGTGAAAAAGGGCTCCATCACTCCTCTAATAAATAACTAATAACATAATTACTAATTCCTCTTTCGTGGCATACTTTTAGAAGGAGCTCTGGTGACAAGGTTGGCCTGAACAATTGTTGGCCCTCGCACGATCTCGCTGCTCCACTCCATTGCTAATCCTAAATAAACGAATATAAGCTCTTGGTATTTTAATTACAAATGTTAAACTGCACACAATTGAATAATTATAACCTTACTTAAAAAGCACAGAAAGCAGAGTATGCCACTTTATGTAGCACTTAAGATGCACGCACTTCACAACTACTTGTAGAATGACCACCACACATCTGCGCGGCCAAAAGAAGCCCTTCAATCAGAAGGTAAGGTTGTAAGTCTTTTGCATTTCCCATTCTATTCGAGTCTATTGCCGTTAGGCAAAATGCAAGATATTTATCTTTTCAAATGAATCTGTCTGGTATGGAATAACATACCAAGCTACTGAAAGTAGCAGATACAGTTCTTAAGAGTATTATTTTTTGACTTTTCAGTTCAATGGATTGATATAAAAATGCATTGAGTTCATGAGTCATAGAATGATGTTCTATATTTTACACTTTTCAAATAAACAGAAGATATAGAAAATTCCTATGTTAGTCTTAATGTATGTTCATCTAGTATCCTATAAAATGTTTTACTATTCCACCTGGGACATCTTTGTAGAAAATCTGTATAGATAAACCTTATTAAATTTTTAAAATGTTCCTAATGATAAACCTTATTAAATTTTAAAACTTAAAATCTGAAATCCTTTCATACTCTTTTTTTTCTTGATTTTTCCTTCCGCTCCCTCTGCGATGCAGGGAGTTTAAATCTTTTCCTGGAAATTCTCATGACAATGTTTGTTTATTTGTTGTTAATTTCTTCTGCATTTTCTATCATATGTGCACTAGATAAATGAAGCAGAAAGGTCTAGGTGTGATATTTGCCACATGTCTAGAAATAAATTTGGGGTGATGTAAACTTAACTAGGGGGAAACCCCTAGAAGGTTGGATGTCTGAAAAGAATTTTTTGGGGGGCAAGGAAGAGGGCATTGTTTTGATAAATCTTTTCCTGCAGAAAGTTCTTGAGACAATGTTCTCTCTACGGAAAGCTTTCAGGACAATGTATGTTCATCTGATGTTAATTTTTTTCTGTATATTTGCTATGTGTGCAGTAGATTTGCCTAGAAATGAAACAAATGAACAAAAATCCAGTTTATAAATATATATATATATATATACACTTTTTCCTGTCAAAGGTTCTGGAAGCATTGTTTGTTCATCAGATACTAATTATTTCTGCATTTGCTGTGAAAGAAAGTAGAAGTGATTTATTATTTCCAGCCTGATGATATTGTGCTAAAAATCTGCAAGATCTCTACTTTTTCTAGAGTGAAGTTGAATGTGGTGGAAGATGTACTATTTTAAATATATAGTGGTAGCTTGGTATGCCATTAACCCTTTTCATATCCTTGGACTTGTATCAAAAAAGCTTTCCTGTTAAGAAATAAGGGGAAATAATTAATTCATTCTTTTAAAAATATATTATTTTAGTTATTATAACACTGTTTAATCCCAAAATATAAATGTAGTGGGTGAAATATGTGTTATGCGTGAATGAAATATTATGCATAAATGTTTTTCTGTTATCCAGATCAAAAACAAAATTGGCAGCATGCTTTGATATTTGTGATCGTTGTTTGGTAGTTATGTTCACTCTTTTGCAATGTTAGCCGATTTTGTAGCATCTTTGTTTTTCATAGTCACAGATACTGTTCCTTCTCAGCATACGCTGAGTTGTGGATATGCTGGCCATTTTCATACTTTTCAACAATGTCTTTTTCACCTCGATCATGATTCTAACCATTTTCTTCATTCCTTGATTCTTCTTATAAACTTTATTAAAACTGATTTTTAATGAATTTACAAAAAATTTAATTCTTTGACTACAAATTTTAAAAAAATTACCCCATTTTCTATCCATATGAACAAAATATGTCATAAGGTAAATTTAGCATTTGGGATTTTTTTGACAAGCTGTTTTCAAGCCAAAGGCTGGGACACATATGTTGCAGCCACAGTTAATGGTGGTATACATAAGTGCCACACATAGCAGTCGACTTTCTATAAGCATACCTATTAATCTGGAAAAGTTAATTATATGGAATAGGTTTTAAATCATATGGTACAGGGTAAGTCATTCTTTGCATAACCCAACATTACACATTGGGCAACTCTTGTTCTTTTCTCTATGTTCATTTATGTACAACGAGCAGAAGGGTATCTTGATTTCCCAACTATTGGAAAAAGATCCCCAATATTCAGAAGATTCAAAGTACATTTTAACCCAGCAGTAATTTTTAAACTTTTAGTTGGACATACATGTCCCAATGTTGCTATTGCACTGCACACCTGTTGCTGTTACTCTGTAAATAACCTGCACTATAACTGTATTCTCAGTAACCCTTTGATTATGTCCCATTAGTAATCAAAGAGTTAAGCTCCCACCCTAAAAAACACAAAATCATATGAAAATACAGTTATAGTGCAGGTTATTTACAGAGTAATAGCAACAGGTGTACTGATGCTTACAGGCAGTCATGGCATTGTCTTGAATTGCCTTGCAAAATAAATTAGCAAGACACCATAAAAATTTAGGATATCTATATAATGATTAATATATTTTGCATCAGATTCATGTGATAAATAGTTCGGTACTGTTCTGTTATCAGTAGTGGATTCAGAAATGTATGTATGTCTTATATACATACATAGTAAGGATCATATTAATTTATCTAACAGTTAAATTTTGAGTTAAACTTTCTTTCCTATTATTTCGGAATTTCAACTTACAACATCCAGCCAGAACTTAGTTTTAGAATCACGTTTGAATGCAAATTGAGGAAGAGCGGTATTTGATCACGAAGCTCATATGTCTTATTTAAAGAGAACCAGAGATTCTGGCTAGCATGCATCTGCCTTTTTAAGCTACTCTCTCTCACTCTTAAGCTATTATTACGCTCGGCCGTACTTTAGGCCCTTGATAGCTTCACAGTTTATCAGCTTTAAGGGGACAACTCTGTTAGACTTTTGATAGCTTCGGCTATATCTTTTTTAGTTAAGATTAGTTTAATTCTTAGTCTCTTAAATTCAAGCCCGAGTGTCGGCTTTATTGTACAACTCCAAGACGGAGTTCTGTTAAACATTATTTGAATAATAAAGGGTCTTTAACCATTTTTAAGTTTTGGTTACTGTCTCACGAACGCAAGCAATTATTCGCTTACTAGTTCTTAAGATTCTTCACATTCATCTGTAACTTAACACCTTCGCGCCAACTGTCACATATACGTGCCAGCAACGAACACTCTTATCTACCGGCCGGACACCCGGGTGCCAGAGCATTGTTGCATTCTCTACGACTGTCACGTATTTGTGCCAGTACTTGGAACGTTTCAAACTATAATTCTGCCACAGATGGCACTGTATGTATATGGTTTCAGATACATGTGCATTAGACTTTCTACTCAAAATGAGAAAGCATGACTCACATACACGTTTTTTGATATATAAACAAACGGGAACTAAATGTTTCCGATGGCGTGATTTATGACGTCTCTTTAAATCGCACTTTATTCGCACTGGTAGTTGTTTATTGTAAGTAGAAGTTTTATATGCACTAAAGCGTTAATATTTCCGTTTACAGTTCAATTTTTAGAAAAATTAGATCTTGGTTAGACGTGAATTTTTCTGTTTTTACCGTTTCAATGTCGAAGCGTCGAAATATTACAGAGCATGAAATAGCAGAAATATGCAAAATATTTCAGATTTGATTCTGAAAGATTAACTGAAAGACATTTTCCAAAACTTTGTTCAGAAGAGATGATAAGAAAATGAGACGACGATGCTTCGTTTGTTCATTCCCGGAAAAATCCTCCAAAATGGCAAATGAGTTATTACGAGTTCAGGAATGTACGTAGGATGTGTGTAGATCCGTTTAAAATTTTTCATACGAAAAGAGAATTTAAGTAATATTTAGTTTTCAGATGTATAAGTCATAAAATGGTGAGTAATTAAAATAAAATGTGAAAATATGATTCAAAAAAGAATAAGGTAATTAAAGTATATATATAAAAATATCTATAAAGCATAAATCCTTTTAAATACTCTATAGAGCATTATTAAACAATGGTTGATACTTCGGAAATTCATGGATTTAGGCTTAGTAGGAAAAAGCCCCCAGCCCTGGAGAGACGCTCGCGGAAGACACTGCTGGCCTCCGCGATAAGCGCGCGTTTTCGCTACCCGGCTCGAAGGGGTTAAAGTACACTGTAAAGAATCTTACAACATACTTACTTGTGTATGTATGTATGCACATATGTATTATATGTGTATACATACACACATGTGCATGCATACACAAACTCATATATCCATACATTTCTGAATCCGGTCCTGATAATAGAATAGTACCAATAGTTCCATAACCCGAATCATGCATTCAAAAACTGAATAAGTCTGTTTTACATCTTGAAATAACGTCACTGCACAGTGCAAAATCCTCCCGCTGTTTCATATTTTAAGCTTGGCAAATATACAATATCGTTTGGAAATCAAAAAACCTCTTTAATCACTCTGCTGACTTTGAAAATGTATTTCATCATGAAGCAACATCAATGTATTGTTGGAAAAGGCATTGGCTAATATAAAAGTACCATTTATTTATTTTGATTATTTTTATATTTTTCCAAATAAAATTCCGTTCCTTTACATCGTAGATATGCAAGTTAAGCGGAGCTGCAATTTCAACTCGGGGGAGGTACATGACACCCGAAGAGAGGCAAAATATTGCAACTCCCGAGTAAGTTCTAGCCGTGCAGCATGTTGCATATTTTTTACCTTTCTCGTGCATAAAAGAACATTATATGTTGTGATTTTATTTAGGTGTCGTCCTCTATATTTGAATGTGCAAGCTTCGTCATACGATGCTATAAAGAGTAAGTTTCAAACTATGGAGAGTTTTAGCTTTACTGTATTTGCTACATTAATTATCACTGCTAAAATGCTGTTATTAAATATGAAAATAGGTAAAAATAATTAAGGTACATAAATAAAAATGATTCTGTCAGTTCATTTCATAGCTTATTAAATTTTTAAATCCATTGAATTTAAATTGCTTCTGATTTTACAAAACACAAAAAAAAGTAGCCCTTAAAAGAGTTGCTTTTAGTTGAACTGTATACATTACATGTTGTACAGCATGGCCAAACACTTCTATTAATTGATCTATGGGTTAGTAAAATTCAGTAATGCTGATATTCAAAATTGCAATAAATTCACAGGGGGGAAAAATGACAAAACAGCAACCAATTTTAGTAATGCCATCTAAAAAATAAATTAGTTTTTAAACATGAAAATAAATACAAATAATTAAGAATACTTGAATGAAAACAATTTAATTAATTAATTTAATAATGCATTAAATTTAAATTTCAGTATCTTCATAATTCAGTAATAATAGGTTCATAAAATAAAACATTTAATAGCTTCTTTATTCGAACGAGTGCCATCTGAAAAATAAATAACTAAATAAAAGCTGTAAATCACAAAATACATCATTCATGAAATTTTACATGATGAAAAAACAGCATTAAATTATCACATGAGTTAGAATTTTGTGAAGTCATTGGCATCCATATAATTTTATTTCATGTAGCACAATTATTTTAATTTTGTTCTGTATTGATGAGTAACAAAATCTAAGTTCTTGGTTGCATAGTTTTCTTCTGGATGAGTTTTTTAGCCCTTGGTCCTGTTTAACTCTAGTTAATATATATGCAGTCAAGAAGGTACTAAGGTTAGATCTCGACTTAAACAAATGCCGTTTATGCATTTTTCATGCATCTTATATGTTACATAACTTTGGATGTATGATATTTTAACTGCACAGTAGTAATCTTTGGCTATGAAGCTGTCTACTTCTACAGTGCAACAATGAAAGCTCCTTCCTGACAGTCCATTTGCATATCTGATGAAAAATTCTGATTGTTGTAAAGCAAGATAATTGATTTTTCACATATACTGTAACGCTTTCACTGTTAATTAGCTTGCATGATGTTCTGCTATAACCTAATAGTCAGTCGCTTGCCAGTGGAATGTTAGATCTATGCTCTTTAATTTTGGTGAATCTTTCTATATGTATGCAGGTGGAGAACATGTAAAAGATGAATTTAGAGTTATACTCTTTTAGTAAATAAACCATTGAAGCTGTGTGTTAATGAATTAAAATAAAACTGATTATTTTTGTTTTTATCAATTCTGAAAAATCAAGTAATTTTTTACAAGCAACTTTATAGCTAAGAAGTTTTTTGTATTACAATATTTTAGTTGCCGTAAGGAGAATACAGGAGATAATCGATCACCATGTCCTCGCTTCTGGTGTACCTAAGAGTGCCACTGTGGGAGTTGTTACCTACCCCACAGCTTGTACAAATGGTGCTGTTGGTTCTGCAATGCCTGTTCAAACGAATCATGCTTCATCAGGGGTAAGTATTACATTTTTTAATGCAAAAGATATAGCTATGCATTTTAAAGCTTTTCATAATGACATGACTAGCCATCGGCAAAGCATTGAGGAATTTGATGAGCTAGTATGTTGTACATTAATCATTTCTTCAAACTGTGAGATAACCTCTATTCTGAATCTCTTTTTTCTTTGGTGTCGTATGTTTGTACACAATTTATTTTTGTTGCTGTATTTCAAATTGGGCTTGTCTCCCAATTGCCATTTTTAGGTTTTTGTGCTGAATGTTAAAAAGAATGAAGCCTTAACTACTTGTTAGTTAATGTTTCAGTGAAAGGTGAATTTAAAGATCTTTTGAATGTAACAATTTATAAATCTTTGTTCACTTTTCACTTGAGCATAATGTGTAAGTGATAACTCCACTGATTTTTCTTCACATATCCTGGTCGATCACAGTCTTCTAAATTTTAATTTTTAGGTATTATGGAGGGAAATATTTTCCAGCAAGAAAATAAATTAACTGAAGTATTGAAACATAAATTTTGCAAACTGCATTTCCCCCCCCCCGTAGTGAGTTTAATCTGAATAGCCTTAATCTACTGTAGGCACTTTTAAAACGTTTTATGAAGATTCAACCAATGATTAATTGGTTAGTAATGGTATTAAACTTTGTTTTCAATCAATAAGTGGTACATTACTAAGTTTAGCATTTCTTTCCTACATTGGATTTTCTCTGCATAAAAACGTGTAAGTAAATCCCAAAATGAAATTAACCAAGAACATAAAATTTAGAAATTTAAATTTTAATATACTATACATCTGAATCAAATTATAAATAGTTCAGTAATTTGAATTGCTCATTATAAAGGCAATTTCAATCAATTTGAAGGTTTTTTTTTTTTTAATGGTGTCTCTGGGCAGCACAAAAACATTCCGGAAACTCCCTTTTTCTTTTCATATTTAAAGGTTGGCAGGTTTAACTATTATATTGCACAAAATTATAAAAGTATGTTTTACTTAAGTCAATAACTTGCGTGTTTGTTAAATGATATCCATTTTGCATGACAATAGTGCAATTATCACTGGCCAATGAGAAGCATTTAATAGATGCTGAATATAATTGGCTGTAATCAGTGGGATGGATTTAGTGGATGTTGGATATAAGCAGTTCTAGCCAATAGGAAATATTTAGTGGATGCGGAATCTGAATGACTGTAGCCAGTTGGTAGTATTTAGGGGATGCCTGATATAACTGTGGATGGTTCATAGTAAACATTTAGGTGATGCTGGATATAACTGGTACTAACCAGTAGGAAACATTTAATGGATGCATGCATAATAAATCAGCTAGGCGGCATGTAGCATCTCTGTTAGGTGAATAACCTTTCTGTGCTCAAGTAACCTATCCTAACCAATAGCTAATGTTTGATCAAGGAGATAATTATGTTTGTTTGTGTAAAATCAGAGAAAATAAAAATTCAAGTTTATTGGGATCTTGTAAATATCTGTGTCATAGCCACATTTTTTTTTTTTAATTGTAGGAAAGGCCCCTCAGCAGATAAATTTAGAAATGATAAGCTATAAAATTGGATGTAATTCAAGCACCCTAAAATCTTTTTCTTATCTTCTTTTTAAAAACTGTTTCTTTACACCATTTTGGCGTATGTTTTTTTAAGCATATTTTCGATGATTATTTTCTTTAATTGTATAATTTCAATTTATGATTTATTTTTCAGACCCATTTTGTACAAGACAAGGTTTTCATAGGGCTAGAGCAAGCTCCACCAGAATATCCTGTTCGAGAAAAGATACTGGGCCCTGGTGTGAGTGCATTTACTTCATTTATATGATTAGCAGATATAAATCGAGCATTTATGTGGCTAGTTGATAATGTAGGTTTTTCCAAAACACTATGATTGTTAAAATGTTTAGAAACACTTCAACTTTTCAGTATTTTGCCAGCTCATAAAAATAGAAATCGTATTTTATATGTTGAGTATATGGTACATAAGTATTTTTCTGTTTGCAATTTTTAGCAAACAAAAGTTGTCATTAAATGGTGTAATCTATGTCGTGGGTAAATGTGACATCACAATGTACTCAGAAGATTTTTCCTTTAGTTTTATGGGCTGATGATCCTTCATAAGCTGATTAATTTTTTATTAGGGAAGGATATAAATTAACTATTGTTTCTTAGTTTTTCTGAGTGCTTACATGTTTTACGTGAAAATTGGCAGAAATCCTGCCAAGGATTCTGACAGAAGTTTAAAGGAATAGATCACTTTGTATTCAATTGCATAATCATAAATTGCTCTCTATTTAATTATATAGTCAACAGATGTAAGTTGGCAGTATAGCACATAAAAAAAACTTAAAATAAATCAAAGGTGATTCAATGAAACCTTTATTTATTAAAAGAAGGATTTTTAGTAGTCTGTGTTCTCCTTTGCAGAATTTAAAGTGGGTTACTGAGAATCAGGCATGCATAAAAACAAAACAGATATCTTGTGAAAGTTTTATGATGTCATACTTGTCCATTGCTGGTGTTAAATTGGACTGTTTGGTGATACAAAAATAATTGACAGATATTTATTAAGAAAAGAAAAGACTAGTTTATTAAGAAAAGAGGGACCTTTCTTCTACAGAAGAGCTAGTGATGGTGTATTTTCAAAGTTATGGGATTGGGTATATTGATGCACACATTCAAAACATTGAAATACCTTTGAGTTTGGCAAAATGGCGATATAAAAATACTGCCCAGCTATGCAAAATCTCTTACTGAATTGTATGGCACCAAATTCATAGAGAAGGTGGCTGTTTTTTTTCCTATTTTAAATGCTATTAGGGATTAAAAAATTCTTAATGTTATTTAAAATAGCCAAAAATTGCTGGAATACTCAAAGTTTTATTAAATTCGATCATCAAATAATCTCAAGGCCTGAACTTGTATTTATCGAAGTATTTTATGTGTTATGTTTCTAACTTGTATCCGTTGATTATATACCTGAGGGAAATCTATTCCTCCAGATTTCCACCAAATAGGCATAAATTTTGTGGGAATTCGTTTCAAATTTCACAGTTGACCAGAAAATAGGTGAATATCAATTATTTTTGCATTTATACTTGAAAATATATATGTAAAATGGATATATATGTATAATATGTATGTTTGGATGCATGGGTATTCTGCCATCCATGCTAATTAATTGGTTGAATAATTTGCAAAATCTGCAACTTTTTTGAACAACATCATTATTACTCATTTTCTTCAAAGAGAATTGTAAATAATAATAATAATAATAATAATAATAAAAGTGGTTAGGAGAGGATGTAAAGAAAAGGGATAAGAAGATTGAGGTAAAGGAGATAAATGAAGGAAAGTGTATATATCTTAACCCCTTGATGCGCACAATATTATTTTTATAATTTTTTTAACTAAAAACTCTAGGAATTGAATATTATGATCCTAGAGACAAATAATATATGAATTTAAAAAAAATTACTCTTGCCGATTGTTTTGTGGGTAGTGGTCGCACTGTGAAACCACTGTGCGTCTAGGACTTTAAAACTAACTGAGGTAGTAGGGGGGAAAAAACTTACCTTTCTCCGTGCGCGTTTCCAATAAAAGGCAAAATTTACGAATTTAAAAAAAATGTATGTAAGAATTGCATTATATATAATTTTTGACACTATTTTACAAAGTAAATCGTCTTAAAAAATTAACATTTATGTAATTTTTCTATAACAGTGAAAATATAAGTACATACATAATAAGGATGTTTGGCTAAATGGATTAAAAAAAACTCAGTAAAATAATGATAAAAAAAAGACTAAGTGTTTTTTTTTTTTTTTTTTTTTTTTAAAAAACAAAGTTTTTTTTTTTTTTTTTTTTTTTTTGTGATGCTGTTCAAAGCATGTTTTGTCTTTTTGGTGCATGCATAGACTTACATTGCACGTTTCGCACATGTATCTTGTATGAGGTTTCTTCCTTGTGCTACAAAATGCACACTTCCTGGATCTAAATTTCACTGGTATACGTCCAACGTTATTTAGTTTCTTTTGATCTGGCACATGACATTTTTGGTTTTTTATGTTAATGGGGGGGGGAGGAGCTTGGTTTTTTTTTTTGGCTTTGGTACAGATCGTTCGTTTCCCACTCATACTTATTGTATTCGTATTTCGTCCCAAAATATTCAGAAAATATTTTAAATTTAATTAAAACTTTATGCGATTTTTATTTTTAATTATAGCAAAGTATATTTACATTAAATTTAAACCACAGGAAATAATTTATAAAATCACAGTACTAGTTTGAGGAGCAAGTTTGTTGAGGTCAGAGAAAAGTCTCTGGAAAAGAAAGACCTTTTTACTGGGCAGGTGCATGCATTGTTTAGTAATAAAATAACTCTGTGGTTTCAAAACCTCTTATCTATATCCGGGTAAAAATAAACATTCCTATTTGAGAAGCAAGCAAGCGCCATTGTGAAGAGCAGTGGTTCTCAAGGCACGACCATCGAGCCTCGTGAGCATTGTGTCACAATGCTCTAGTGGCGCAGTGGTCGCGCCCTGAAACCACAAAGCAAATGCTGTACATATAGAAGGTTTTTTTTTTTTTTATATATGCAGTTTGATTATTGCTATTTTTTATTGTTTATGATGGAAATCATGATGTGCGATGAATAACTTTTTAAATTTAAAGTTATTTATATTAATAAAAGGAAGTTATTTTGTCTCATTTAAAACAAATTTTAAAAGACATCTGATTTGAAGCACTAAAAGACCTAAAACATGTATGAATCTGCAGTCATTTTGTGTTATTTAGAGGTATTTTATAATCAGTAATCAATTGATTTTCACTCAAAAATTTCGGAAAGAGGAGAAAAAAATTCGAAAATTGCTGGCTTCAGAGCGTGACCACCCCACGTCAAAGCGTTAATACAGCCATTCCTTGAAGTCTGCCCTTGTGGTCCTCTTAGATTTACAAAAGTGTCCTGTTGTTCGTAAATAAAATTAACAAGATTTTATATCATTTCAGGTTGATGATTCATGTGGTTCATTCAGGTTTTATGTGGGTCTGCCATGAGAAATAAACGTATTTTAGAATGAAACTTGGATTCTCTAATAGTTTTATAAAAAAGTGAAATTTTTTAGTGTTTCTTAACCGTAGAATTTTCTATTTTAGAGAATTATATCGCTATCGGAAAAGAATTATGTACTGATGTAACTTCACACCTTGAAACTATGAAGTCACAATTTGAAACTAAATTTCTAAGTTGTAAATACAACAAATTTTCATGTGATTTTGAAATTAACTAATTATCATTGAATGAAAGAGAGCAGTTAATTGAACTCTGTAATGCCACTGGACTTAAAATGAAATTGCAAGCGGAAGATATTAAATTTCTGAATCTCATTTCCAGTGAAATCTGAATATACTGAACTGTACAGTGGTGTTTTAAAAATTATGATTAGGTCTGCTTCTACATATCTGTTTAAGAAAAGGTTTTCAGTGCTAGCTCATGTGAAAACAAAGAACCAAAACTGATTTGATGTATGTCGTGAGATAGGATTTGACTTAATCCAACATAGATCATTTATATCGTTAATTGTGAGTACCAACATTTTTAATTTTTAGTTAATAAGATAAAACTGTCTGAACTCCAAAAGTCTTGATTTATCAAAACCAAGTACAGCTTTTTCCATACTATACTAAATTAATTAATACTAGTGTAAAATTAAATGAATTTTAATTAATTGAATTTTAAAAGTTTAAGTAAACCGGTAGTGGCATATACCAAACAAATTGCTTTCGAAGAGGGCAATTTTGAGGAATGCTGCATTAATGTAACTTTCAGGATCTCATCTGGTCAGATTTGTGATTGACATGAGCTTGAATGGGGCATGGCATGGAAGTGTTCATAATATGCTTGAAAATGAATGTTGATGCCAATGTGAAATCTAAATGAACAGCCATATATTTGGAAATTTCTCAATTACTTTTTAACATTTCTTTATATTATAAAAAATAAGACTTTTTTTTTTTTTTTTTTTTTTAAAGCCAGTACATTTTTTTAATGAAGCAAGGTTTGTTACATTTCCTCTTACTATATTAGTTTTTTTTTATTTTTATTTTTATTTTTTTTATGGTGTGCTAGATTTTAGTGACAGACAGCATAATTTTTTACTGAATTAGAAATCTATGTTGGTGTAGTTATAATTCTATTAACATAAATTATTTATGTAGGGTTCTTTTCTTCAACACATACGTACTGAAACTGGAGCCACTGTGACACTGAGGGGCAAAGGTTCAGGTTTCATTGAACCAACTTCTGGACGAGAAGCTTTTGAACCTCTTTATATTCATATTACGTGAGTATTATTCTCTACTGTATTTTTTTCCCCAATTTTCCCGTATTTCACTTCCACTTCACTCGAGTTCCCGCCCATGGCATGTGTTTCAATATTATCCTTTTGATGCTTTTCTAATTTTTATTAATTTAGACCATTCTTATTGAAGAAGTTATCATATGCACCACATTTTCTCAAAAATAAGACCCTTCTTTTACATTTTATGATAAGTCTTAAGTAATAAAAATTTAGGCAAATAGTAATTTTGTTGCAGTAATTACAAGAAAGAGAATTTTAGTTTCTTCCTTTCAGAATTTCCATGAAATACCAGTACCATTAGCTGGTTTTCAAGCATATCAGTATAGTGCATAGATTTGCTTAAATTGAAATCGCTGCAGTGGATGTGGCTGTTTATGATTAGGAATAGTTATGCAGTTTATATACATATTGGAAAGCCATTAATCTGTGCTTTACTCAATTAATCTGCAGGTTACTTAATTTGTTCCATTATAGGGCAATATTATCAACAAACTAAGAGTTCTAAATTGCACATGAATGCATTCTGAATTGTTAAAATGCAAAATATTGTTTCTGTCTTTCCATTCCCTCCTCCTACATAGTAAACAATTCCTTGATGCTGAACAAGGTTCATAAAATGTGTCTGGAAACCCAAATGGGCCACATATAGATGTACTTGTAGCAAAATTCAGATGCTATGTAATCATAGTATTAGATTGACTAATAAGCAAGCAGAATTTTGTCATATTTTTTTTATTTATTTCTGTAATTGTAATAATATTTTAAAACCATTTAATTAATTCTTTGTATTCAGCTTTGTTAATTGGTTGATTATATATAACTATTCTTTGATTGGTTCTTTGGGTAAAAAAAAAAAAAAATAAAATAAAAAATAAATAAATAAATAAATAACATTGTTTCAATATTTGGGAGTACTTTTTAATTACAGTCTGTTAGTTATAACACCAAATTAATCAGTAAACAAATATTATATTTCAACAATATCCAGTATATTTTATTTATAATATGCCTTTTGTTACATGAAATTAGTCTGTTGGTTATAACACCAAATTAACCCTTAACTCCCACTGTTGCATTTCTGCAACATGTGATTTATTTTAATTTAACACACTCAAATTTTTTTTTTTAATTACCTACAAATCACTTTATCTGAAGGGAAAAAAAAGGTTACTGCGACGAAATACATGCTAATTTTGTCACTAGATAGGCAGCACAATTTTCCCACAGAAATCGCAACAATTATAAAAATCTCTGATTCCTCAAGAACTGTGTTTTTGCTATAGAAAATAATCCATTATATTTTATGCTTCCTCTTGTTTATTGATGAAAGAAAATTACCAGGTAAGAAGTTTAGACATTTTATGTTCATTTAAAAGAAATTTTGATTTTCTAATAGAAAAAGTTTGAAAGAAATTTGATTTTAATTATATGTTGCAGGTCTGCAACATTGGTCTTTGGTTACCATTTTGACATGGCCAAAAAGCGTATACTAACCCAAGATGAAATTGCTAGATACATGAATAATTTGGGCGAAAATTGAAGTGATTTAAGTGAGGATAGCTCTTCAATAATTCTGCTGATGAATGTTCATTTTTTACCTGATTGTGTGTTATCTTAATGATGATGATTCGGATAGCGACTGTGAAAATAGTGCTGTTTCACAAAATATAATTCAGAATATAAAAAAATCCAATGATGATGATGATAATGAAATTTGATAGAAATATTTCAGTCAGTGTGTGTGTGTGATTATGGCAAAGCCTCGAGAGCTATCTGCCTACAGGGGAGGGATGCCTTCGTGGAGGATTTTCTAAGGAAAACTGGCTTTTATACAAGTTACACATGGGAAAAACCACAAAAACAAACTACCAGTGTTTCAGCGACTTTACCGCTCGGCTGCTGGTGTTGTTTCAGTCAGAGAACCTTTTTAAATTAACTGTTAAGAATAATAAAACATTTTCAAAGAATATTTTATGGAAAAATCAAAACATTTCATTGATTGAAGACGTAATAAAATTCCATGGAGATGACACGCTCCCAAGAGAAATTACGGATTTGGACACTACATACCAATTTTTTAAATATTTATGGACGGAAGAGATCATAAGTAACACTTATGAAGACAGCAAATGATATGCTATTCAAAAGAATCCAAGTAAGCCTTTTGACTATATTAGAGAATGAAGTAAATCAATATTTGGATATTTACATTTATGCATCTCTAGTTCACCTGCCAAACTATAGAGCATACTGGTCAGAAGAGCTTAGATTTGATCAAATTAAAGAAACAATGAAGAAATCTGAAAAGTAAAAAATAATATAAAAAAAAATCTAATGAATTTACAAAAATTCAAATCTGAAGTTGCATCATGCTTATGCAAAATGGGGGTACGATCGAAATGCTAAAGAGGAAGACCTAGTAATACTTCAATTAGAACAAATGTCTCAGACTCAAAAGATGCAAAGGGACTGCCCAATCTGTTCCATGTAAGGACATTCATAGAGATGGTATAAATCATTGGCCAATATGGTCAGAAAAGAATACGGTGCAAGTTTCCAAACTGCAAGAGCTACACTAAAATTGAGTGCGAAAAGTGTAAAGTAGGGGACTTTTTACAACAAAGTCAATAACTGCTTTAAAAGTTTTCATTGTATGTAAGGCTAAAGCAATTTATAACTATGAATAATAAAATCCTCATATAAAAAAATGTTTTGTAATTTTACAGCACTACTGCGCAATGTTGCACTTCTGCAACAAACAAAAAAAGGACTGAAATTCAATTTAAAACTACTTAGTTTTTTTAAAAATATTTTTCCCTTTTATTATTTCTTAAGTAGCTGATATAATTTTTTCATAGAAATTTAAAAAATTGGGAAGTTAAGGGTTAAATCAGTAAGCAAATATTATATTTCAACAATAGCCAGTATATTTTATTTATAATATGCCTTTTTATTACATGAAATTGATTATAAATTTATGGAATAAGCATATTTTTCAATTAGTACAGCATGGCCTAAATAAACCTGCCCTGGAAAAGTATTTTTGGAATTTTGGGAAAATGCACTCTGAGCAGCAGACAGATCATTGGAAATTGGAACAGACATCGTTTAGTGATTAGTTGAATACAACACAAAATGGTGCAAATGACAAAACAACAACTATTCATTAATGGGTGTTATGCAAAGCTCAGGTCATGACAAACATGTACTGAACTATTTCTACAAGAGATTAAAAAGTGTCTTGGCAAATTCAGCAAAATATGGTGGAAAACTGGTAGCAAAATATGCATTGTAAGAATGGTCTCTGTAGTGAAGGCCATTTATTCTATTCTCTAATAAGAGTAAATATGGTATCAGAATCATGGTCATCTTCCAGGTTGGTTTTATTTTGGCCAACCTGTAGTACCTAGTGTTAGTCAGTTGTTTGTTTGAGAATTTAATTTAAGTGTACAAAAGTGTTCCTGTTGTTCAAGCAAAGGCCTTTGATGATTGTATTGGATATTTGCAAACTTTTACAGATTTTTTTGTAATTCTTATGAACATTTTCCTACTTTTATAATGCTGCATGTAAAATTCATTTTTTACAAATTTTTGCATTTTTTTGTAGTGGCCCACAAGTATTGTACTAGTTTGAGAATTTTTAGCCAAACCTGTTACTTTTTAAATGCTCATTTTTGACAGATAATCAGTTTACCTTCTTTTTGAAATTAAAAATAATGTTATTTCCTTTTTGTAATATGAATTCTTTTGGTGTGCATTTTCATGTTTGGCAGCTTATCAATATTTTGGTGATTTTAAAACCAGCTTTACAAAAATTTTGATTTCATAATTTGTGAATTTAATAACAGTTTTTATCAAGCATGATTAGTTAATAGGAATCATTGAAATAATGAGAATATGTTCAAATTATAGTCTTTTAGAAAAAAAAATCTGATGTGTACACCACATGACTTCCTTGTACAGAATATTAAATGATACGCTTTTTTTCTTGCATTTTATTTAAACTTATTAGATTGAATTAAACCTACTTCGCCGAAAGCGCATAAACCACAATAGAATAAATGCATTCTTTAAAATTCACTTTGTTTACCATAGCGAAACTCTGGCGCTAAATTTACTTAACAGTATTATATTTCATTCATATTATAACTCAGAAGGCAAAATGTATATCATTTAAAGAATTATCTAATCATTGCCATATGTTCTATTCAAATACTATAATAAAGCTAGAACTATGTATAAAAGAAATTAAGCAAACAAAGCAAAACAGAAACAGTTTTTCACAGACGATTGAGTATTTCTCATTTAATTAATTCAGCTCTCACTTCGCGAGAAGGCAAAAATACATAAAAACTCAAAATATTTATATTAAAAATTACGAAGTAAATCTCAACCGCTTATTTCCTCGAAAAAATTCCAGAAAGAATTAAGCATGATTTAATTGGCAATAATAAATGAATGCGTTATCTTTGTTGTTGCGAAGCTAAGTTTCTCTAGATTGGCAACAAATCCACTAGTCTCCTGTTTCAAATGTAAACATCAACGGCCGCCATTAAAAACAGACTTAGCGGCAATTTTAAACAAACTTTAAAATTGCTGATAATTCTAAAAATATTGCACACAGATTTACTAAAAGGCATAAAATCCTTAACCGGAAGATAAAACAACATAATTCAATCATTTTTTAAAGCAAAAAATGTACAATTTACCAAACATATAAGAGTAAAGAAACTGAGATCACTGAGCCGGGTAATAGAGTGGATATATATATAAATATATTTATATACATTTGGTGCTGCCGATTGCAACCAAAATATGAGATGCACATCTACATATTATACCAGTCCTATATACAAAATGTCAACGTTCTGAGGCTAGTCGTTTTTGAGTTATGCGAGATACGTACGTACATACGTTCGTACAGATGCCACAAAAAATTCTCTTCAGAATTAATTTTGAAGCAATTTTATAATTTTTTTGAAGGAAAAGACTATTTTATTCTGTCCTTACGTACAGATCTGATGCAAAAACATCGTTAAATTGCATTCGATAGCGGTAAAAATGGATATTTTCGTTGAAATATGCTGCCTGAAACTTTTCGCGATTACAATACTTCCTTTTTACTTCGTACAAGGAAGTAAAAATAGCTAAATGACTGAAGCTAATCTTTATTTCTTTCTGATGTATTTTAAAATGTTTTGTTGTAAAGTACTTTGATGTCCAGTTTCAGTATTCTATTGTATAACTTCTTTCGTACATTGCTGGTAATGTATGTATTCATACCAAAAGGCTATTTTATTGCTTCACTGCATTTATAACTTGAGATTTCCTTTTTCTTTTTGTTTCTAGGCATCCAAAAAGTGAAGGCCTACAAGCAGCAAAGGCATTGGCAATAAACTTAGTTGAAACAGTAAGTATATCATTAACTTCATATTTCTCTAAACCTTTTTTTTCTTTTTTTCAAAAATTCATCACATACAGTGCATACTGAAAAACTTTTTTGTACAATTCCAGGCTCATGTCGAGTTTGCGCAGTGGCAGCAAACGCAACAGCAGTCTGTTCTCCAACCACTGACATCCGTTATGCTTCCTCAAGCGACGCAGGTTGCATATCAGAATCAAGGTATGGAATTTATTTGTCCTTCTTGGCAATGTAAAAACAGGGTTACCCACACCAGCAGCCGAGCAGTTAAGTTGGTAATCATTGGTAGTTCGGTCTGAGGTTTGAATCCTGGCTAAGGGGCTTGACTGCATGGATGTTTTCATGGTTTTCCTCATGTGTTGTAACATGTAGCCGAGCCAGTTTCCTTTAGAAAGTCATTCACAAAGGCATCTCTTCCCCAAGGTAGATAGCCTTTGAGTGCTTTGCCATAATCAAATAAACTAAACCATTTCTAAAAACAGGGGTATCACTTACATGTAAAATTACTCTTTTCAGAAGTGGGGGGGGAGGAGTTACGATGCGGCACGCAATAAACTGGAAGTTGATCTGTCAGCACTATCCTTATCTTCAGGGCAGATCTTTTTATTTTATTTGGCTTATAATTCCTTACTAAATGTAGTATTTCATCTTGATGTACTCCATCTTTGATATGATTTAAATCAAATTCCTCGTCATTATAAATATCACGAATACACATCAAATAGTTTTCTGATTTCGACTTTGCGTAATGTATGCTTTATGCATGCGCTCGTTGAAGGAAATGTTTAATAAAGTAAACAAATAAATATAAAGCTTTTTTTTTGATAAATTTTGATACCCTTTAGATCATAATTGCTCTTTATTTCATAAATTATGGTTTCATATTTTTAATTTTATAATTTCTGCATGCCATCTCACCAGATTTAAACTGATGATATATAATCCGGAAACGTCGAAGTCCCAACGAGTCCGGATTAAAGTCTTTTGACTGTATTATTCTAATAGTTCTGAAAAAGAATTTGCATAAGCATGTGGACATTTTGAAAACATTTAAATTTAATAAAAAAAAGGTGTTTCCGTAATGTATTTCTATTTATCTCCTGCTAAATAGTTTTAATACAGGTTTCTAAAATTCGTTTGTGTCAAGCCATATACCTCGGTAAAATCTAGTGAACTTTGTTTTTAAACTTTTTTAATCGTAAATCTTGGTTTACTGTTTTATTTATTGTTGCCTTAGATACATTTAGAGGCCTTATAATTGATTTCTGTGTCAATGGATTTTCTCTTGTTATCAACAATTTGACTGTAAAAAAATTAGAAGCAGTACATGCCTTTTTTGGGTATTCGTTTGGAGTCTGCTTTCCACGTAGAAGTAATGATTGATGGATTTTTCCTTTTCAATTAATAATGTTGCTTATTTTGCACTTAAAAATTTTAATGCCGTTCATTTCACCACATTTTTTAATTATGGAATAGGAATATTTCTCTTTGGAAAGCACAAAAATATAGCTTTCAACCCATAACTTGTTTACATTTTGAAAGAAGAATAACTTTAAAAGTAGCAGATGCTATTTCTCATTTCAAATAATACACCATTTCTAGAAATGTTTATTCCAAAACATTGTGATTTTTTTTTAAATTCTTTATTGAAATTATTCTATAATCGTATAAATACCCTCTTTTCAACTTTAAACTTTTCTTCTTATCAACTTTCATCTAAAGTTAATATTTGTTTAAATACAATTATGATGTATAAGGCATGTTTTTTTTTTTTTTTTTTTTTTAGAATAAATAAATGAACAAGTGAAAAGAACAGGAGAGTCACAAATTATAGATAAATTTAACAAAAACTCACCACTTTATTTATGTAGTTAATTAAAAGGCTTTTGTAATTTGTGTGTCATTCCAAAGGAAAGATAAGAAGAAGGTTCAAAGGTAGAATTTTGTACCTTCGATACAACTTTCCGACAGAAATGATTCGATGAACATATTCCTGTGTTAGAGTACCTGCAGGAATCTACAATTGAATCAACAGGTGGATTCTTAGATTTAATTTTCAAATTGTTTTGTCTCTGCATGTTATGCTGTGTGTGTAAGCATTGCCATCGCTGTGACAACATTGCACAAAGAATTTTGCCATTGTATGTTAGATATATTGGTTGTATTTTAAATTGTTGTAGAGTTAATCATTATTATTACTGAAGAATCACTGACAAATGATAATGTTTTGCAGTTTAAATAACATTCAGAACTTGAGATCAAGGATTGTGAGGACTGGAAAGTTTTGTATTTTATAGATCTCCTCTTGCTTTGGGTGTGTGTGCGTGCACGTAATTTATTTACATTTTTCAGTTTCCAAATTTTACCTTAAACTTGGATTGTTAACATATAAAAAGTAACCAAAAAGAATTATTTTGTCAAGGTTTATCAAATTTAAAACTATTACGTTTTATAAATAAATTTATTTACAAAAAAATGCCAGTGCAAGGAGAAAATGTAGTGAAGGAGAATAGAGATAAATATTAGAGGAACTTTTTGTGGAAATAAAGAAACCTTTTGTAAATATTAATTAAAAAAATATTTTTCATTATAAAAGATACATCTCTCAGCAAAATTACTTTGTAGTACTAAGATAAATAATATACTGTTTATAAAATCACTGTCATTCACTTTCCTTGAACTAAATTTCCTTTGTTAATTCTTCTACTAAGCCAAAACATAATACTGTAATTAATGTAGCAATTAAAATTGCAGAAAACTTTACTGCTGTGGGTTTTGCAATCAGTGTTATTCGTTTATTTACTTTCATATAAAAGCGTAAAATTAATATAAGAGCACAAATTACTTTGAAAGTAATTTAAATAGTGGATGTAGATTTTTTTCCCAATGCAAAATATATTTCACTGCATATTTACAAAAAGATTTTTTTAACATCCTCCAAAATTTTCCTATTTATCCCTTTCCACATTCATGTTTTATCCCTTCTACTGATGCTATTTACACAGGATAAAATTGTATTTTAAAAAGTAATAGTTTTATATTCTATAAATCTGAAGTAGTTTTTGAGGTATATATATAGTTTGATTTGTGATTTATGTGCAAATTTTCTAGATTTAATATAAAAATTAAATGTTAAAATGTAAACAAAACTAAAGACATGACCTATAATCTGCAAAATTCTCTGATCTGGACAGTCTGTGGTCCCATAATGGAAAGATTATCAAAATTTTATTATATTATAAATTTTGGGATTCGATTTATTTCTTATTAGGGTTTTGCTAGGCTGCAGAACTAGCAAGAAGAAGAATTGGTAAAATATGATACATAAAAAATATAACTCTCTAAGAACAATACACTGATTGAAATTGAATATTAAATCATAAAATTGATTGGTTACTCAACTGTTTTGATTTGGTAAAATATGAGATATGTTCAGCCAAAATGCTGTGTATGTTATGTAACATCTTGTTTAATGTTTTTGTTGTTAAACAAACTAGTAATTTTGCAGTTAAAATTTTCATTGGAAAAAACTAATATTTTATACAAACTCTTTTGGTTTAGTTATGGTGACTCCAGCCGTATTGCCGGTCAACCCTGGAGCTCTTTCGACTGGAACTGGAGTTGTTGCCACTGGAATACAAATACCAGCACCTGTGTCTGCTGCACCTGGTAATTTTCTTTTTGTATTCAGTTTTTCATTATTTGTAGAACCCCCTATTTTAAAAATTTTTATTGCTTTAATTGACCAATCTTAAGTCCACTGGAAGTCCAAATTTTAAGTTTTTCCTTTATTTATTTTATATTTTATGCAAACTAATGAAATTTTGATTAACAAACTCGGTAGTTTAAAAGCAGTTTGTTGCCTCTCGTCAAGGCAAGATATTTATGTTTCAAATTTAGTCAAAAAACTTAGTGATTTAAAAGAGATATGTTGCCACTGAATATTTGTCTTCATTAAATGTTATTTAATCAACAAACATATTTAAAAGAAATGTGTTACCACTACCCAAAATATTTTTGTTGCCACTTGGCAAAGTATAGGTTATTTAATTTTTATTTCCAATTTAATCTGTTATTGATTAATAAACAGTTTAAAAGCTGGAACCATGAAATTATCTTACTGCCAAACAAAATCAACTAATCTAATCTTTTGTGCTGAATGAGACATTGCCTTTGTAGATTGCAGAGAGGCAGTTAGTCTGTTAAATTAAATATCACAAGTAATGCAACTTTACTTTAAACCTTATTTTTTTATTTTGTACCTTAAACTGTATATCTGATAAGTTTTGTTGGTTGTTATTTTATTATTAGAAATCTTATTTTCTGATAAAAGTGGTTACTCACAAAATAGTTGAAATAGCTCGCACTGGTCAATAGGGTTTAAAAAAATGGAACTCTAAATATTTGAAATAGCTATTAGGCCAGTGACACAGAATATATAAATTAAAGAACTGCATCATAATTACACAAAATAGGTTACACACCAATAATGTTGAATACATTAGTAAGTTAACTGCATTGTAAATAGGTGAAATAGCTTACAGACCAGTGAACACGAATGTGAGTATAAATTAGAACATAAATTTTATCAGTGAGCAATATGCTATTTAGTTGAAATAGCTTAGAGACCAGTGGTATAGAATATGTTAAGAACTAATAAGTTTTATTTATATAATTCAAATATTCAGGTTTGTGTCTATTTTTCTCTTTAAAATTTAGTGCTGTAAATTCCACTTACACATTTGTTCATGGCTATTTTGATAACATTAAATGATGACAAAAGTATCTTTCAAATTAACAATAAAATTAACCGATTTAATATAAGTAGAAACATGTAAATACTTTTACTGCATTTCAAATAGTGAAAAAAGTCATTACTAATACGAGGGCTATCCAGAAAGTAGATTACGTTTTGGAATAAAAAAATAAACAAAGTATAGGAAACAAATTTTATTATATACAGATGAAAGCCACACTCAAATACTACTTTTCTACATAGTCACCATACAAATTAAGGCATTTATCGTAGCGATGTACGAGCTTGGAAATTCCTTCATCGAAAAATTCGGCCGCCTGCGCCTTCAACCACTTCGTTACCTCTTCTTGCATCTCTTGGAATCCATCTTGCACAAAACTTGTGGTAACCAAGCTTTTCGCTGATGATTTCGTGCAACAAACTTCGCAAAATTTGTGGAAAACTCAAAGAAAGTTCCGTTATTGTGAAATTTCGATTTTCACGGACTTTAGCATCGACTTTTTCGAGAAGTTCGGCGGTCACTATGCTGGGTCTCCCACTTCGATCTTCGTCGTGAACATTGGTTCGGCCATTTTGAAATCTTATGACCCACTGACGCACTCCACCTTCAGTGATAATGTTGTCCCCATACACTTCACGAAGCTGCCGATAGATTTCTATCGGTTTACAGTTTTTTTGCAGTCAGAAACCTTATTACTGAGCGCACCTCGCAGCTCGCGGGATTTTCAATTAACGCAGACATTTCAAACCGTCACAGTATCTGAACGGAGCACAGCACGAACCTCTCACTAGCACGGCTAGATGCAGACTGAGCTGCGCAACGCTCTGACCCCAAGATGGCCGCGCTAGCCCCGCCCCTAGCGGACACAGACGGAAACGTAATCTACTTTCTGGATAGCCCTCGTAGATTATCTTCCATTGTTGTGCAAAAGCTCACATATGAACCATTTCTAATGTTTCTGGAAATTATTTGACTAATACTGTATCCTAATCTTAATAGTTGAGGGCATCCCTTATATCAGCTTATAAGGAATTTACTGATTTCATCATTTTCAGAAAGTTTATCATATATGTGCTTAGATTTATTTCAGAAAGCAACTGGCAGATTTCTTCATCTTAAGAAGTTGAGTGTCTGTTCACCTCCAAATTCAAAAAATTATTCAAAATCTATGCCAAACTAAACAAAAAGTGGTCCACTTTAATTTTAAATTGTTGACTAAATTTTTTTAAAAAACAAGCAATTTGGTCATTTAATCTCTTGCTTGGTGACATTTCTCAATCTTCTGGCTGTTTATAAAATTTGTTTTTGCTGTGTTTGGTGAAATTACATCAGTTTAAAAAAAAAAGTGTCTTCTATAATTTTTGGTAATATTGAGCAAATTGTTGATCACAATACACAATGTATTGGCAATTTGATATCATTATCCACAATTTCTACTGTAGACACTTTGTTTGGCAGTAATTTAAAAAATCTGATTATCATTGACATGAAATTCGCAAATATAGATTGCATGTAATAAAGTGAAATAATAATGTTTGACATACAATTTAAGATATCCTTTTTAATGGCTTTATACCACTTTTTATTTATCTGTACAACATCAAGATGCATTGAATATTATATATTCCAAAGCCAATCAAAAAAGTGGAATACAAAGTAATAAAAAGGCAGTTATTTACAGAATTTTAAATTAATTTCAGACTAAATGTTTTTGTTTGTAAATTGTACCAACCATAATTTAAATGTTCTGTTCTAGGTGCAGCTCTCACTGCAGGAATTCCGAGTTTGATGCATGCAAGTGTGCCAGCTCTTGTCTCTCCTGTATCTGTGGTGTCCTCTGTTCCTGTGTCTGTACAGGGTAAGACTATTTTGATGAAATTCGATCCTGGATTTATTAGGGTTATACCAAGGATGATATGCAAAGCTTTTTTGAACAAATTGTTTAGCTCATTATAATAAAAGGAGAGAAAATTGGTATAGATACTTGATTTAAAGTATTGGTAAAAATTCAAATACCGTATTTCCTTATATAATTTTACTTCCAGCTTTTTAGCACCAGCCTCACGGGATTTTTCTCTTACTGGATGCGTTCTGAGAACAAGTTTCCCTAAATTCAAAATGGTTTCATCCACATGGGTGATTCTTTTCACCTTACCAACAAAGACAAAACCTCGCAGACTATGTGCAAAGGTTGTGTTGAAAATTTCCATTCTGTCAAACTTTATGCCAGCCTAATACAAGAACTTACCTGTCACAACAAACAAAAGCAAACTGACGTTCATTCTACTATTTCACCAAGTCCGTTGCTCATTTCCATTCTCTACTTATTTATGGATGGTTTGAGGTCCAAGGAGCAGCAGAAACAACAATAAAAATGGGTGAGATTTAAGTTATAGGGAAGTAGAAATGAAGATATTGTATACATAATAATGTTAATATTACTATGTACTCTTATTGGCATGTAAGTTTCTTAAAAGAACCCACCAGTGGTCAAGCAATAAAATGGCTGAGTGTTGGTAGTTCAGTCTGGGGTTTAAATCTCGGCAAACAGGAGGGCTGCGGGAACATTTTTGAGGTTTTCTTCATGTATAACAAGTATACAAGCCAGTTTTTAGTAAATCCTCCATGAAGGTAACCCTCCTCAAAAGCAGGTAGATCTCAAGTGCTTTGCCATAATTGAATAAACCAGCCAAACCGGTGTGTAGTTCATCCATGACTACTTTTGTAACTTATGTTCTTACTGTAACCACGTCTTTAAGAAATTAAATTATTTGAATAATTTCCCCCCATAGATTTTTGAACATTAAAATTAGTAAAAAAGAAAAAGAAAGAAAGAAAATGCATTAGCAAATAGGGTAAGCCTTTGCAGGGAAAAATTTTTCCCTTATTTTCAAAGTAGTTTCCAAATTTAAAAAAAAGTCAGTGGGACGGTTTTGAGAGATTTTTCTGTTGTAGAACAATATGCATCAAACAGTTTTCTGTGAAAAGGTATATTTTCTAACATTACCTGTTGGTTATTAGTAAATGCTTTGTTCTCTCTTTTTTCTTAAACAAATGTGTTCTTGTTTTCAAAGTAAATATTGTCAATAAAAGATTTTCAAAACATGCTGTTCTACTTTATTTTATTTTATTTGAATAATTTCCCCCCATAGATTTTTGAACATTAAAATTAGTAAAAAAGAAAAAGAAAGAAAGAAAATGCATTAGCAAATACGGTAAGCCTTTGCAGGGAAAAAATTTTCCCTTATTTGCAAAGTAGTTTCCAAATTTAAAAAAAAAAGTCAGAGGGACGATTTTGAGACTTTTTCTGTTGTAGAACAATATGCATCAAACAATTTTCTATGAAAAGGTATATTTTCTAACATTACCTGTTGGTTATTAGTAAATGCTTTGTTTTCTTTTTTTTTTTTTTAAACAACTGTGTTTTTGTTTTCAAAGTAAATATTGTCAATAAAAGATTTTCAAAACATGCTATTCTACTTTATTTTTTGTTTATCAAACTGATTTAAGAGATTTTTTATGTTTAGAAAAAAATTACTGCAACGAAAATGAGCTGATAATAAAATTATGTTTCTTCATTGGAAATACCAAGTTGCAATCTTTACAGAGAAAACTGTCTGGCATATTTTGTTCTATAATAAAAAGGTCCATTTTTTTACCCCCCCCCAATATTTTTGCCTTTATTTCTCCCTTTTGCAAATCAGAAACTTCTAAAGGATTTTATTAAAATAAATAATTTAAGAAGTATCTTGTTTATCCAAATAGGTATTCCTTCTCCGACTGTCATCACCTATCCGACCTATGTGGCCAACACAAATTCCGTTATAGCGAGACCAGCTGCTTCCGTTCTGGCTCGACCTGCAGCGCCTGCAGTCAGTATAATCGGGGTCATGCCGACAATGTCCGCCACGGCTGCTTACAGTGCCGCACGGCAGAGGCCTCCTTTTCAAGCCCATCAGATTGCATTTTCTCAGCCTGTAGTTTATGCGAATGTGCCTGTATCTCAAGTAAGCATAATCATTTGAAAAGCAAAGTTATACCCTTCTCTTCCCTTTACATAGAGATATAAAAATATATGAATCTGAAACTGTTCCTCTTCTTAAATTTAAATTTGATAACAGATTTTTCTTATGCACTTAAGGGGCAAAAACAAGTAGGAAGGCAGTAGATATCCAGTAACATCCATTATCCAACTAGTGTCCAGAAAATTAAATACAGTAAAGTGTTTTGATAAACTGCACACCTCGTGACAAAAGGTTGTGCAGATTGCTCAATTTCACAGATCATAGGACGTAGCTTTCTGAATTTCGTTTACATTAATAAATGCACTCTGCAGTTATTCTTTAACATGGTAATGTGTTTTGTGTGAGGCCACTTCCTAGAATTAATAGAGGATTTTAACATGCTTAAATAGAGAATGTATAGAATAATCACATTTTCTATGTGTGCCCTCCTATTTTAAGTGAGCTAACAATTGGAACAGCTTCCAGCTAACAATAGAAAATCACGCTACTAACAACTTGAACAACATTCAGCTGATAATCAGAATAACATCTGGCTAACAGTATTTGGCTTACAATTTGGGGGGGGGGATCTTGCTAACTGTGGGAAAATATCCAGCTAGCAATTGGAAAACCATCCAGTTAATGATCGGAACATCTGACTAACAACTGAAAAGGCATCCAGCTAACAGTTAGAAAAATCATCCAGCTAAATAGTTCGAAAAACATCTAACTATTGGAATATCACCCAGCTGATAGTTAGGAAATCATCCAACCAATAACTGGAACAGTATTCAGATAACAATTGGAACAATATCCAGATATCAATTGGAAAATCGTCAAGCTAACAAATGGGAAAAATCTGAGGGTAGAGTCCTACAGGCAACTGATGCAAATAAATTTTGTCACACTGGCTCTGCTTTTGCAATAAAAAGTATAGGGAATACCAATTTTTATCACGCCTGTATCAATTCTTTTTTCACAGATGGCAGCTCAATACTTGTAAGTTGATTAAATAACAGCAGTATGTAGAATCAGAATATTCTGTTAGAACATATTTTGAAAGGATGCAGTTTCAGTGCCCATTGCTTTTTCACGTTTAATGTTTGTAAAATGAGTAGTTCAAGTGAACAAGAGGATTGAAGTCTTGAAGAATCGGGAAGTGATTCTTTTTTTCAGATGCTTTTGATTCTGAAGACAGTGACTATAGTGATGCTATCGTGCAACTTTTACCAGGGCGAAAATGGTACTAAATTATGCCATATGTCCCAGATATTTGTCCTCCTCGTTTTCAGTTCAGTTTGTTGCTTAAAATTAATATTCCATTTCAAGACAGTGCAGTTGTTTTACAATATGATGAGCATTTTATAAATTATTAAGTAGTGGATATAATTGTAAAAGAGACTAATTGTTATGCTTAGCAATCAGGTAATGTTGTTGGGAAAAGAAAATTGAAAGAAGAGAATGGAAACCCGTATCGGCACATGAAATGCATTTGTTCCTTGCGCTTTCATTTTTACTAGCTATTATAAAAAAACCTGAAGGAAGCATGTATTGGGCTAAGAAAATATCAGTAGAAACTCCTGTAGCGTATTTTGCAGTATTTAACTAAATAATAGATGAGCTTCTTAGTAAACATAAATTTTATTCTCAATTCACAAAGATAGTTTAAATAGAATTCTATTCATTACAACTTCACACTACAGCTTACTATTACAGTTTCTTTCTCTAAATTTTCAGTTATCTACTAACTGGTAAAACTTATAATGAATTTTTTGACATTGCTTAGCAACTGTTACAAAATACAGACAATATGAAATGTGGCTTTGCCACTCCAATAACAAGGATAATTAATAAAATATAATAATTTGTTAAATAATGAAGTATTACAATCCTTTTTTCTGTAATATCATGTAATGAATACTGTGAAATCAAAAATTACTTACATTTTGTGAACAATGATTCTTATGATCAAGAAAATAATCCTAACTTGAAACTACAAAATTTGGCCTATCTGTGAGCATCTGAATAAAGTGTATCGAAAAATAATTATTCCAGAAAGAGATATTACCATAGATGAAAGGCTGATATTGTACAAAGGACATTTATCCTGGCACCAATACATACCTTCAAAAAAAGCAAAATTTGGTATTAAAACATATATGCTAAGCTAAGTTCTGGTTATATATGGTCATTTATCATACATACTGGGAAAGGTAATTTGTTTCATACTAAATTCTGATCTCTGTCAGTACCTTCACAAGTTTATGATTCTGATGTTGCCATTATTGAAACAAGGCTACTTATAATACTTCACCAGAATTATGTGATATTCTTTGGACTTATCAAACAGATGTGGTTGGAACTGTTAGACAAAAAGGAAGGAACAATGTTATCATCTTTTCGTGTTTCTGAAACTATTGAAGTAAAAAACTGAAAACAAAATCAAAGGTAATAATTGACTGCAATAAAACATTTGTAAGTGTGGAAATTGAAATGTGTTTCCCCTGAAATTACCATAGTTTTCGTTAAACTTTTTATACTGATGGGCCACCCGATCTTCTTGTACCTATATGAATCAATTTACGTCATTAACCCATTGCTACTTTGTACATAGTCCACATAGATAGTCTGTAAGGAAACATTTGCCAGGGTTTGCACTTTGGTTTTCAATCAGAGTTACAAACATTTTCAGGGTTTGCACTTTGGTTTTCAATCAGAGTTATAAACATTTGTCAGGGTTTGCACTTTGTTTTTCAGTCAGAGTTATCTGGAAGTAGAACGTAAAACAAAAAGTAAAATATTAAAAGAATTCACTAGCAGATTTAAAAACACTTCTTGTAACATACTCTTTTTATCTGCACGTACAATTTAAATTTCAACACATTCTCATGCTCTTCAGAAGCTATTGCCACACTGTCAAAGATAAAATGTGAATCTGCATCTCAGATAACATTGAATTTGTCATGAGGTATCAGTTTGTGAAGATTATTTAACAAAAGTTACTGTAAATAAGCAGTAAGAATTGGGAATATTTTTTTAACAATATGCAACAAAAATGATATCTATAAATAACTCAGGGAGAATAAAGATATAAGATATATGTTTTTTTAACACACGAGGAATATTTTAGATCTGAGTCTGTAAACTGGGGTCGTGGCACCTCCAGCAGGGGGCCGCCAAAAATTTTAGCAGTTTTGATATTTCTTTAACTTATTATATTATAATAATTTTCCGGTTACCAAATATTTTTACACAATGTATCTGAAAATAGATAAAGATAAGACAGTGCCGATAAAGAAAAAACAAAAACTTTTCGATGCATCCATTTATAACATAAACTTTCATTTTACTTGCTTTATATGTGATGCTGTCATTTCATCTGTTACTTATTTAAAATTTTCACATTGTTCTATATCTTAAAATTAGTACAGTACAAGTGAAAAAATTGTCAGTTTCACTCATGCGTGTGTCGGATTTGCGCATTGCTTATGGGGTCCCACAAAATTTTCATAAATATTATTGGGTTGCGAAGAAAATCTCTGATGAAAAGGGGTCGGGACTGAAAAAAGTTTAAGTAACTCTGTTTTAGATTACCAATATCACTAGCAGAGTAAACTCTTAAATGCAGCTCGACTAACTCTTTGAACTAAGTCAGAACTAAAGCTAATTTTTGTGACTCAAACAAGGTGCCTTATGTAGAGGAAATTGCTCCTAGAGTTTCAAGAATATATTTTCCCCAAAATTTCCAGAAAGTCTGCCAATTTGGCAAAAATTGCCATATGTCTGAAACTTGCCAATGAAAATTGTCAGTTATGTTAGGGCAGTTTTTGCTTCTGTGTTTTTTCTTGTTTTCAAAATCTGAACATTTTTGCAACAGAACCGTAAGATCTACAATTCTATGGAAGAAATAAGCCCTTACGTGCAGTGACTATAAATCCAATTACACACAAAATAATCCTAAAATTGTCACCTAAAAAGCAACAACAGATAACTTATTAGAACCTATACATAACATTACAAAAATGGAATCAAATAGACTCAAATATTTACAGAAATTTACCACACTTAGTTCATGGTGTATGTTTAGGGAAATTCAACATTTTGCATTTGGCATTTGTAAAATAAAACAAGATCCTTCATCTTGAAAAGATTAGAAATTTATGTTTACGTATTTCTCCAGTGGTGGAAATGCAGAAATCGTATTCTGTGACAGAAACTTTTGTTTATGAACTTTTTGTATATGAGTTCTATTTTGTATTATTTTAATATGCAATAAAATTATATTTACAACTTTTTGTCAATCAGGCAAGTCTGACTCAGACTGCTGTTCCTCCTACCTCTGTGGTGATGACAATACCCGAAACAGCAACGTATCCGTTGCCGTCTCAGTTTTCTCATCCTCCTCCTCTCCACCAGAGGGAGTCAGACCTCCTCAAGCATAGATATTACAATAATAGTATGGGAGTCAGTTTGATACCAACTTCCAAGACAGAAATTTCACCCTGGTGAGTATCAGATGCCACTTGCATGAACTAAATTTGTTAAAACAATTAACAATAATAATAGTCTATTAGTATTTTTAAAAAACATGTTACAAGTTAAATAATTATAAAAAAGCGAATAGTTCAGAAGAATACTAGGGTGAGTGTTAGTTTCTGTCTGAATGTTGTTAAAACAGTCTGTTGAACTCGAAAGAATGTTAGGATGAAAATTGGTTGCCATTATAATCTATTGGTATTTTTAAAGGTCATAACACATGTTAAATAATTACAGAAAAATATTCAAAAGAATATTAAGATATCAGTTGCCATTTAAATAAACTAAATCTTATTAAAACAATTCATAAAAAAGTTTAAAAGATTAAGCAGTTAGAAATATTAGGTTTTAGTGTTTAAAAGAGTAAGTATCAGTTGAAATTTGAATTGAATAAATATTGGTTTAAAAAAATGGCTCAACAGCCCTCAGTTAGCTATGGCCTGCAGTGCTCTTATATCTGCTTTGTAGACTGTGGGCTCCAGGGTGAATAAGCATCTAACCTGGACAAGGGGTCAGCTGGTCGCAGGACACCCCCCTCCCAGTGTTTAATCCCCAAGCAAACTTGATACTTAATTTATCGACTCACTCAAAGGATGAAAGGCTGGGTCAACCTTGCCCAGTCCGAGGATCGAACCCCAGACATGTGATGCTGCTGCATAACATGCTAACCACTGGTCCTCTAAATATTTGTAAAACTGAATGATAATAAATTTGTATATTGCATATTAATTTATTGAAAAGTTATAGTTGAAGAGAATATTACAGTGAATGTCAGGTGCCATTTGCTTATTTTAACAACTGATTGTTAAAATAATTAATAGTATTGATATTTAGCATTTTTAAAGGTCTTGCTACATGTGAATGATGATAGAAAACTGTGTCAGTTGCCATTTGCATTAAATGTTGGCAAAGTAATTAATCTGTTGAGTTGGAAAGAATATTAGATTGAATATCACTTTCCATTTGCATTAACTGAATAGTTAATAACCAATCAATGTGTTACATGTTGGTAATTATATAAAAGAGAAGAATATTTGGTGAGTATTGGCTATCATTTATTTGCATTAACTAAATGTTCTTAAAATAATTGATAGTAATAATAATAAATCAAGTTTGTAAGAATCATGATACATGTTAAATCATAATAGAAATGAGATAGTTCTAAAAATATTAAAATGAGTTCACTTGCCATTTTCCTTAATTAAATGTTGCTAGGCAGTTAATAATCAAATCATGTATTGCATATTAATCACTCTATAAAAGAGATAGTTTAAAAAAATGCTAGAATGAGTACCAGTTGTCATTTGCATTGGCAAAGTAGTTAATAATTTATTGATGTATTGCATATTAAATAACTGCAGAAAAATGATTGTTCAAAAGTTAACATTATATATCATCATTTATTACAGCTCCTCCACATTTCTTTAAAAAAATCTATTAATTGGAAAATTTAAACTCTGGTTTGCGATATCTGAAAATCTTCACATTCGCAACTATTGTATTCAACCTCTCCATGAAATATGCTAGCTGGCCATAAATTACGCCAAGCATTTTTAAAAGTATCTGGAGACACATCCTCCCACAATCTTGCGATGATCCACAAAGCAGATTTTACGCTAAAATATTTCAAACATTTTTGAACGTTCATGCCATTATTCAAGAAATTTAACATGGATTTTAAAAATTCTACTTTATATTTGCATTTCAGCCGCACTATTCTGATACTCATAGGCTTGAATAATTGATGTACGGTTTTGAGGAAAGAATCATACAGATACATTAACTTTCACTAAACTGGTCACTTTCACTAAAATGAAGTATCAGCCAAATAGTTATCTACAATCAGGACAATTTTTGTATTATCAGGTAAACCAACTGAATTCTGCCGAGCTTCGGATATGAAAATGATTTTCAAACCAATCATTCATTAACACTTGTGTCATCCATGTTCTTTTATTTGCACGATATATTATGGCAAACCTTTTACTCCTTTAAATGCTTGAGGTCGTGTATATTTTCCAATTACAAAAAGTTTACACTTGTGCATTCTTGCAGCCTTTGTGCATGCTAAAATTGCTAGTCTCGCTTTGGAATCTTTGACACGAGTTGGAACCTATAGAAGTTGCTTAGGTATTTTCCGGTACACATTGCCAGAAAGGACCAGTTTCATCACTGTTGTAAATTTGTTGTGGAGATACTTTTAACTATTAAGGTGTTCAGTGAATTTATCTGCAAATAGTTCAGTAGCTGAAGCATTTTTACTCACAATTCTTAATGGCCTTATACCATGACGATTTTTAAATTTGGTTAACCAACCTGTCAAATATGGGCACTCAGTTTTTTTAACTTAATTTTCTAGTGAAATATTTTAGCTTGCACTATAGCATTTGACCCGTCAATGGTACACCCTCGCTGTGACATTGTCTAACCCATTCAATTATCACTTATTTGTGCTTTTCCATGTGAAACAATTTGTCAGAAAAAAAAATTTAATTTTCTTCTATTTAGTTATTCTTTTTAAGATGATTTAAGAACTTCTGTCTTCTTTGGAACTTTTTTTTATAGATTTCAAACTGCTGAATCCACTGCTGTAATGCATTATTTTTTCTTATTTTCATTTTAAAGTAATCAACAAATTATACAAAATAGAACAATGCTTGAAAATTAGCATTCTTTTTTAACCAAAAAAATAAGCATTTCAAATATAGAAATCTAACTTAATGTAGCAGTCCACATTTCACATCAACATGATTGTAAAATTTTGTCAAAACTCCAAATTCCTAGGGAAAGTTAATATAATACAGTCAAAAGTCGTTAATCCGGACTCGTCGGGACTTCGGCGAATCCGGATTATCGATTTTTCCGGATTATAGATCATCAGTTTAAATCTGGTAAGATGGCATGCAGAAATTATAAAATTAAAAATATGAAACCGTAATTTATGAAATAAAGAACAATTATGATCTAAAAGTTATTAAAATTTACAAAAAAAAAAAAAAAAAAAAAGCTTAATATTTATTTGTTTACTTTATTAAACATTTCTTTCAATGTAAGTTGTTTAAGTTGCTTCGTTTTTTATGTGATAATACATTCTCTTTAATTCTATAAACAGACATAATTTCTTGTTCAGTTACAAAGTTCCGCAGTTCAAGTCCTATAATTGCTGTGTCGAGAATACCGACTAATTTGTCAATCGAAATTTTTTCGTTTTCAATAACCTCTTTCACTTTCTTCGCTATCGGAAGCGAATTATAATGACGAGGAATTTGATTTAAATCATATCAAAGACGGAAATACTACATTTAGTAAGGAATTATAAGCCAAATAAAATAAAAACATCTGCCCTGAAGATAAGGATAGTGCTGACAGATCAACTTCCAATTCATTGCATGCCGCTGCGTTAAAGATAAACAAAATTTAGATAAACAAAGGATATGCCTTTATCCATTTTTTGCAGCTATTCCACTTTTTGTTTAATGGACTTCGAAATATACTTTCGCTTTGTAGATCCTTTATATATTAGTAAATATATATCAGAAATTCTATTTGACATAATCGAAAATTCAAGCTTACTTTTATAAAATTGCTCTAACAGTCTGCAAAAAATAATAAGCCGAATCCAATTCGAAGATTAAGGAACAGCGCAATATGCAACATTAACTGGATTAGATAATTTTAGCTTAGTTTATATCGTCCGTTATACATTAAATGTGCATTTGTAAACGTATTTTGCACACGCGCACACGTGTATTCGCAGCCGTAAAGGTCTTATGCGCATTGACGCATGCGCAGAAAGTTTGTAGCTTTGAGGTCCGGATTATAGATCATTCCGGATTATGGTTGTCCAAATTAACGACTTTTGACTGTAATGGTTTATTAAAAGTAAACTTATAAAAGAGAATTTAGGTAATCTGCAGAATTCATGATTGAGAGTTGGTGCAAATTAGTGAATTTTGGTGACTCTGGGGCATGCCTTCTATGGTTCGTTTACCTTTTCCTTTTTTGTAATTTGTATATTAAATTTGGATCACTTACACATAAATAATTAAGCAAAGTATGCTCATTCCTTGAAAGTTAGTTAATCAGAATTTGCTGTATTCAAAACTGTTGTATTACTTTTTGGCTTGCTTAAGATGAAAGAACCTCCCCTCCCTCCATCTTGTTTGCTGCTAAAATGCTAGAATGAAATATAGGAGCAATGAAAATATTCAATTTCAATAACATAATTATATTTTTGGAGTAGTTTTTAGTAATAATGAGGATTGATCTTTTGTAGAGAAATTGATTATTAGGTGAGTATGAGCTTATAACAAATATTTAATATAGACTCTTAAATGTCTAGATCAGGGCTGGGTAAAAGCTGGCCCGTAGACAAGTATGGTCTTTACACTTGCTTAATTCAACCCATTATGAAATCCTGTGCAGCGACATTTTCATCTCTATCCTACCCGATTTTTTACGCTTTTGAAATCAGCAACAGGAATATGCATCTATTAGGTCCCATTTTTAGTGTATGTGGTGAAACTGCAAATTATCCGTAACCCAATCATACGTCGTCTCATTCTAAGAAAAGCTATAAAACAATTGATTACCACCAACTGAAGGATGAAAAGCAGTTGTGGGGCATTCTGCTCAATTCTAGCTTCATTGTTCATCCTGCAAGAAATACGTTTGCTGATTAAACTCGCATAGTTTGACAAATGGCTGCCAAATTTGTGCATATAGAAGAAATTAGGCATTCACAAACGCATGAAATGCTATTTTAAAGTGTAATTTTTTTTTAAAACTTTCTATCATGGAGGTATGTTTTCCTTACCACATCCTGACAAACAATAAGGGCATTGCGAAAGATCGCCATTCAAACAGTATCACACCTTGTGATGGCCCTGCCCGCATAATGCACTAAAAAAGGACCTTTTTGACCCATCCAGATATAGATATTTTCACTGAAGAAATTGGCCATTTTTTTTTTTAGTCTATGAAGTGATCTGTGGATTTCATCTATATAATCAATAACTTTATGTACAAAGGTCGATCAGAAAATAATGCACGATCCACTGTGATCGAATTCCTGTACAATTCTACTTGATGTAGCAGTCTGCATTTCACATCAATATGATACAAAGGATGTAACTTGGTAACATCGATTCACAGTAAGTTGCTGCCTGTGTGTGGGGACAACACAGTGAAGCGAAGTTATGTGTGTTGATAGCTTCGAAGATTTTGCCGAGGCAATTGCAACATCTGTGACCAGCCACGATCAAACGCCGTAACTGATTAAAACACATCAGTCATTGAAGAATTCATCCAAAAATTATAAATGTACCACAGCAAGACAGGGCATAAGGTATGGGGAAATGATCTGTGTTAAGCCTTATACAATGGGGGGGGGTTAGGGTACAGAAAAATGTTTATTTGCTGAGTCCCACTGCTCTCGACAAGGGAAATGATGCATATCAGGAAAAACCTTTTTGTGGGTCTTATGCTAAGTTTTTTAAGGGGTTGTGCAGAATATTTTCATGCACCTTCTCATGTAACAAAACATAGTTGATTTTTCATTACAAAAGCAAAAGGTATTGATGGAGTGGTCATGTTTTTGTGTCATGGATGACTGTAGTACTGAAAAGCAAATGGATCATATATAAATGGACATTCTCAAAAGACAACTGCCAATTTCTTTAGTGCATACCATTATAGACTTACAGTAGATTATGCATTATATCTAATTAAATATTAATCTATTTTACATCTGGATAATATTATAAATAGTTCACTAACCTGAATCATGCATTAAAAAGTGAATTTAAGTTGATTGGGAGTTCCAAAATGGTGTCATTGCAGGGTGCAAAAAACTAGCTCTAGGTTACACATTTCAAGGTTGTTGACTGCAGAATGCCATCCAGATGATGGTGCAATGGTAGCAGTGGAAGATATATTAATAATAATAATAAAAAAAAAGAGGGGCATTTTTTATTTTGGGTGATCGTAGTCGGTTTCAAGTTTAAATATAGGTTTTAAAATAAGTGGATTGAAGATAAGTTTTACTGCAGAAATTTACTTAGCATTATATTTCCTGTTTGCTAAATTTCATTGGTTAACAGTACAAGGGTAATTTGTTTTAATATATAAGGGTAATTCTTTTCAACTTTCAATGGACCATAAAAAAAAGAGAAGAATAACGAATAAAAGTAATTTATTACCAAAAGTGCTATATGAACATGCTTACTTTTTGACGAAATCACTGTAAAGTTTCGGATTTTTGGTACCGGTGACAAGATTTCCGATCTCCTCTTTGAAGAACATTGCAACATGTGATGGGACATCGACCTGGAATATCGTTTTTAAGTTTCCTCCCCTTCTTGGATCATTGGCTTCTTAGCCAGTTCTTTAGTTCAGGGAAGAGATGAAATTCTTTGCTTAATCCGGGCTATTCTGAAGCAGATTAAATGGAATGTGTATTGTCATCTAGCCCAGACTTAGCACTAATAATTTTTATCTCTTTCCTGGATATAGATTTCAAGCCAATGAGGAGTTTCAAAACAATGTTTGGGCTCATCTTGCATCACTAGTGGCAACATTCTTCAAAGCGGGGATCAAAAAGCCCATCCACCAGTATGGAAAACCATCACCCATATATACCGGTGATTTTGTTGAAAAGTAACCATGTTTTTACATAACTTTTGTTCTTTACTTTTTTCTTTTAATGGCCCATCGGAGGTAGAAAAAAGGGGGCCTCATCTAGTGTCCAAGAAGATCCCATACCCCTAGATTTGAGTATCACAGAGAGCAATTATCGGTGTAATTTTAGTTTTGATATTTTTGTAGTATTTGCAATTTTGGTTTCAAGATAAATATGTAAATAGACTTCTTTAAATTATACATATTGCAGAAGTGGTTAATACTTCAAGGCCAAGAGAAGGGAATCGTGTAGGAATGGTAAGAGTGAACTCCAGCCCATTTTTCTCTTCAGATGTACAATTTCCTTTATAAACAATCTTTAGGCCACTGCATTAAGCATTGATTCTCCAATCCATTAGTTCCCATTCAAATGGTCCCCACCTATTGATTGTGGGAGTCACTTGTCTCAATTCATCACTACAGGACAAGTGAAAAATTGTGTGGAAGAGCCACACAATTTTTCACAATTCAAAGGATAACCGCTTGGATGCTCCATGTCCAGGAGGAGATGGAGATGTATGCATTTGCATGTACAGCACGACAGAGCACATAAAGTTCCACTTGACATATAGTTTGTATACGTAAGAACTAAACAACAGTAAATCCTTGCTGAATGTGGAGGTTATATCATTGATAAATTCCACTTATGTTAAAGTTAACTTTCTATGGAAAAAATGCATTAGATAATGTTTCAGATTACGAAAGTATGTATAATTTAAATAGCCTAAATATTTTTTAATTAAAATAAAAAAAAACAAATGTTAATTGAAAAAAATTATTTTTGCTTAATTAGTATGTTCTAGAATTACTTTATTTATTATTTTTGTATTTTTTACTAATTTTTTTTAGTTATTTATTTATTTAATATGGGTATTTTTGCTTGAGACAGGGATTATTGCAACTCTTTAAAAGTTCACAGTGAGGAGTGTCAAGTTTTTCAATGACTTTCGTAAACTGTCCTCCTCTTTCATCATTTCGGTCAATCTCTATTGCAAAATCAGACTGATCTTTGCCTTTTTTTATCTTTTTTTTAACTTGTAAATTAAAGATGTTTGCTCTATTTTTTCCAGTATCACTGCATTTTCACTATCACTTGGTGTTATAAGATCATCTAGTTCTTAATTCATCATTTCTTAATTAATTCTTGAATGAAAATATACAGTTCCTTCGCCGCAACTGCTTTTGCTGGTTGTACTTTTTCTGTGGTGTCTTTATCAGATGATGATATTTTAAAGTTGTTGATAATTTCTTGCTAGAAGTGATGTCGCCAAGCATTCAGTTTTAATGAATGAAAGTTGAACTTTGTATGAATGAAATTCTAGCATTGGACAAATGAACTGGAAACAATTAAAAAAACACAAATGTACGAAATTGTGCTCTGCAAATCTGCACTCAGCAAGGGCTTACTACATAGTACTAAATACTAAAATTGCACTTATTTTACTCTCTATGAAACTCAAACCTAGTTATACAAAGATTGCCAGACACTCTGTAGAAATCAGTATTATAATATGCAGAGTGTATGAGCCAGTTAGTTTTTAGTGACATTTGATGGAGCCTAAAGTGTTGGTTTATAATGCCAGAAAATATGGCACTTGTTACAAATATTTTTGAAATCATTTGCTGTAAACAGCTTTAGCAAAATTAACTTTACATTTAAAAGTTCGAGTTAGATCACGTTCTTGCAGTTTCTGAAAACTTTTTTTAAAATTTAACTAGAATCTGTAATGTGTATCCAAACCATCTGAATTTTTTTTTAAAGAAAAAAAGAAAGTTTTTGGTATCAAAGAATGGGAATGATTTAATTTAGTTTAAGTTAACAGCATTTAAAAATGTAATACGATTATTTACAATGTAATTTTATATTGAACATTTTTCGCAAGCTTTCTGGGGCGGGGTTCCATCATTTACTTTTCTCAGAAGATAGATGCAAAGGCTTCAGCCGACTGAATGCTTTGTAGCGGAAAAACTTTCTTTCAGATGTAAGCAAAGGTATTGGAATAGGTTCGTGATGGTGTTAACCTGGTTTTTTTTTTCTGTTTGTTGTTACTAACACTGTAGCTTGCAGGAGTCTAATGTGAACCCTCCAACAGAGCTGCAGCCCAGGAAAGGATCCACCAAACGTGCTCTTGAAGCTCAAGACAGAGACCTCATGCCTCCCCCCGTCGCCCTTGCGTCAACTCCTTCGTCCAGTGGAAAGCAAGGTAAGGCAGCACGTTTTAGATATGAGATATCTACAGATCATTATTTTGAACCTTATTTTGGGCATATCATGTTACATTAATTATTGTACAATTTATCAGATCATCCCAAAAAAAGATGTTGTTTGAAGTAGATTTTGGAGAAATAAAAAAAATTAACAAGAAGCTAATATGTTTTATGCCATTTCTAAAGAAATTTGCCTGTTTGAATTTGTTTTAGTTCTGTAACTCTCCATTTAAAATTGGCTTTTTCCTCCTTTCTGTCCTAAAAATAGTAACTGCTTAAAATAAATCTATGTAAACTAGATCATATCAAAATTAACCAAATATCATAGGATTTTTTACATGTTGTTGATGATAGCTAGCACTTACATAAATACTTTATCTAATAAAATTTCAATTTGAACTGACATTTTTTAATTGACAGCCAGTCGAAAAATTTGCAAACTATAACTCAAATCATTTTGAACCCAACTTTTCAATCTTAATTTAAAATGTTTCTCAATGAGAATAAAAATATTAGAAATATTTAATTGGCCACTATGTCTGCAACTACTTTTTGCCATCAGCATATCTAATCATTATGTACCTAAAAGCACTAATTAAAGTAGAAATATAACTTAAGAAATAAGTAATTAATAGGTTGTCCCCTGCACAGCAAGTGACTTTACTTCTCTAGCTTAAAATTCCAGCATTCTTACTTATAACACCTCTAAAAAAAATGTTTGAGCTATCAAACTTTCATGTAGAACAGACCTGCCATGCTTAGACAGAATACGGAATTCTTTTAGATAGTGATGGACAGTTGAGGATGATGATTTAACCTCTTTTCAATAGTTGAACATAGATTTGATAGAACATGTCATTCTCAAAAAAATGTTGGCATCTTTTGATCTAAGGTTGTTAAAATTTAGGGAACCACCATTATTGGCACTCAGTATTCACATACTCTTCTTCTACATGTTTTACAGCTTTTGTGACACTACAATTCAAAGTCCGTAATGTGGACTCGTCGGGACTTCGGCGATTCCAGATTGGGTTTTTTCCGGATTATAGATCATTAATTTAAATCTGGTAAGATGGCATGCAGAAATTATACTATTAAAAATATGAAACTGTAATTTATGAAATAAAAAGCATTTATGATCTAAAAAATATCAAATTTTACAATAATAATAATAATAATAATAATAATAATATAATTTGTTATGGTGCAAAAGCAAAGTTTAAAGTTATAGAAAACATTAGCAGAAATAGCAATAGAAATTCCCTAAGATTATGCACTGTGCAGACATAGATGGCAAAAATTTTAAACTTAACCAATTTATTAACAATATATATAGAAATAAAAATACAGTAAATAAATTTGATCAATACCAGAAACTTAAAGGGTGTAACATAATCATTGTCAAAAAAAATCACACTCAGTTAACTATTCATTAACCCCAAGGGTTTTTTTCTTTAAAGAATATTACACTATTAATGATACAGTAAATATATTACCTGTTCTATGAATGTTGATATTCAATACGCGAAAACCACAGAACAAAACTATGTAGTTAATTTGAATTTCACTTGACTAAAAATAGGTCTATGCTTTTGGCCCAGAAGGCACCTGAATAATTAAATTAAACCTTGAATGCACTTGAATTAGTGAATTGGTAAATGCCGCTGAGTGCAGTTGCTCACGGGAAATCACAGCTTGGAAAAACATTGCCACTAGACCTGAAAAACACTTGTGTTAACTATGCCGCCTTCAGCAGTTGCTCACTGGTTAACATACATCGTTTTACTTACCTGTTAAATTTTTTGGCTAGCAATGAAGCACTTCTAGTGCTGTTTTGTGTGCCATAGTGCATTTATCCATGTAATGAGTAGACATGACTAGAGTACTTTACGCATTCCAGAATTTTACTTGATATTGCATCCAAAAACTAATGAGCATTGTGGCATCCTTAATTGTGTTAAGGATGCCACAACTTGAGATTTATTGCCGCTCAATCTTGGAAAACAGGATGCCGCCCACTGCAGTTGATAACTGGGAACCACAACTTGAGATTTGATGCTGCTTAGCCATGGAAACAGGATGCCACCCACTGCAGTTGCTCACCGGAAACCATAACTTGAGATTTGACATCGCTTAACCTTGGAAACAGGGCGGCAGTTGATCACCGGGAACCGCAGCTTGGAATTGGATGTTGCTCAATCTTAGAAAAGCCAACATGGCCCTGAACCTCGGTAATTAGCGCTGGATGACACGCATCGCAATAACGTCTTCCAATGAACGCTGGAACAGCACACCAGAAGCAATGGAAACATGAACAAAGGGCTTAAGCCAACTCCAACTCCAACTGGCTTTATTTGCCGCAATTAACCTGCGAAATTGCAGGTTGTGTTCTGGCTATCGAACTTTGGTGTTTCTAGGAGCGCTGCAGGTAAGGAAATGCCGAACGTAGTTCTCATGGAGACAGGATAGCAGATGCAGGGGGTGTGACCAATGTCACGTGATGGGCAATAAGACATCTGGTTGGCGATGAGGTATCCAGGCATCGTAGCGCTGTAAATCTGAAGTTTTACAATAGTTATACATAAAATAGTACTAAATTTAGTTCATAAAAGGTGTGTGTTGCAGTCATAAATGCAGAAAATAAAATACGATTCCAAAAAGTATAATAGTATATACAGGAAAAATATAAGTAATATCTTGTGGGCGTGGCTGTGTGTATGTGTCACATGATCATCCGGCTAAGATTTCTAAACATCATTATTTACAAGTCAAATAAGTTTTCAGATTACTACATACTAAAAACACAAATTATGTTGGAAAATCCTGGTTTCCACTGAGTAGAAAAGCGGCATATGGACGGAGGTGCCTGTACTCATGTAAAATTTCATAGTGAAATGGATTGAAAATGTCCATATGTTGGCACTCCTTAGCGGCGTCATAAAATGCCATGTTAGTTCTTCTTAAATATTCTACTATTGTATCCATTTTTAAATCTTCATGGAGACGTTTGTTCTTCACATACGGGTGTGCAATTGTGATAATTCTTAAAAATCAGTTTTGCACAAACTTGTAATTTTTGGATTTCACCCTTCGTAGCAGTAGTCCATGCTGGCGAAGCGTACGTCATGATGGGTCGGATTGTGGCTAGATAAATAAGTCGTTTCTTGTCCAACGAAAGTTTTGAATATTTCCCTATCATGGGATATAAACATTTCATGACTTTAATCGCTTTATCCCTGATTTGTTGGATGTGATGCTGCCATGTGAGCTTGTCGTTGATGGTGATGCCCAGATATTTGGCTTGTTTCACGATAGGCACAGCCTCGTTGAAAAGATAAACACTTTGCCTGATCGGAACATTTTTCTTCCTTTTCCTTATGAGTAGGAGCTGCGATTTTTGAGCGTTAATTCGTATCTTCCAATATCCACACCATTGTTCTATGGAGGGAATAGTGTCTTGGGGTTTCCGAATAGCATGATTGATGTTAGCAGACTTCACTGTCAAGGCAGTGTCGTCTACATAACAGGCTAACATAGAACTATGATTTAAATGTAATCTCGGAAAGTCTGAAACGTAGAATAGATAGAGTATAGGGCCAGTCACAGAACCCTGTGGAACACCGCTAGTCATTATTTTAGTGCTGGATAATTCATTTTTTACCGAGACTCTGAATGTCCGATCCCTGATAAAAGAATGGATTAGCAGAATGAGTTCTCTGTCTAGTTGAAGGTCAATTAATTTAGCTATTAAGCCCTCATGCCAGACGCGGTTGAATGCTTTCGCCACTTCTAGCATGAGTATAGCAATATTAAGTTTGCAGTGCAGAGCTTCACCAGCGAATTCAGTTATTCGGACAAGTTGCTTCGTTGTTGAGAGGTGGGCACGGAACCCAAATTGTTCCGGCGGAAGATGCTGAAAATAGGTTTCAGTCTGTTCAGGATAATTCTTTCAAAAATTTTGTCTAAGCCCTGCAGTAGACTAATAGGACGATATCCATCTGGTCGGGTGTGATCTTTGGCCGGTTTAGGTAGTAAAATAATTTTAGCAATTTTCCAAGGTGTTGGAAAGTAAGAAAGAGCAAGACAAGCATTAAAAATACTTGTCAGGCTGTAGATGATGTTATGCGGCAAATTTTTTAACTGCTGTATTGCTGATTTCATCAATTCCTGGAGATTTCTTTTGTCTCAGGTATTTGATAATATTAGTCGTTTCAGTAGGAGTGGCATATTTAATCGAAAGTCTGGCTGATGGGGCGTTGAGCCAATCCCTTACTCGTAGGAGGGTCTTTAATTCGAAATCAGAGTCATTTGGCCAATCATTTGTGGAGAACTGTTCTTGGAGGTGTGCCGCGAAGATTTCTGCCTTTTTCCTGATTGGAAACGGCAATATTACCTCTGTCATAGAGGGGTCGATTACTTAAGTCAGAGCGATGCGAGATACTTATACATGAAGTAGAACATGACGTCGTCTCATGGCAGCCAATCAGCTGTCGGCACGACTCAGCTTTCCAGATGACGTAACCTCGAGTATCGTTTTTGCATCTTAATTAGGCTGGAACAGTCCGTTCTTAATACAAACAGTGACAGTGGAAAAGAAGTAATTGCTGTATCCCTTTAAAATAAAACTAAACCTTATGTAAAAGTTAGAATTATTTCAAGGAGGAGAGATGATGCAGAAAAAGGTTTACAATAAGTCATATTTTCAACAGTTTACTTCATTAAACATTTCAACGTGCGCATGCGTAAAGCATATGTGCGTAATGTATGCGCATGCTTAAAGTTTGTGGCTTTGAGGTCCGGATTATGGACTTTGTACTGTATTATTTTTTTTTTACTTCACTGTGCAAGTTATTGTAATTGTGAAAAATTTCCCGTATCATATTTTGATCACTCTTGTATCCCATTTGAACCTCCCTTTTCTTTTCATGTTATGTATTTACGGATAAGGACTCTTTTTTTTTCCAGATTGGATTCTAAAATTGATTTGAAATGAATTCAGAAGAGATATTTGTACGTATAAAAAATTATGTATGTATCTTGCGTAACTCAAAAATGAGTTGCCATAAAATACTGAAATTTTGTATACGGGACTGCTGTAACATCTAGATGTGCATCTTCCTTTTTCTTTACAATAGGCTGCACCAGACATTATAAATTTATTGGTGCCATTGAGAATAAAGCATTGATTTTTTTTTTTAAAACTATGACACTGATAGCAAATATTGTAATAAGCTCCAGTGAACTATTCTTTGGCCATGAATGAGACTTTAATGCAAACCAAGCACGAGCCTCGAATTTGTGTAAGATTGTGTGTGAAGCATTCAGCGGTCTAAAATCAATAAGAGGATGTCAATACAGAGTATGTACTTTTTACTTCCATGAATCACACTATTCAAATTCTTAATCTGTCAAGATGATGTAACACTTCATGGCTACATCACCTTGTGTGGGAAGCATTCAGCGGTCTAAAATCAATAAGAGGACGTCAATACAGAGTATGTACTTTTTACTTCCATGAATCACACTATTCAAATTCTTAATCTGTCAAGATGATGTAACACTTCATGGCTACATCACCTTGATCACACATGACACTTCCACTGAATAGGCAAATGGTTTTGTATACAATTTGTTATGTATTTATTAATTTTAACAAAATAATGTGTTAAATGTTATTTCGAGGTAATTTTATTTTTCACTTAAGACCTATAAACCTTAAGAGATTATTTTTGAATTGTATAAATTCTAAGTGATTTTAAAATGAGCAACTGTTATGCCTGTCGCCAAAAAAATTTTAGCATCTTGCAACCACTATTTTAAGCTTTCTTGTACCGATAAGCTTTATGCATGCTATTATAGCCAGGTGTTCTGTTCAAGATAACTCCAGGGGAGGAAACATTTCTAGAAAATGTGTGGTGTTGTGCTTCGCATGCCAAGTTACAATACCAGCTTAACTGGCACGCCCCTCTCACTACTCTATATGTTGCTGCCATCCTTTGTCCATTACTTTTCCCAGAAAAAAAAAAAAAAGTATGCCAGTTTATGAGTCTTGTAGTATATTCAGTTGTTCTTTATAGCTACCGAGAAGCCGTCTGTAGAAACAGAAGAACCTGTAAAGAAAAAAGCAAAAGGAGCTTTAGGTGGCATAGCCTGTAAGTATAAACATATGAAATTAGATAAATAATTATTTTTGTATAGGAGGTATGATTGTTATATTATATTCCAATGATATTGAATTGATGAAGAAGTTGAAGCCATACAACGTGGGTATTTCTCTCAAGTTTCAATTGTGCTGACTGCATAAGATTTTCATAATTCTCATGCAAATAAACGTGGATCAATTTCCTTCAAAAGTGCTCAGTAAAGATACACAGTCCTTGTTTGGTTTGCTGTTTTCAAATCAGTTTGAAATCTTAAGATTTTGACAACTAATATTGAGTTAAATCTGTTACCCTCCTGTAATTATTACTTTATGTGGAGTTTCCATAATTCACTCTATTTTTATTTTCTTCAGTAAGATTTTATACATGCTTCTCATTATTTAATGTCCATTTACTAAATTATTTCTTATTTTTAAATGTGAGAGAACAGTAATGCTATAGGCAAACAGTATTGGTATAAGGCAATGACCTTTATTAAATTACTCTGTACTTTTAAATTTGAATGATTGTTGGTGATGTCAAATTTGTAATATCTTTTACTAAATAATTCCTTATTTTAAAATTTGAATGGACATTATTATTACTGGTGTAACCATATCTAGTCCTTATAATTAAATTATTCTTTAAATCTGTATGAACAATGTTGGTGTAAGGATTTCCAGTTCCACTTCTAATAAATTATTCCTTATTTTTAAATTTCAGTGAACATTATTGGGGTAACAATTTCTAGCGCCTTTTGTCAAGCTGTTATTCTGATATAAGTGTTATCGCTGTACTAGTGCATTGTAATGGGTTAATTCTTTTCAAATTTGAATGAATATTATTGGTATAAGGATTTCTAATGCCCTTTATTAAATTATTCCTTGTGTTTAAATTTGAATGAGTGTTACTGGTAGAAGTTTCTGATTTACCTATCTGTTATTTTTCTTCCAAATCTGAATGAAGGTTTTTTGTGTAAGGATTTGTGTGTATTTTATTAAACTACTAGCTGTTACCCATTGTGCATCGCAGTGCTACTTAAGGAAAGAAACTGTTTTAATTCTGTTTGTTAAAGGGCTTCTGGATACACAATACACTTTGTTTTTTTTGTTTAGTGCGTGCATAAACAAATCAGATGTTCTGATGCGCAAACAGGCCACATACCCGAAAGCATGGATTTTCCAAAGTTAGTCCAATTGTTGCTGTGCTTGTTAATGATCGTTGCAAATGTGAATTGCGCCAAAAACTACAAATGTTTAAATTTGAATGGCATATCTGTCAGAATCATTGGGATATATAGTAACAGTGCAATCTTTTCCTTTAAATTTTCCATTTAAAACTGTAGCTTTGATTCTAATATTCATCACTGTTTCACTGAAAGTCTGGTACCATTGCAAAGTCGTGGTAAATTGATGTTTTGGAAAGGAATGATAGGCACATGAATTTTCGATGCCTGGAAACAAATAAAGTGCATTTAAGAATTCAGTGGGATAAATGACAAATTCTTCTTAATTCATTACAGTATCAATGGAATTATATGTTGTCGCTTTGCCTGGTATCTCATTTTGAATGCTGAAATTGATGGCATTGACATGGTTGTTTTTGACAGCTAATATGCACTGATCCATTGATGACTTTTGTAATTCTGTGCAATATTTAGGTGATAATTTTGTGAATCAGTTCATCTGTGGTTGCTGTAATTTTACAGAAGTTTGTTGGCAATGTGATGCATTGTGTGGATTGGATTCATCAATTGCCATTTTCCCATTCTCAGTATCCAAAACTTGTTTTTTAAAACATTCAGTGGATGCATCATGTTGTAGTGTACATGCATATTGGTCTTCTGTATCTATTAAGTCTATTTCTATATGTGTTGCCATAAACCTGGTGATTTGATATATGCAGAAAGTTCATCAGGTGTTCAACATGGTATAACTGTCACAGTTTGTCGAAAATCATCAGGCAGCAAAATAAGTATGCTATAAAGAGCTGTTCATTTACTGTTAAATTTTTTAGCTAGCAATGAAGCACTTCCAGTGCTGTTTTGTGTGCCATAGTACATTCATCCATGTAATGAGCAGACATGACTGGACTACTTTATGCATTCCAGAATTTTACTTGATATTGCTTCCAGAAACTAATAAGCATTGTTTACGGGTACCTAAATGTCACAAGGATATACATGCAGATCAGAATTAATTTAGATTTGTCAATGCTATAGAAATAACTTGAATTAGGGTGTTTGTTTTAAATATTTTATTAACACATAACTTTCTTTAATTGAAAACCAATTCAATTATCATCTGCCCAGTAAAATACAATTTTTAATTAAAAGAAAATTAAGGGATGGACATTGGAACATCACTTATTTAAATTTTGATTAATATTTATTTAAAATTTAAATTTTTAAATGTTTTTAACTAACCTATTTAATTTGATTGTAAGCAAATTATTTTTCATGTCTTTAGCTGTCTATGGATCGGATGACTCAGATGAGGAAGAGAATGAGGAACCGGCTTCTGCAACAGCAAAACAACGATAATGACATGACATTTTAGTCCTTCATCATGTATTGCATCCAAAGCCTTTTACAAATGGTATGCATGGTGTCGACGAACTAAGTCAGTGACTATAATAATAATGAAATAATTCTGTAAATATGATATTGCACAAGGAACGAGTTTAAAAATTTAAAAACGAGTCTTAGATAAGTGCCTTTGCTTTTTTCTGGATGTATATAGTTGACTGCTTATAACAAATACAATCCACTTTTTGTGGATTGGCAATGTAAATACTGTAAAGAAAGCTGCTAGCTTCAGTTTACTGTAATTTCTAAGCACATTACAGTTCAAATGTATAAAGTAACAGCTAGTTCTGTTCGTCCTAACAAATTATCATTCTTAAATAAATTTTTATCTGATTTTCACTCTTATTTTTATTGTTAATGGAAGCATTTTTTTTTATTAGTTTCAAATATATTGTTGCAAGCTACAATTGGTTGAAGTATGTTTAAATAATCACTCAGCAGAAGGAAGTTGACCATTTATTACAAAAATTAATGACATACAATGCAATAAATAGCTCAAGCAGAACTCAAGTATTAAGCAATACCTCCTTAGTGCAGAAGAAATGAAAATCCCTTGCTTTGAATTGTGATTCAGCTAATTCTTTGTGAACTACATTCTGACTCTAGGGGCTGTATTTATGTAATATTGCATGGAAACGAGTGTGGTATATTTCCTCCATCAGAAGAATAAAGGAGAAGGCAAATGAAAGACCCTAAATTTCAAAAGATCAAACACTTCAGCAATAAGTAAGGCTATTATGAGCTGGAATGTAAATAATAGAAGTAAAGTGAAAATCATGTGCTTAGCTTTCTTGGGTGTGAGAAAACCTGCCACATCTGGTTAGCTTGACGAAAAATCTGCACAAAATGTATTTCAAATAAAGGGAAAATGGATGAAATGCTAATACAGAAATGCCAATACGAATTGAATCATCTGAATAAAAATAATCAAGGAAATACAATTTACCAATAAACTAGCACTCAGAGGGAAGAGCTATGCACAATAGAGGAAGGAGGTAATGACGCAAATATTTTTTAATGTTATCGCTGAAAAGCTGAAGGGGGGAATACAGTCCCAGCTATCCTTTCTTATTTTGGATTTTCTTGTTATAAAAGCATAAGATAATTACAAAATGAAATTTAAAGTAATTAAATTCTAATATATTCTACATGAGAATTGTGTTCCAGCTAGTTCAATAACCTAAATCAATTATTTTAAAAGTCAATTTGAATGCCTCTTGAAATGGTGCCATCATACACTGCAACAATCACCTCAAAACACTCAGTTTTTTGTATTTTAAGTTTAACAGATATTGGTTGTATCAGTTAACTCGGTATTCAAAACAGAGATCACTAGAATAGAAAAAAGTAGTTGTCAATAGCATAAAAAAAATTTATGAGAACCATATCATCAAATTTCAAACTGGGGGGGGGGCATTCATAACTTTTCGTTTCTTACTGTGCAACATTTGTTTGATCAGTGGTCTCAAACTCAAATTGCGTGCAGCCAAAAGCATGCCCAGAAAACGGTTGATGGGCCAAATTTCTACTACCCACACACACACGTGAAAATTTTTATTAACAAAATAAAAATATTTTAAATAAATTTAAAATTTTGCTTACTAAATATTTATTAAACATACATTAAGCAATAATAGTAATACTGTGAAAGAAAAAAATGCAAATTTGTATTTGTTTTTGTATTACTGAAATTTAAAATTTGCTACATACACAACCTTCTTTTCTTTCTTCTTCTTCCCCCTTTTGTTATGTTTTCCTTAGTTAGACTTTGTTATTCAGATTTTGTTGTTAATGATATATTAACAGTTAATGATATAAAAACAAGTTATTAATGATATATTAACAGTTTATTTAATCATTAATAACTTGTTTTTATTTAAACAAAAAATAAACAAATTATGAAAACTTTAGTTTTCAGAAAAACTATCCAAGTGGGACAAAACTAGAGAAGAAATAATTACAGCCTAGTCTCTTATTTATTAAATTTTACCAAAGGAAATATCATATGCGAAAGGTTGGCAACCTTATCACCATTATAGGCCACATTTAAATTAGGCAGTAATAAAAGAGGCCATGTAAGTTGATATACCTATAAATTCGACTTTTGGGAAGTTATTATAGTTTTATTAGGAGTATACAGAAACAATACAAAAAACGTGAAGTCATTTATTTATTACATTACATAAAAAAGGTTCAATATAAAATATTTTTGCATTCACATAAGGATAACTTATTATAATATTATTATTTATTTTTTAACAAACAATCACATATATTTAAATACTATTTCAAATAAATAATAATTATTTTTAAATAACTTTAATACATTATAAACAATAGAAAATATTAGAAGTATTTTTAAATAAATTTATTACATTATAAAGAAGTACAATAGAAAAATAAAAGTATTAAATTATAAAAATCTAACATATTAATAGTATGTGAAATAATTTTTAAATCCAATGGAAAATTTAATTTAGTGAGATATTTGCATTTGTTTCTTCCCTGAAAATTGAATACAGTACAAAGTCTGTGATCCGGACGTCCATTATCCGGAATGGTCTATAATCCGGACCTCAAAGCCACAAACATTTTTTCTTTGTACGCTTTACGCGGTGACCAGACAAAAGCCCACTGAACGAAAGCACATGCGACAAAAGCCCACAAAAAAGACCCCACTGGGAAAATTGCCCACGCGACTAATACCGACACGGATGAAAGTGCACATTGATGAAAGTCCACACTGATAAAAGCCCACATTGATAAAAACCCACATAGATATAAACCCACGCTGATAAAAGCCCACACTGATAAAAGCGCACATAATCAAAAGGGACTTATGCTTTTTTAATTATTTTTATATATTTATAATTTTAATTATAATAAATGGAGTATTCAGATCCGAATTCTAATGTCTCAAATGTGTCTGTTTGTATATTTTATCACTACTTTGTTTAATTTATTAGGTTGAAAGCAAACTTTCTACTCTCTGATTAAGTGATTAGATATAATGTTTCGATGATAAATCTGAAATAGCATTTTATTATTTATTTACTTATTTTAACTTTGGTATGTGTATGTGAAAATGAAAGATATCATTGTGGAGTTTCTCACATGCTATTTTTAAGGTAATGTGGCTGAGATTAAATTTAATTATGTTTCATTATTAAAACTATTAACTTTTTAATTAAAAACACTTGAATTTTATTTTATTTCTTTTTAGTTTTTCCTTTAGTTCCTTTTTAGTTTAGGAATATTAAAACAGTTAAGCACAATGAAAACTTGGCTAAGAGATATTTTATTCTTTACTTTATTATCAAAGTTTAAACAAATTTCTCATTGAAAGCTGTTTTGAATGTAACAATTATAATTTGGCTATTTTCTATACATATTTTCTTTTAGATTTCGAAATAAATTAAAACTGTCAGTTGACACCCTGTCAGAAAATGAATTCCAAATGTAACCCTTTAATCTTTCAACTACGGCAATTTGGAATAGTGTTTTTAATTTTCATTTTATTTATTTATTCTTTTTGGGGGATGGAACAACTCTTAGAAGTCAACATGTCTACAAATTTAAGTACAATCACCTCAAACTATAGTAATAAATATGTAGCATTTTATTAGAAAATTGTGAAGATTGCAGAGAACAGTGCATATAATAACATCTAATAAAATTTTGTCACTACATAAATATATATTTATAGTCATCAGATGCAAAGTTAATCATTTTTAGATTCTAAGTATACATATTATATAAATTCATCATTCATTAACCCCTTAACTGCTGCGGGCGTATATATATGCCTTGCTCAGCCGATGCGTTAACTGCCCCAGGCGTATATATACGTCCTTCCAAACTGCTATCATTTGCTTTGCGCTGCTACACCTAAAATTATTCGCAGTTAACGCATCGGCTGAGCAAAGCGTATTTATACGCCCGCGGCAGTTATAGGGTTAATAGCATTATGTATAGTAATAGAAAATTAGTATTAATGTTTCAAATTGAAATTATTTAATAATTTGTCTGGCATTTGCTGTATATTTGTTCAAGACGCATGGATATCAGTTATATAACATGGAAAATACACAGAAAGCAGCTAATCTTATGTAACAGCTGATTGTGAAAGAAAAATTACAGTTATAGTGCTTTTAAATCTCCCTATTATAAATAGCCATTTTCTAATTGACATTAGATTACATTAATTTCATTATCTATTAGAAAATAATTATAGAGAATTATATCTATTGACGACATTTCTAAGAGGTCGCCTTTTGAAAGAGACCTGCATTTTTTCTGAACATAAATGAACATTGCCAGCGAATATCACATTTCTAAGACCACCATATCTACCACCAAAATCCTTTAAAACCATGAACCGAATAATTGTTACATTCAAAACAGCTTTCAATTTGAAATATGTTTAAATTTTGATAATAAGCTCAGTCTAAAGTGAAGAATAAAATATCTTTTAGCCAAGTTTTCATTGTGCTTAACTGTTTTAATATTCCTAAACTAAAAAGGAACTAAAGGAAAAACTAAAAAGAAATAAAATAAAATTCAAGTGTTTTTAATTAAAAAGTTAATAGTTTTAATAATGAAACATAATTATATTTAATCTCAGCCATACAGTCAAAAGTCTTTAATCCGGACTCGTCAGGACTTCGGCGATTCCGGGTTATCGAATTTTCCGGATTATAGATCATCAGTTTAAATCTGGTAAGATGGCATGCAGAAATTATAAAATTAAAAATATGAAACCATAATTTATAAAATAATGAGCAATTATGATCTAAAGGGTATCAAAATTTACAAAAAAAAGAAGCTTAATATTTATTTGTTTACTTTATTAAACATTTCTTTCAACGCGCGCATGCGTAAAGCATACATTACGCATAGCCGAAATTAGAAAATTGCAACCAGAAAACTATTTGATTTGTATTCGTGATATTTATAATGACGAGGAATTTGATTTAAATCATATCAAAGACGGAGTACATCTAGATAAAATACTACATTTATTAAGCAATTATAAGCCGAATAAAATAAAAACATCTGCCCTGAAGATAACGATAGTGCTGACAGATCAACTTCCAGTTCATTGCGAGAAATTGATAAACAGATTTCAGAATGGTTAGATAAATAAAAAATATGTCTTTATCCATTTTTTGTAGCAATTCCACTTTTCGTTTGATGGACATCGAAACATACTTTCGTTTTGTAGATCCTTTGGGAGCTCCAGCATTGGAAATTCTATTTGACATAATCGAAAGTTCAAGCTTACTTTTATAAAATTGCTCTTACAGTCTGCAAAAAATAATAAGCCAGATCCAATTCGAAGATTA